TCCCTTTTTGCCCATATCTTTCAGAACGATACTTTTGAGTGAAATGTAATTTGCAACAAATTTTAAAGATACCATTGCAAGAAAATAAACTACTTGTAAGTTGTAGTACACTGTACAGTAACTTTGAAGCACGTATTTATCAGATGTGCTTTTTCCGTCAGCACATTGTGTGGTACATCTTGTGCAAGGGGGGCTATATAGCCACCGCAGCGGGAATTTCGTTCAAGCTTCGCTCCGGTCTGCCAATGCACGCCAATGTGCATTTTTCTAGTTATTAAATTGCGGCATGTTATACAGAACGGCGCCACAAGTATCTGTAATATCATTACCAGCTCTTGACGTGTGACTGACGATTGACGTGTGAAAGAGAATTATCTGTACAATATATATGTCGTGCACAGAATAAACGCGGAGATAGTTATCCCTACGGTCCGGGTGATAAAAGTCTCAGGGCGAAACTTCACGGTCGACCGATGCCGGTTACAATAATTAGTAGTTCAAATTAACATATTACAGCAGATTTCAATACCTTTACAGCCCAATAAATAAGTCACCGCCAAGGAACCGACAATCGAGACTATACCATGTCACGTACTGCAGGATGGTTAATTTTAATCCTGATCGAGCAGTGTTCCGGTACGTTGTGTCTTAACTTTATTATTTTTCGTTCCATGCGTATGCGTGTAAAGTATACTAGCAGTTTACCATGAATTTTTCGATTAAGTTTCACAAATCAAACGCTCCGCTTCGAAACCGAATGCAATAAGCCTGATACCCCGTTTTCCGCCCATAACACCAGTGCTCCTTCGCTCCGTTGCTTCGAACAGACAGTCTAACGGACGACGAAAGCCAGGCATATGCACGGGTGCCCTATGGTGACGGTGCGCTTCCCCGCTGTTTTATGGAAAGCAGGACAACAGACACATTACACATACATCGCAATCCGTTGTTTGGACGGGCCAACTCGGACTGCAATCGCGCCCTACACCAAAACCGTCAGCGCCATAAGTCCCAACAGGGCCGTCACCCTGCAGATAGCGGAACGTAATGATACCGAGGATCCTGTTCATTATGACGTTATTGAACCTATCCGTGAACAAATCATCGAGCTGCACATCAAACATATTGTATCACCGATGATTACTGCAAAAATCTTTCATGCCGGCGAAATGCCAAACCTGGTTGCGTTGAATCTACGCAACGGGCGAGATGTGGTGATCAAGCAGAGGGATTTCTCTCGTCTTGGCAGTTTACGAATGATTACGCTTGGCTACGTCACGATTCAAGAGTTAGAGCCGTACACTTTTACTGACTTTGTCCATCTGCAAAGTTTGTCGCTTGAAAGCGGATTAGCCTTCAATCGACTCTTTCAACTATCAGATCAGACGTTGCGTCAATTCATGGGTCCTTACTCGTAAAAAGAAGATGACTTGGAAAAGGTCAGACGGCTCCACTGTGACTGTTCTTTCGCCTGGTATCGCAACTTTCTCAAGCGAAAGACACTTAACGCAGCCAAGGGATACGGGGAACGTGTTTACCATCGGCAATTACCTACATGAGCAGCGCCTTTAACTCCGGGTTCTTCATGCGATCTCTAAGCGTGGACTGTACTGCAGTGTTGGATCACAGGATTCTGTCATCGGAGGCGAGAGAGTATTCATATAACACGTCATGCTATAATCTAACCTGTTAAAAGCGTTGTGCAAAAGAATGTATTTTCTTTTTTGACTGGTGACCGTAATCGTAATGCGTAATGCATTTTGACCACCTCTTCACGCTCTGCAGCACTTCTGTTTCATTAGTTTGCTAATGTTTTCGTACAAAGCTTAGATCGATCATCTTGAATCTTTAATTCCAGTCCAGAACGTACTGTAGTTCCAAATAAATGGTATACCGCAAAAGAAACGCATGTGAGGAGGAGTGCCTGGAGTGGCCTCTCCGTTCACCCGCGCACAGGCGGCTGCTAGGTTGTTTTGCTGTTTTTGCCGTGTTTTTCTCCATCTACCAGATTCTAAATCTGGTAGATTCTTCAGTTGCTAGATTTCGTCGTCTGAGCTGGATGCTTTTTCCTTTTCGCCCCGCAGCAAGGTGCTGCGGTGGCCTTTGATGTGTTGTATGTGAGAGCGATAAAGTGTGCAGTGTGTTGGCGTTCAGTTTCCGTTTCTGTTCGCGCACAGGGGTGAACTAGCCGTTCATCTCCTGTTAGACGCAGATAAAACTTTTGCAATGCCATCACTCAGAGATTGCTTCTTTACTATTAACCTGGTCGAAGCTGCATTTATTGTCGTAGCCAAAAGGTCACCATTTTGCCTTTTCCCTGTAGAGCAGCAAGTCTTGTTCACGTACGTATGTATCCTTTGCTCACGTAGCTATCCGCCACAAGTCTTATCAGCGGTTACAGTTTGACTACGATTTCAGAACAAGGTTTGCACAGGATTTTCTGTCAACATTATTGCGAATATCGGCCCGGTATACGGATCAATTCAGTGCATCTTGACAGCTGTTGCAGTTGCATATGTATTGTACATTATCTTTCACCGTTAACCGATGCACTTGTAGTTGCTTACGTACTTTGATCATTATAGGGCCACGTGATTCAAATTCAAAACCGCTAATCTGGTCCAGTAAGTTTTTGGTAGTCTCGCTCACATGAATTTTTGAAGCTGAAACCAGAACCGTGAAGACGAATTTTTAACTGTGTAAGATTTTTTCGTAAGTCGTAATACATGTGCATATAACATAAGTAATTTAGTAGGTAGAGATACAACATCCAAGGAGTGCCAAAACTCTACGGCACAGGAGGTGAATGAAAGACGCATCCAGCGTATGATACCATAACAAATTACGCTATATAAACTCCTGTAGATTAATACAACCTGTAAATTAGCGACCATGTTGAAAACTTTGTGAAAAATTTCAACAAAAAACATACGAGGACATTTGAGAAAGTTAGAACACTTAAAAGCATAACTATTTCTTACTGTTTACGCGGTAAAATAATCATTAATTCTGTGCGTACGACGTACGTATTTACGCTAAACTTTCCTTACCGGCACCTTGAGTTTCCATTCGACTGGCCGTATTGATTGTGTCTCTGAACCTGCCGACGACAACCAATTGAATTAATTTAATTACAACATCTAACTGCTAAGTTTAAAATGAGTTTTTAAGATCTGTCTTGAGTCGTCGTAAGTTCAAAAACTGGAAACTTTTTTTTCATTTTAAACCACACCTAGAGTCGTAGACGTCCTGATGTAAGTTGCAGTTATATAACACATTACAAAATATATTTATATTTTTCCCGTTCGCATGCTAGCGTTTCTCAGTTTCTCGTGCTCGTAGACGTTTCACTGAAAAAGACACGTAATATTTAGTTAGATCACGTCTCAAAACAGCAGATTATTGATTAATTCTTGGTACAATCAAGAAACTGGTTAACTCTTTCCACGTCAATAAGAACTGATATCCAAAAAATTCTTTGTGATCTTTTTTAATCTCCTTTCCATAATTTTTTTGGCGCACAGGTGATTTTTTGGGAGCTGCCACGGGGGTTGTTTTTGTACCATACTTGATTCGATTTGGCAGGGATTTGTTTTTCTGCAGATCGTTGACCGCGGTTGCATTAAATTCAGAAAAATTTTCCTCTGCACTGTGTTTTCCTGCGCAGTATCGAGAAAGAATGACGCCAATCATGTTTCCTTAAGTAATATTTTTTTCTTCGGAAACAAATTGATTTTACGGTTTAAATAATAAGTGGCGTGGCGCAGTGGCTTGGCGCGGTGCACGAGGTTTCCCGAAACTGAAAGTTAGTAGATGGTACAAACAGACTGATGATATACATAGTATAGTAGACGGCACAGCAGATTACGTTTTCGAGTCTATAGTACACATTTCGTTTTATTTAAGAAATAATTAAAAATTCAATTATGTACCCAATAATACCGTAGTATTAATTTACGGTATATTAAATAATACGTGAAACTCAAAAATGAAGCTTGGAATATTTTGGGCGATATCCCGACATTTTTCCGCTTTGCTTTGCTCGGCCTATACTGCCGCCGCTCTCGCTCCTGCATGACCTTTAGTGCTGTGTAAAAGGTCTGCTCTCCAACAACTGTACTCGGCCAAGTTGACAACAGACAAATTGTAACGAGTTCTGCAAACATACGTTTTGTAGCTTTGTACTCTATTCAGTACATTGCAGTATTAAATACTGACACACTTCGAAGTATCGTTGTTCTACAGACAAATTTTGTCTGTAGAACAACGATATTTCGAAGTATCGTTGTTCTACAGACAAATTTTGTCTGTAGAACAACGATATTTCGAAGTGCGTCAAAGACCGGTCACTTCGACTGAGTATACGGCTTGACATATTGACAGCTCACGCCTTCAAATCTTTTTAAACTACAAAACTTGCAAAACGAAAGTGGTTCCATATTCAACAGAGTTTTTGTGAATTTGCCACACAGTTATACCAATCGAAAGAGCTGTTTATCATTAATTTACATTTACAAGATCAAACAAGATCCGATAACAAAATCTCAAAAGTCTGAACTAGATCCAAAGTGACCGATGTTTTGAACCGTATGCTCAAAGTGACCGATCTTCAAGCAAATCGGAGTGTTACTGAACACAACTCGTAAGCGAATAATTTCTACCGCGATAATTGCGTACCGCAATACCCTTTTAGTCTTACTCGTAAACAGCGATAAGCACTTTTCAGGGGCCGTGTAGTACTAGACAACATTAAAATGCTTATATGTATATCCGGTTTATCGTTATGGCTTAATTAGCAGCAGGACCATCTTTTAATTAAGTAGTTGCAGAACCATCCCTCTCTATTGGCATAAAGCAGTGCTATTTTATCAGTTTGTGCTCATATGACGACCGATAACCATTTCAGTCCTAACGGAAGGCGTGCGATACTAAAATGCGCTCGTAATCGGTAACATAAATATGCTTTCGAATTTTCGCTTAAATAGCATATTACAGTTTATTTAAATTTTGTCACAGCCGTTGGATACCAACGGTTTCTACTGATACCGTAGTCCGTTGTTTTGTTTACTCTTTGTTATCTCCCTTCAGTAAATATCACGCAAAACCGTGCAACTGATTCTCTTTTATAAATTTCCGGGCAGTCGTCAAAATGCATACGAGCGCATAAGTGGGAACGGTTATTCCGCAACTAGCTTTTTGCCTTATTTCAGATTGCCACTCATTTATGGTTTAGCCTGAACGATGCATTTTTCAATTACTTACCTTGTTATGCTGGCGTGGGCAAGCTACGCTGATTCAGTTGATTACATTTACGGTAATTCATGCTCAAATTATTTTGGACCGGAAAGAGGAGGGTTTGGCTGCTTGCGTCTCAACGGTTACGACCGAAGGCAGTCGGCAACTTGCGTATCGAGTAAATATCTTCTACAGAGATCGGAACGGCGCACTTTCTGTTTTTATTATTGGTATCCCTTCTGTTGGTATCCATGTATGCTGGAAACCCATCGTATCGGACCTCGTAAGGATACGGATCCAAATACCGTAAGGATATTTACTAACAATCGGTTTACGGGCAGAGGAATTTCTATTAGCTTGAACTGATTACAGATTCGGAATTACCGAATTTTTTCCTGAGCTAGTAACAGAAATCACTTTTCAAAGCTCAGCGGTTAACAAAATTTCTTTTTATATAAACTGATAACGCTAAAACGTGTCAGATTTTTTTTTTTTAGACAAAGAAATTTATGTTTCAATTTTTGGGTTTGAGAAGTGGTTTCTCGATATACAAAATTCGTTCATTCTGGAACTGTAAACAAATTTGGTTGAAAAAATTCCTTGACCGTAAGCCGAAAACCAATGTCATTATTATTATTAGTACACGGTAACGGATGATTGCGCTTGTGATCCTAAAGACATAATGCCGATGAACATGGATGATCTGCCCAACAAATGTAACTATCCTGACGGCAGTGACTGCGCATGGTATCGGGAATGTCTGGAACGCCGTCATCAGTGTGCCGGCGGCAACAATGACTACGCCATTCAATACGCTGAGCATTTCTGCAACTTGTACGCACACGGCAGCGACGCCTTCTCATCGCAAGGTAAGAACTGGATTAACGCTGTGAGGAAGTGCCTGCAGGCGGCATTGGTGCCGGCAATGCGGCCGTACTATAAAGGAAGTTGCCGCGATATAAAGAAAACAGCATTTGCTTCCCATGATGCTTGCTATCTGCGTCCTGATGCCACATCACCGGGAATCTGTGATCTGGATCCGCACGACTGGTGGAAGATCTTCTGGACGGTGAAAGGAGCGATTGTTTCCAAAGACTGGTACCGATCCCTGTGGCAAATGAGTGTAGTGGGCGGGGCATGCAGCAAAGAATTCGTTTTTGATTCGTTGATGAAGTTGCATCAAATGGTTTCTGTGAGCTTATCATTCGGTTCAAGCCAGTCAGAATTATATTTGACGGGACGTCAGAAGCGCGCTGCCGATGAGGAATTAGAGCTAGATAAGAAATGGGAAATTGTGGAAAGGGCCGCGAATGGTGTCGCAGGTTATTTGCAGTGGAATAGGGACAACTTCGATTGGTTTGCCTTCATGACAGAAGAAGGAGGAACTGCGTCGAATTACACAGTGAACTTCTGGCTGCGTAGCATTAGCAACCACAGTGACCCCAGAAGTAGGTACTTTCGTGATAATACAATTATGTATATTATCATGTTATCGATAGAAGTAGTCGTTAAGTACGTATCGACTGCCAAGTTGGAATCATAGCAAAGGTGTCAACATTAATAATTTAGAAGGCAGTAGCAGTGTATCATCGTCAGGTCATGACGATGAATGGATGATAAACTGGAGAAAGCATTCGTGTCCTTTTACAGCGGTCCAGAACGAAGCTCAGAAATTTGAAAAATGGATTGCATCTGGGAAGAATCAGCTGTCGTTCGACATAAATGGTACAGAGTTCAGTGCGATGGGATTCAGCACCTGCAACGATTCTTTGTGCGCCAATGTCACCAAGTTTGTGAAATTTGCTTCTACTAGTGCCAGTGGGATCATTGCCAGTATGGAATTAACTAGTACCAGCGGGATAAGTCGTGGTATATCTGTGCAACTGGTTCTTATAATAGTTTTCTTAGCCCTTGTCTGACATTTGTCATGTTAGAAACCGCATGTCGTATGGCCTTATGCTCCGTATGCAGTGCATGAATTATGATTTATGCAAGTTCGTGCTGAATGCGAGACAAAGAAAATTATCCATTCACCATTGCAGTTATTTGGCATTCGTACTTCTGCCATGAGCTTGAGAATAAACCGTGGTATAAGGAAGAGTCTTAGACTCACTCTACACTCTTCGCGATAGATCGGGTCGTGTGTACAATTCCTGTAGTTATTCGCAAGATGCAACAGAGTCCGTAATATTATAGCCACCATTAAAGGGAAAGTTTTCTTATCCATTAAGCGAATGCTGTATTTCATTTTTTAATGGATGATGGCTGAGTAATCTTCTGCCAAACTTGTACTGTTTTAATTTTTACCTTTTGCTCTCATTACAAGTGAATATGCTAGTAATGCTACATTACAAGTGTATGCTACAGTCTGTACTTGTTTGCATCATATTTCTTTAACAATCTGTAAGCGTAGCCTTATCTAGCAGTGAGACAGTTCGATAACTCATCCACGCCGAACGGTTAGGCAGGACGGTTCCTTTGTGTTTTGATTGAATTGTAATAAATTATGCTACGAAACGTCCTGCCGGACACACATGCGATCTTCCACTGCCTGTGAGCCCACACTAGGTAAGTGAGGAAATATGACAGTAAACGCGGCGCTCATCATACTATATCATACTACATACTAAATTACATTACATACTCTGTAACTCGGGTAAGATGTAAAACTTGTATACAATAATTAACATTCAACTGGTACGTAGAGTTGTCCATCTGCGCACTGTACGTATATGTCGCCCATAACATCAGTGTTCCGCCGCTCCCTTCCTTCCGAACGAGTAGTCTAACGGTCGAAGAAAGCCGGGCATATGCATTGCTACCCTGTGGACAATTTTTCATGCCGGCAAACTGCCGAATTTGCTGGCATTGAATCTGCGGAACGGACGAGATTTGGTGATCAAGCGGGGGCATTTTTTTGGCCTTGGCAATTTACGAATGATCACGTTTGGCTACTTCACGATTCAGGAGATGGAGCCGTACACGTTCACGGACCTGGTCCATCTGCAGAGTTTGTCTGTCACTAGAGCACGGTTTAGCCCTCAATCTCTTTGAATTATCACATGAGACATTGCGTCAGTCCATAGATCCCTATACGTCCAAAGAAAATGACCTGGAAAAGTCAAACGGCTCCATTGTGATTGTTCTTTCGCCTGGTATCGCAACTTTCTCAAGCGGAGTCCGCACTTAACTGAGCCAAGGGATACAGGAGACGTGTTTGCCATCGGCAATTACATGAGCAACGCCTTTAACAACGGGTGCTTTATGCGATCTCTAAGCGTGGAGTTCACTGGTGTTGGATCACAGGATTCTGTCATCGGAGGCGAGAGAGTATTCATATTACACGTCGTGCTATAGTCTAACATGTTAAAAGCGTTGTGCAAAAATATGTAGTTTCTTTTTTAACTGGTGACCGTAATTTGTAATGCATGTTGACCACATCTTCACGCTCTGCAGCATCTCTGTCACAGAGTTTCATTAGTTTGCCCATGTTCCCATACAAAGCGATAGTTCGATAATCTTGAATTCCAGAACGTACTGTAGTTCCAAATAAATAGTATACCGCAAGTATTATCCAAGAAACAAACTCAAGTCTTCGAAGACGTTATGAGTTGCTTTGAGGTGTCATACGGTCCGCATTCAAAAAGACTTCAAACTATAAAGGACATTTCAGAAAAGTACCATTGTACCACGCAAAACAGACACGCAAAAAAATTTTACAGTGCGATCACTCAGAGATTGTTTCGTTACTATCAACCCCGACGAATCTGCATTTATTGTCGTAGCCAAAAGGTCACCATTTCGCCTTTTCCCTGTAAGGCAACCAGTGTTATTCACGTACGTATCCTTTGTTCACGTAGCTATCCGTTACAAGCCTTATCAGCGGTTACAATTAGAAAGACATTGACTAAGATTTCTGAACAAGGTTTACATAAGATTTTCTGTCAACATTATTGCGAAGATCGGTCTGGTGTACAATCAATTCAGTGCATCTTGACAGCTGTTGCAGTTGCATATTTGCATTATCTTTCGCCGTTAACCGATGTGCTCGTACTCGTAGTTGCTTACGTACCTTGATCATTATAGAGCCACGTGATTCAAATTCAAAACCACCAATCTGGTCCAGCAAGTTTTTGGTAGTCTCGCTCACATGGATTTTTGAAGCTGAAACCAGAACCGTGAAAACGATTTTTTCACTGTGTTCGATTTCTCGTAATTTATGTGCATATACTGTAATACGAGTAATTTAGTAGTTATATAGAGATACAGCATCAAAGGATATCAAAAGACTACGGAAAAGGAATCAAATGAAAGACGCACCCAGGCGTATGATATCGTAACAAATTACGCTATGATAAACGTTGCAGATTACTGTGTTCGATTGCAGATTTATACAACCTGTAAATTAGAGACCAGGTTGAAAATTTTGTGAACAATTTCAACATAAAACATACGAGAACATTTGAGCACATGAGTACACTTAAGAAGCCTAACTGTTTCCTTTTATTTACGCGGTAAAATACCCATAGTTATTAATTATTGTGTGCGTACGTATTTACGCTAACTCTTCCTTACCGGCGCCTTGAGATTCCATTCGACTAGCCGTATTGATCGTGTCCCCGAACCTTCCGACGACAACCAAACGAATAAATTTTAATTGTTAACCTTAATTGCTAAGCTTAAAATCAGTCTTTTTCAAGTTCTATCCTGGGTCGGCGTAAGTAAGTGCAAAAAATTGGAAACCTTTTTTAATTTTAAACCACACGTAGAGTCGTAGACGTCCTCTTATGATTTGTAGTTATGTAACTTATATTTTAAGACTGTGGGAGGCACTCACAGGCAATATCGGGGCATTCTTAATCCAACAACACCGGCTGCACAGTAACCTAGACAAAAGCCCGTATTAGCTTGTCCGGCAATCGGGTACTGACGTAAACCACGATCCGAATGTACCTGAATGTATACCAACACGCAGTTGCAGCCGTTCTGTTGGATCGATTGGCGAAGGGATGCTCTCCGCGGCCTGCAGCATCGATAGCGTCATCCGTGCTATTTCGCCCGCATGACGGCTACCGTTGGGTATTGGCAGGCCGCTGGCTAACTGACACCCGAGCGAACAATATTAGGCAACACGGTGCCATGCAACATAGTTTCTTGTAAATTATTTAGTACCAGATATGAGTCGCCGATGGTCTCCACTTTGTATACGTCGAATCGGGGGAGAATCGAATCGAAGACGCTGTACACGGCGTTCAGCAGAACGATCGTCTGCAGTGGAGCACACTGGACAACGACCGATCCAAACTGGGGAATATCGCTGAACGACAAGGTTACACACTCAAAGTATTCCGCCACCACAGTGTGTTTGTTGCGTAAACTATTGACCACCAACCTGTAAAACTAACGAACGTTGTATTGTTGCGCGTTCATGCGCACGACTAATGAAACTATTTACTCTGGTAGCATTTCCCGTAATAACGAGTCCACTTTACTCCGCTCATCCACCAACTGCCGAGTACGAGCCTCCACCAGATCCTCTAAATGACTGGAGTACATATCCAGTCGCGGAAGAATTAGATCAATCATCTTCTTGCACGGGATGACTTGACTCAAGATTTCGGTAAAGCGCGGCATTGTCGGTCGTTCAAGGTGGTTGTTGGCAGTGCATGCATCAACAATGTGATGCAGTTCCGCCGGTAGTTTGGATGTATCCACGATGCGGATAACGGTTGGGTCCTTACGTAGCACGGCAACGTTTTCTACAAATAAAAGTTGGCATTCTACTGCAGTGCGGCAATCAGGATCAAAGTTAAAAAAATCAGTTGAGTGTGCCATTTCTGGCAATAAAGTATCACAAAAAATATGAGATATGCTGGTATACGGTAGCCGCCCGAAGCAAAGCTAATATCCGTGAGGAAAACGCGATATCTTTCGATTAAAGTGATCAGTCTTCGAGTTTAGCACGCTTAGTATAGCAGACGCTGGCTTCGCTTCGGCTGTTTTTTTAGTAGGTGCACTGCTCTGTAAGTTGATGACCATTCATGCGTTTTCATTGAACAATCTCGTTACCCTGTACGCTGTCGACACTCGCAAAATTGGTCTGCATGGGTGCCCGTCCGGTGAAGATTTCGCTGATGACCACACCCAAACTGTACATGTCGCTTTCTTTCGTGACCTTCACGGATGCCCCGCTAATGATCTCCGGTGCGGCCCACAGTACACTGGGATCAAGTGGCAGTTCGGCGGGAAAGATGCTTCCATACAGCTTCCCTCGGAATTTTGATAGCGCGTACGACGATATTTTCAGGCAAAACCGTTGATCAATCATAATGATGATGCTGGATAAGGCCCCGTGATACTGGAGTGAAGAGCGGTGCAAATATTTTAACCCCTGTAAAAGCAGCAGCCGTTTTTATGAGCGAAAACGCTGTACCCAGCGGACTGCATGCAGTCACGGCAGTACATGCACTATTTCCCAGATCATGGAGCTCTTCAGGGTGTGGTCCATGTGGATGGGTTCGTTCTGGATCAGCAGTCTTAACGTATCGCGCGCACCGTAGTCGAATACCATGTAGGAATACGCGGGACTGCTACTGGTCGCGATACCGACAAATCTGTTCACATTCTCGTGCTGCAGAAACCTTGTCTAATAAAACGGTAATTTCTTGAAATACTTCTACACAACGGTTATAGCCTCTACAAAAGATTATATTTCTTTACCGCATAGAGAACGTTGCGGAAGGTTGCTTGCTCTAGGATTTGGTGCACTGACAAGCATTTCCCATAAAAGGGCTCGATAGTAACCGACTGACCATGGTGCAATCGTCGGTTAGTGCAAACACTAAGTTCTGCTTCGGGAAGGCGCTGTCGCACCATGATCCAAGCTGGTCCGGGATTGGACAGCGGCTGAAGGTCTGTGTAATGCAACTGCCACCACGGTGATTTGTTGGACATTTTATTTGAGAACTTCCTAGGAATGATCGTCGTCATTTACGATTTTAGCGCACAAGACACATGATGAAAAAGCTTTTCGTGTTACCAGTAGAGCGCAGTGGTCAGTCCAATGCAGATTATGACTGCTACCGCCACTAGCACCCCGGAGATAATTAATGTTTGCGCTACAAGAAGGACAGAGTACTAAAATTCTAATTGAGAGTTGAGGATAGTGACGTACCATTAAACACAGTAGAATAAATTACTGCACAAATTTACAAATTTGAAAAATATTCATTTCGAAACGCCTTACTATTGCTGGTTGCGCAAAGGTCATTCCGGTATCCACACTGTGGGACGTCAGGTGGGGGGCCGTCTTTGCTCTTCCATGTGTGTGCTAATTTTGGAGAAACTTCACGCAAGACGGATGATGCGAAGTCATAGAGCCATGTATCCTGTTAAAAAATTCGAAACCAAAACGAGGTAAAACAAATCCGTTACTGACAGGACTGTCGTGCACTTGGTACAGTATCTACTGTAATCTCCAGCACTCTTGCCTCCAAAACGCCAGAATCGACATTAAGTCGTTGATAAACGGCATCGTTCATTCGCATTCCGTTTTCGTTGATGAAGAAGTTGCGGAAGCATGGATTAAATGATCGATTATAAAATCTTCTAGCAAAACTGGTTCCGGTCAAGGTGTTGATGTCAGCCCGCAGTTCAAGAAAAACCTACGAAAACTTAAAACTGAAGGAAACCTCACAAAGATACGGGTTATTGCTTACCTGGGCAAAGGCAAGCACCGATTCATAACCGGAAATGGCCAGATCATTGAGCTGTAAACAAAAGAGCGACTTTTGCTAAATTACAAAATCATAATTATTATTATTACCTGCTCGTTGCGTGATACTGAGCGATTGTAACGATCGAGCGAATTATTCTTAGCTTCCTCCAGTATGTCGCTGATAAGTTCCCATTTTGGATTTGGGTTTTGGAAACTAATAAGCGATTGGAAGCCATCGAAGGCTGCCTAAATCCAAGCGCAACCGAATGGAAGTAAATACGTAGAGAATGCAATGGTATGTGGCTGAAAGCGGTTAACCAATAATCTCTGGAGCTTACTTCGTCGTTGTCATCAAGAAACTGCCACAGAATTTCCGTCATGCCAGGCACTCGAGTGGTTTGAAAAGTGAAGAATATCTGTAGCAGGTGATATACAAAGTGCAGTCAGAAAATGTACTAAGCGTCCAGTTCATTTCATATTCTCTAAAAATACGACAGTCTGAAGATGATGCGATGAAACTAGGTCATATGTTGATGAAAAAACCGTAATCAGTACATTAATGGTACAGTACATCAGCGTCCAGAAAAACATAAAAAGTCCCAGCGCGCTGTTAGTTTTCTCGGATTATCAGTATGTACTACACACGAGAATACAATGCCATACATACATAGTCGCCATTGGTCATGTTCAACCTCTTCGCTGTAACCTGGTAATGATAACAACACAGTGGAACTGGGATAAACTCAGCCACAGCAATCGCTTCTAAGGCTTACCATGATGTCGCGAACGATGCGCGGATGAGCACAGATCACCTGCACTACCGTTGCCAAGAATAAACAAAAACCATGATTATTAATTTATCATAAAGTTTGTGGAAGGGGCAGTAAACTAAAGAACCTGATGCTGGCTTAAAGGTTTATAACTTTATATTCGTTAAGTTGGGCCCACCTCGGCTTTGATCTTGTACTCTGCTGAGTAATGTGGCATAGTCAAGGGTTTTTACTGAGTCGAATTCCAGTTTGTTCGTGAGGAATTTAGTCGTAGTCGATCCATCCAGAAATCGCTTTATATTACGGCAAGCTACCATATAGAACGTGCTCAGAGCCTGGAATTGCGAGGGCGCATCGCACAGAAGCGTGATGGTGCGCCAGCGGTATCTGCCCAAAAACAGCTGGAAGCTCACGAATGTTGCTACTTCGTCAGAGGAAGTGAAGCTCATCACGGTTGGATAGCGCTGCTTGTCGCTAAGTGCCCCATCGCTCGATGACCTAAAGAGAATGTTAATGCAACTGCAATCGATTTACTCGTGTTTTACAGTGAAGCGGGCTGCAGTATCTCGATGATCATTACCACTTCGTTTCCGTATTTTCATGATAAATTGGGAAATAGATAAGTTTGGAAATAGAAAATGATAAGTTTGGAAATAAGCGAGATGCACTTACGATGCAAAAAGAGGGATATCCCATTCTGTAACACAGATTCATAGTATTGTTATGGAAATTTTCGGATTCTGTAGGGTGGAATATGGTAATTACCAGATAATCACGTCATTAACAATCAGTTCAAAGACTAAGTTCTTGCAGATTAACGATGCCGGTTCATACACGGTAAGATAACCATTTTTTTAATAGAAAATTCTCAGTAGTACACCTATTACTCTGTGAGTTAAAAAAACCAATCTTCAAGAAAAGAAATCGCTTTCAAGAAAACGAAGAAACCCAACATACAACAACCGTATAGAAGAAACAATCATAAAGATTTGCACGAATGTACAGATACAGATCAGCTTACCTCGAGCAAAATCTCCCAGAGCCACTATTTCCAAACTGCACCCTGCAATAAAATATGGTAAGATACGAAAAATTCCTGGATTCGAAGAGCGGTATGTACAAAGTAACCCTTACATTTTGTAGCATTGAAAACCTGCCAGATGGCATAAGATAATATTAATTTTGTTAAAATAGCGATTTGAACCTCGCCGTGCAAATCAATAACGCGCAAAAATTTGCATACTGTAAAATGGCAGGTTCACTTTTTTAACGAGCCAGATAGCTCGGCTGTCCAGCAAATCATTCTGTATACATACTACAGTATTGTATGATTCTGTAGAGCATATACATGTTAATCCGCATATTCGTCGTGAACAAAATCTGTGGCACAGTTACCGGGAGAAAACATGACTGTAAAGCTGTTCGGATATCGTTGGACAGCTTCGTAGATCTTATCCGATAAGGCAGGAACTAATGCTGCCCCATCGGCACAGCTGAGAGCACCAGGCTCATGAATTATCGTTCTGGACATATTGGCAAATGTTGTCGGATAGTCGTGCTGCAGTCGCTTAAAGGCCACATCTAACGTCGGTCCAACGGCATAGTAGCTGAATGGAGTCATGTCTCCGATTAGAATAGTGATGGCATGGATATGCATCTGATTCGGATTGTCAAATTTCACACAAAGGAAAAGCGGCAGAAGGTGTAGCGATAAGGTCAACCCATAAAAGAGTAAGTGCATCATAAGGGAATGAGCAAAACAGTAGCGTCCTCACAGGGCTGGCAATCGTTTAGTTGACTTCAGCTCGCATTATAAGAAAGAATGTTTACGTTGTATTCAGTAACACCATAAAGCTCGCGGAGGTTTCTATCGTCACCTGTTTCCCGTAATGTAATTGTGCGCACTCCAATTATGACAAGCTGGGTGTCTTCCGCAAAACGACTTCAATAACAGTTGCCTCGTCATCCTGATTTCATCAGTCATTAGGGTGACTGCATCTACAAAACGTGCCATTACTTAATTCGTATCGGAATGCGGACCGGGACCAGTCAGTACGTCAGGCACTGATCGTTAAAATTTAATGATAAAGCATGCGCGTGCACGCGAAAATTGATCCAGTAAGAATGGCACATTACAAAATATTTATATTTTTCCCATTCAAATGCTCTAGCGTTCTCGGCATTCCTAAGTTTCTCGTGCTCGTAGACGTTGCACTGAAAAAGGCACGTAACAGTTAGCTAGATCACCGCCGGTATCAAAACAGCAACTTATCGAATCGATCCATTGTACAACCAAGAAACTGGTTAACTCTTTCAGTTTCCACGTCATTGAAAACTGCTAATTTTATAATTTTGTAGCGTGCGTCCGTGCCTTTGGAATCCCAAGTCATTTTACTGGAAGAGTGGCGTAATCACGGACTACAACAGTATACTTAATTGTCTAATTTCTGTGGAATGCTAAAAAACGGAATGTTTGTTACGTCAGTACAATGTGCAACCGATAACACTGTTACACGGCTTACAACTGTGGCTCAATGTAAACGGAAAGGCCGAATGCTGCTAAGGAGGTAGAAGGGCATCTCTTTTGGGAACTGGGCCAATGAGGGCTAGTACATCAAAATGTTCTCATCGGTTTGACGGTTTGAACACGAAAACTGAGTTATATGTATACGATTTCGTTAAATTTCATACCGTAGAAACTAGAAGTCCGTTCCAGTCACATAAGATTAATCACATATCAGTTTTCCTAACGCTCGCGAATTCGCATCGTATAAGAATGCGGGTTCGTTTTTGGAATAATTGAAAGCTAGACTACGAGTAACCATGTTTCTTGTCAGCAACTAATTTCGTAAATGTTAAAGTGTGGATGAATGGTGTGGATGAACACACACGGTGTGGATGAATGGTGTTTAGCAGTGCAATAGTAGGTTGTGGCTATCTGTTCTGACCAGTTTACCACGAGCTGGGCACAGTACTATCGGAAGATGCCCATTCTTTGTCTAAACCTGATTTTAGTGTTTTCGTTGTTCTTTCGTTTCTACGAGACTCCTCTTATAAATAAGGCCAGCGCTTTGGCCGCACAGAGAATTGATGTTTTCTCGATTCTGATCTCCTCCTAGCTCGCCCGTGATGTTGCAACCTTTTCTCAATTCAACAGTCTCAAACTTGACGCGCAGCAGTTAAAATTAGGTACCATAAGAGCATCGTTTTAATATCGCGTGCATTATTTTTCGTGTACAAAGAGTGATAAACATTTACTGGGAGAACATGACCGTAAAACTGCTCGGGTATCGTTGGACGGTTTCCTAGATCCTTTCCGATAAGGCAGGAACTAACACTGCTCCATCGGCACAGCTGAGTATGCCAGGTTGATGGATTGTTGTTCGGGACATACATGTATTGGCAAAGGTTAACGGATAGTCTTGTTGCATCTGCTCAAGCTTAAGGCCACATCATAAGCCGGTCCGACGGCATAATAGCTGAAGGGAGTACTGCCGCCGATAAGGAGGGTGATGGCATGCATAGGAGCATTTTGATTAGAGTTGCCCAATGACAAACAAAGAAACATTAGCGTAAAAAGCAGCGACAAAGTCGACCCGTAAAATGCATTGTAATGGGATGAGCGCAATAACAGCGTTTACGCAAAAGTTTTGGCGAGACGGCAGTCATGCTACTTAATGTGCATGCTGGAATCCTCACCCGACTGAACAATCAGCAACTACCGTTGCCGTTCCTAGCACAAAACAGAGAGAATTCAGCGGAAAAGAGAAATCCGCGAATTATGATACACGATACGCCCCGTTCTGACAGCATTTGAGTAGAAATACAAGCATAGTTGGCAGAGTAAACTTTTTCTCTGCTTTCTTTTTGATTGCATCGGGGCCATTTCCGGCCGTGTTCAGCATATTTGTCCAAAGGAATTAAAGTTCTGATTCCAGCTATGGTATTCTGGCGTAGCGTGAAAGAGTAGGGGAGAAGATTCAGCAAAACGGAGGAATTCGCATATTATAAAAACACGGCACGCCACCGTTTTTTTGGCAGTGGTCTTTGTTAAATGCATGATGAGGAAAACTGCGTATGATTGCGAGCCTTTGCAGCGCTAAGCTATGTCATTTGAGTTGCCGGATTAAACGGTTTTTTTTTGTGTTATGGCTGCGGGACCGTTTCCGGCCACGTTCCGCGTATTTGCCAAAAGGAATTAAAGTTTCGAGCCCACCCTTGGTGTTCTGGCGTTGCGTATATGATCGAGTAATAAACAGCGTTCCTACATTGAGTACATTGCTTATTTTATAAACGTTCGACTGGAAAAGGGTAACAAGAACAAGAAGCATTTATTTATACTGCTTCCGGTGTCGAAACAACAACGTAACGCATTTCAATCAGTTCATTGTATAACTTTGCAACTGATTAGCTTTTTCCACATCAGTAAAAATTGATAATTTTATAATTGGGCAGCGTGCGTCCATGCCTTTGCAATCAAAATCATATTGCTGGATCATTGGCGTAATTCCGGAAGTACATTAAAACGATCACAATGTAATGATATCGATGGATTGATAAACAAACAGAATCTTTGGTGGCGTTGGTACATGTTGCAACGACAGTGATGTTGGTGTCCAAGTACATAATATAATGTAGTGTGTAAAAGGGAAAATCGTCCGGACGGTTAAACCGTCCGCCGGACGCTTTTCCCTGCAAGTCGGCAAAACCGTCCGGCGGGCCAAAAAAACGTCCGTCCTTATCGGGGGCGGACGGTTTTGCCGGAGTGCATATTCGGGGGCGGACGGTATTGTCGGAATGCATACCGTCCGGCCCCAAATTATAGACCGGCAATACCGAATAAACAGTCTTGGTCATTCACAGAATCGAATAGAGCAGAAAAAAGTTCAAAAAACTGGGTGGAGAACATTTACGGCGTACGTTTTTTCGGACGTCCGGACGATTAGCCGGTTACACATCGTATCGGGAAGTGCGCATCTTTATCATGATAATTATTACTGTTTCAGCACAAATCGCAACTGAGCAGGAATCGTAGTAACTGCGGGAAGTACATCATAGCGTTGCTAGGTAAGTAACATTACAGAATCTCGAGAATCTCGTGTACGTACATGTGGTACGTACACTCGTACAATCATCACAATATAACCCCTCGCGGTGAATTTAAATCGAAGATTCGATTCACTATAATACACGATTTAGCATAATAGTAATATACTAGTGGTGGTTGTTAACCACATTATCGCACGAGCGCGAGCGCCAATACCACTGAGTAGTGGTAGTGGGTTTATGGAATTGGAAAAGTGAGCCGTGACGCTCTTCGTGGCGTCAGACAAATTTATGCTCTTGACGATCAATTAACTGCAGCACCTCGCGCTTCGCTCTCGGTGAAAATTATTATGGTAATCATTTTTATCGACAGAGTCGTGCACACAGCTATCTGTCACCAGCTTTTTTCTCAGATGAATACGAGTAGAAAATGGTGAAAAATTTCCATAACATATCTAAATCTAAATGCTATCATCGCAAGACTGAATTGAGCGCTTCAGGTGCTCCTTTGCCGCTATCATTGCCAGCGGAGATGCTGCTGCCTTAAACAACAAAAAACAGCCAAAAGGTTCAGCGCAACAGCCAAAAGGTTATCATTTCCCCTTTTCCCTGTAAAAATAACGAATTTCTGTGCACATGCCGCATATATTGAGAACACATGCATTCAGGATAATAATATTATGATTCAGGATAATAAGATTATGTACGAGGTTATAAAGAATTTCGGGCTAACGGCTTTACGATCAACCTTTACGATCGGCTTTACGATCGATGTATTCCATGCAATCCGCACCTTGACAGTTATCACGCTTTCACCAGTGACAGTATCCAAAATGTCAGCGTTTGGAAATAACTTACAGTAATTCCAATACAAATCAGATGCTATCTTTACCTTAATGCTAATAGCACCACGTGACTCTGTTTCAAAACCGCCCAGCTTGTCCAGCAAATGTTTGGTAGTTCCGCTAACATGGATGCTGGAAGCTGTAATCAGGCCACCAGCTTTAAAGAATTCTGATTCAGAGTTCGAAAATGAACCCCACCGCGTTATTTCCTAGCGGAAAGCGTTGGTAGTATACCTACTTCGCTATTACTACTGATAACACGCATAGCTGGCATTTAGGACTATGTAAGCATAAAATGATTTGTCTGGACATTTAGCTTAGACAGCTTTAGGGCATCAAAACAAATAGTTGGTATCTAAATGACAGGTCCGGCAGGTGCCGAAAGGAACGTAAAACTGGCAAACAGTACTGTAATATGCGTTTTCCTTATCTTGCTAACTTACCGGCACCGTGCGTTTCCATTCGGCTAGCTGTATTAACAGTGTCCCCGAATCTGCAGATGCAAACAAAAATTAAAAGTTTATTTTACAACTCGTCTAAAAAACTAAGATTTTATTCATAACCCAAAACTTTTGGTCGGTGAACTTTGAAGCAGAAGGCCGTGGTTTTAAGCTAACCCGTGCGTAGCCGTTTCTTTAACCTGATAGAAAAACGGTTTTACTCACAGACAGTACCGCGGCATTTTAAGTCCCACAACACCGGCTGCGCAGGGACCTGCAGGAAAATACACATTGACTTAATATTTCATAACCCAGTTAAAAAATAGGAAATCACTATAAGCACCCCCTTACACCCTCGTTTATTATGGGCACCCCTTCTCGCACCCCGTAATTTATAGACACCCTTTTCTGTTTATTAAATAGAAACACCCAGTCAGTGTATTTTATAGGCACCCTTTAATAGCATATTTCGGATACAGAATTCGAAATAGATTTCATATACGTGCGTTAGACTGACGCCGTCAGTCTCATACAGATACTCGCATTGGAGACCGGGTGGCCTCCTCCTTGTCCAGCGCTTCTGCTAACCATTTTCGGTTCGGTTCGGCTTTTGTAAAAACCGTACCTTCTGGTGACCCGTACAGGGCTTGCACGCAATCCATCCTCGCAGCCATGTCAGCGCTTATTCGTGTCACTTCCGCTGCGTCCGGACTACAGATTGCTTACGTATCCTTATCCATAAATATCCTTAAGTACTAATCTGCCTCTCCATACTTTTGCGATCATAGTTACCGTATCTAGGTTCTAAAACTACAATTACAGTAGTACTACTCGAAACGCACTTTAAATGCGTTCTGTAAGATACAGAGCCGGGGGTTCTATAAAAGTTAATCTACCAATGGTACAGCGCTGAATCTTATAGAGCGTTACAGAGCTACGAGACCACGGTTTCTAAAAGCGCCCAGTTACCGTAGTTGAATTGGTCAACGATTTATTTATTTTCCGCAACAATTTTGTGGCCGTTTCCTTTCTGTTTTTTTGGCGATTTTTAGTTTTGTTAAGTCAAGAAATCAAACGGCTGGTGAAAAAGCGAAAGGCAATTGCACGTCGCGCTGACGGCTCTGGCGAAGTTGCCTGTTGCCATCGATACAAATTAAACATGCACAGTCAGAGGCAGCTAAAATCAGTGAACAAAGCAGGACTGGAATGTTGATTCGATAGAAACAATTAAAATCCCGTTAATTACACCCTCAAAAACTTGAAATTAAAAATAGAACTTAAGACGTACAGCGGACTGTGCATCCACATCAGAAAATAAATTTAACCTAGCAAGAAATGCAAGTTCTGTATCGTAACGGAGCCAGGAGAGTTCCTTTTAGATACAGAGCACTTTAACTCGGCCGTCCAATCAGCGGTAAGAGGGTGTGATCGAAAAGTTACAGAACTTCCGGCTCTGTATCGTACAGAACGCATTTAAAGTGCGTTTCGAGTAGTACTAGTATTATATTCTAAAGTTTCATAGGGGTGCCGATAAAAAACACGGTGCACGAAAGAATCAATTAACAACATAAAGGTGCCTTTAATTAACGGGGTGCGGAAAAGGGGTGCCTATAGTAAACGGGGGTTTTTGGGGTGCCTATAGTGTCGCCCTAAAAAATAATGGCTCTAATAAAATCGTTACCCGAATGTATGCCGACACGCAGTCGCAACCGTTCTGTGGCTTCAATTGGCGAGGAGATGCTTTCCGTGGCAAGCAGCATCGACAGCGTCATCCGTGCTATTTCACCGGCATGCCGGATACCGTTGCGTGTCGGCAGGCCGCTGGCTAACTGTCACACGAGTAAACAATTAACGAATGCGAAGAAATTGCTGTGCGAAGCAGTTTTTGGTTTAAGACAACGTACTAGATAGGAATCGCCGATGGTCTCCACTTTGTAGACATCGAATCGGGGTAGAATGGAATCAAAGACGCTGTATACGACATTTAGCAGAGTGATTGTCTGCAATGGAGCACACTCCACGACAATCGAGCCAAACTGGGGAATATCGCTGAACGACAAGGTCACACAGTCGAAGTGTTCCGCGGTGACAGTGTGTTTGTTGCGTAAACTATTGACTACCAACCTGCAACACTAGCGTGCGTTTACTATTGCACGTACATACACGGTATTAATGGAAAAATTACTCTGGCAGTATTTCCCGTAATAACGAGTCCACTTTACTCTGCTCCTCTATCAGCTGCCGAGTACGGGCCTCGACAAGATCCTCTAGATGGCTGGAGTAAAGGTCCAGTCGCGGTAGAATTAGATCCATCATCTTCTTGCACGGAATGACTTGACTCAAGACTTTGGTGAAGCGCGACATTGCTGGTCGATCAAGGTGGTTGTTGGCAGTGCATGTGTCGACTATGCGTAACAGTTCCACCGGCAGTTTGGATATGTCCGCGATGCGAATAACAGTTGGGTCCTTGCGTAGCACGGCAACATTTTCTACAAATAGCAGTTAGTATCTTGCTGCAGTGCGTATTAAAGTTCAACAAACATCTATGGAGTGCGCCGATTTCTAATATTAAAGCGAAGCGGAAAATACAGGGTATGCTGTGCGAGGTTAGCCGGCCGCAGTAAAGCAAATGCAGCAAATCCCGACACTTGTCGACTACAGTCTCGTCTTCGAGTTTAGCAAGAACATACTAATATAATTAGAAAATATTAACAATATCAAATGGTGGCTTCGCTTCCGTCCTGCCATGTTACAATTGCCTAATACGGTGTACCGCTCTATAAGTTGATGGCATCCATGCTTCAAGATTGAGTAGCCGAATTACCTTGCACGCTGTCGGGACTCGCAAAATTTGTCTGCAGGGGTGCCCGACCGGTGAAGATTTCGTTAATGACCACCCCCAAACTGTACATGTCGCGACCTTAACGGCTGCCCCGCTAATGACCTCCGGTGCCGCCCACAATACACTGGGATCCTGTGGCAGTTCTGCGGGAAAGATGCTTCCATACAACTTCCCGCGGAATTTTGCTAGGGCGTACGACGATAATTTTAGGCAAAACCGTTTGTCAATCATGATGCTTAAGCTGGATAAGGTCCCGTGATACTGAAGTGAAGAGCCGTGCAAATATTTTAGTCCCTGTAAAAACAGTTTTCATATTCATGAGCCAGAACGCTACATCCAGCAAAATGCATGCTGTCACTGCAGTACCTGCACTATTTCCCAAATCATCGAGCTTTTTAAGGTGTGGTCCATGTGGATCGGTTCGTTGTGTATCAGCAGTCTTAATGTATCGCGAGCACCGTAGTCGAATACCATGTAGGAATTCGCGGGACTGCTGTTGGTCGCGATACCAACAAATCTGTTCACATTCTCATGGTGTAGAAATTTTATCTAGTAAAGCGATAATTTCTTGAAATAGATAACGGTTACGTGTCGCTACAGAATTATACTTCTTTACCGAATGGAGAACATTGCGGAACATTGATTGTTCTAAGAGTTGGTGCACTGACAAGCATTCTCCAGAAAACGACTCAATAATAACCGACCGACCATGATACAATCGCCGGTTAATGCAGACACCGAGTTCTGCTTCCGGAAGTCGCTGCCGCACCATGATCCATGCGGGTCCAGGATTGGAAAGCGGCTGCAGGTCAGTGTAATGCAGCTGCCACCACGGTGATTTGTTGGACATTTTATTTGAGATCTTCCTATGAATAATTGTCGCCACTTATCACTAGCGCATTGGTACTTACAAAGCGGCAGAATTTTTTAGTGATTTTACCAGTATTACCAGTAGAGCACAGTAAACAGTCCAATGCAGATTATGACGGTTACCGTCACTAGCACCCCGGTGATTACTACTGCTTGCGCTGCAATAGCGAAAGGGTACTCAGAATCTAATAATAATTTAGTGACCACTTGAGGCTGGTACGCGTAGTCGCACACCATTAAGCACACTAGAATAAACCAATCAACATAATATTATAAAGAAAATAAACATTTTGAAATGCCTTACTATTACTGGTTGCGCAAAGGTCATTCCGGTATCCACACTGTGGGACGTCTGGTGGGGGGCCGTCTTTGCTCTTCCATGTGTGTGCTAATTTTGGAGAAACATCTCGCAGAACAGATGAGGCGAAGTCGTAAAGCCATGTATCCTGTCAGTAAATTCAAAACCGAAACGAGGTGAAACAAATCCGCTACTGACAAAACTGTCATGCACTTGGTACAGTGTATAATCACAAAAAAAGCACCCTTGCCTCCAGAAAGCCGGTATCGACATTTAGTCGTTGATAAACGGCATCGTTCATTCGCATTCCGTTTTTGTTGATAAAGAAGTTGCGGAAACAAGGATTAAATGATCGATTATAAAATCTTCTAGCAAAACCGGTTCCGGTTAAGGTGTTGATGTCCGTCCGCAGTTCATGAAAAACCTACTGACGCTTATAATTATAAGATACTTCAGCGTTCTAGATGCGGGTTATTCCTTACGTGAGCAAAGGCCATGACCGATTCATAACTGGAAATGGCCAGATCATTGAACTAAATTACAAACAACAACAGTACACTACGCTAAATTACAAAATCATAAATGTAACACTAGCGGTCAACGAGATACCTGTTCGCTGCGGGATACCGAGCGATTGTAACGATCGAAAGAATTATTCTTAGCCTCTTCCAGTACATCGCTGATAAGTTCCCATTTTGGATTTGGGTTTTGGAAACTGATAAGCGACTGGAAGCCTTCGAACGCTGCCTAATCCCAAACGCGAACGAATAGCAAGTACTGTACATACGTAGAGAATGCAAAGGTATTCGACTGAATGTTATAAACCAGTATTCGTATCTTACTTCGTCGTTGTCATCAAGAAATTTCCACAGAATTTCCGTCATGCCAGGGACTCGAGTGGATTGAAAAGTGAAGAATATCTGCAGCGGATGATAAACAAAGTACAATCAGCAAATATATTAAGTGTACAGTTTATCCCATATTCTTTAAAAAATCGACAGTCCGAAGAAAGATAATAGGGTGAAATTTGGTTATTTTGATGATAAACCGTTATCACTTATCAGTACAGCAATGGTACGGTAATCGTCCACCAAAACGTAAAAAGTCTAGCATACATACATAGTCGCCATTGGTCATGTTCAACCACTTTGCCGTCACCTGGTAATGACAACAACACAGTGCTAGGTAAAACTGCGACACAAACTGAAATAAAAGTAGTATGTAGTTGTACTAGCTGCTTGTAGAGCTTACCATGATGTCGCGAACGATGCGCGGATGAGCACAAATCACTTGCACTGCCGTTGCCAAGAATAAACAAAAAACCACGATCATCAAGCTTTCATGAAACTCTATAGTTTACTGCACCCTTCCTCAGGCTTAGAGATTTTTGGCGCACCTCGGCTTTGATCCTGCACTCGTCTCAGTAATGTTGTGTAGTTCAGGGTTTTTACTGAATCGAATTCCAATTTGTTCGTGATAAATTTGGTCGTTGTCGATCCATCCAGAAATCGCTTTATATTACGGCAAGCTACCATATAGAACGTGCTCAGAGGCACGAATCGCGAGGGCATATCGCACAGAAGAGTGATGGTGCGCCAGCGGTATTTGTCCAAAAATAGCTGGAAGCTCACGAACGTTGCTACTTCATCAGAGGAAGTGAAGCTCATCACTGTTGGATAGCGCTGCTTGTCGCTAAGTGCAGCGTCGCTCGATGAACTAAGAATATTATGCGACAGCAAGCAAGTTACTCGTATTTACTGTGAAGTGATTTTGTTGTACGGAATCTACCTATCTCTTAACCTGATGTTCTTAATGTAACCAAATAAACGCTCCTGTGAAGCGAGTCGCATTATCCCACTTATGTCAACGTATTTTTGAAAGTTGTGGCTTCCGTTTTTTTTTGTTAAAGTGGTGTAAATGATCACTACCACTTCGTGATAAAATAGCTTGGAAATCGCCAAGACGCACTTACGATGCGAAAAGAGGAATATCCCATTCTGTAACACACAGTCATTATACTGTTACTGAAATCTGCGGATTCTGTGGGGTAGAATGCAGTAGTTACCAGAAACCATATCAGTTAAACTTAAACTGAAAGAACGGAGTGTTATTAGTACTTTCTGGTAACGCTGTTGGTGAAACCTTCAAACACTGTATAATATTCCATTATCTTAAAACATTTCTCAACAGTATTACCTGCCGTTCTGTTTGCAAGAATAAATCATTTTTTCAAGAATAGGAATGGTTTTCAGGAAAAGGAAGAATCCCCAAGTACTAGCGTGAAAAATCTGCATGATCGTACACGTGAGCTTACCTCGAGCAAAATCTCCTAGAGAAACTATTTCCATACTGCACCCTGCAATGAAATCTGGTAAGATACGAAGAATTTCTGGAGAAGGGGTGGAAACGCGGCATAAACAACAACCCTTAAATTTCGTTAAAGTGAACAACTTCTCAGCAGGGCGCCATGCGAGGGAAACCGAGAAACGGCTGAAAAAGGCGCCAATAGGGGAATCGAACCCCGGCTACGTCGTTAGATCCGCGTAGGCAGTACCACTGCACCACGGCGCAAAGTGTTGAAAATCCTTGAAAGACTTTGTCGCTGTACATGAGCCGCTTCTCTCCTCACAAACTGGTCGGATGACATAAGATAGTACTAATTTTGGTAACGTAATGATTTAAATTTTCCTGCAAATTTATAGCGCTCGAAAATTTGTGTGCCATAGAACAGAGACTCATTTTTTCACAAGCTAAACTGTTCATATGCAGCAAAATATTCCGTACATACATGTACATGTATGTACACTGGGCGCCATAAATGTGATTACACCGATAGCCTACTACGCAACAGGTCGGGACGCGGGGGGGGGGCGGACTTATCATTTTCGAACCACCTTAAGAGGAGGCTCCAATTACGGGAAGGGCTTCTGTTGTGGGGGGCTTATAATTCGATAATACGGTATTCCCGCATCCTTCGTGTTCAAAATATGTAGCGCAGTTACCGGGAGAAAACATGACTGTAAAGCTGTTCGGATATCGTTGGACAGCTTCGTAGATCTTATCCGATAAGGCAGGGACTAATGCTGCCCCATCGGCACAGCTGAGAGCGCCAGGCTCATGAATTATCGTTCTGGACATATTGGAAAATGTTGTCGGATAGTCGTGCTGCAGTCGCTTAAAGGCCACATCTAACGTCGGTCCAACGGCATAGTAGCTGAATGGAGTCATGTCGCCGATTAGAATAGTGATGGCATGGATATGAATTCCATTGGTATCGCCAAATGTCAGACAAAGGCAAATCGGCACAAGGTGTAACGCCAAGATCAACCCATATAAAAGTAAGTACATTGTAGTTAGACGATCAAAACAGCAGCATTGGCACTAAAGCTATGGCAAGGATATACCGAACCCACATCAGCTTGATGGAGCCTTCTGGGCTGGTAATCGTCCAATCAATTTCCGCTCGCATGCAACGAAAGGATGCATCATGCGTGTTTTGTGTCCTGAATACCGCGAAGCCAGAGAAGGTTTTTTATCGCCTGTACCGTGAGATACTGTACATGTTCATATTTCTGTACTCTGTAGTGATAAACTAGGAGTGTTATGCAAAAAGACTTCAATAATATTCGCTCCGATCAACCTGGTTTCATGATCATTACGGTGCCAGCGTTTGGCCTTATCCGTCGCTTAATTTGATCCCCAGGTATGCCGACACGTGCGGATTCCAGTCAATAATACACCAAGCACTCGTAGTCATTTTAAATGATACAACAGCTAGCGCGTGTTAAATTTCTTCCAGTAAAATCGGTACATTACAAAAATTGACATATTTTTCTCATTCATATGCTTGTATTCATACGCTTTTCTCGTTCATTTGCTTCGCACATAAAATAAGTGGTATAATTTTTCTCTAGGTACTGTACTGAAAAGGTCAACCAAAATTTAGTTAAATCACTTTCCGATACCAAAACGGTCAGCGTAATGTACTCCGATCGATCAATCTATCGTATAACTGAAGAGCTCGTTAACTTCTTCCACTTCCACTGATTATAAGTAATAAACAGTTTTTCAGCGTGATTCCGTGACTGTGGAATCGCAAGTCAAATTACTTTATACGCAATTTGGCTTAATCATGGAATAAAAACGATCATAGCAGAAACGATCGCCTGCAGGGGAGCGCACTGGACGATGATCGGCTCAAGCTGGGGAATGTCCTGAACGGCAAGGTCACACAGTCAAAGTGTTTAACGGCGACGTTGTGTTTGTTGCGTAATCCTCCGGTAATCGGTTGACTGCTCACCTCCAACAGCGAACAGCGTCTAATGTCCCGCGTTTGCTCTTGAGCAAAGATGCAGTATAGATGCAGTTATTGGTATTCATGAATGAAAGATGCAGTATACATAAAACTGAAATTAATCGGTACATACACAAGCGGAATTTTCGTGACGTCAGCACAAGGTGCAGTGATAATGATTTTATACTGTATTCAACTCTGGCATACTGAGAGATCCCATGCTGACATGAGATGTCACGTACTTTAACACGCTGATCATATCGCCCATCACAACAGGGGAGCGGTGGCGGGAGCGGTAGCTGCGCAGGCCGAACTCTGAGAAATATTGCAGTATTACCAAGAATACCGATTTTGTCCGCTGGGCTTCGAGACTCTCGGTTCCCTGGACCGAAAGATTTCCGCATGATCGCGTAACAAAGACGAGAGATTCGTCCGGAAACTGGCGAGAAACAAGCGAATGGAGTAAAACGGCATGGAAACTTAACGAGGTATCGCGGCAGCTGTTCTGGGAACTGTTGGGCGAAATTTGAGCACACTAACGCATCTGCTGCCGCAGCTAGAAGGTCACCATTTTGCTTTTTTTCTGTAGAACTACAATTGCATAAGTTTACAGAGGCCTACGTTTCACTTGTGCTCTGAAGTTTCATTTTCATTAGCTACTCGAGTAGGTATATAGTGCGTTTAATTCACGAAAACTGGTCGCTAAGTTTATCCAATTCTTTGTGCACATGTGTCACTTACACCGCGACAGCGCAGCCGCACATGTAAGTACTATCAGTGTATAACCATCTCAACGCTGAAGCTACTGTTTTTGCAAAATCAGCACCACCGAATATTAAGTCTAATGCAACAGCCAAAAGGTCACCATTTCCCCTTTTCCCTGTAAAAACAACAACCAGTCCTTGCGTATAAGCCACAAATCTTTTCAAATTGTAACTATTAATTTTATATTTACATTCAGAATAATGACTACGATTTTACGAACAAGGCGACAAAGCCTTTTGGTCCAACATTACTACGAACAACTTTATACAGGTCCATTTACATTAGCCTGCGTCATGAATAGCATCTGCTGCGATTGTCGAATTTGTAAAATCATCAGACAGTTCAAGTTGCTCCTGTTCGGTATTGATAAGTTGTTTAAGTATTAATCAGTTGGTTTCTTTACCTTAATGATAACAGCACCCCGTGACTCTGTTTCAAAACCGCCAATCTGGTCTAGCAAATGCTTCGTAGTTCCGCTAACATGGATTCTTGAAGCTGAAACCAAGTCAAACTTCAAATAAGTCTCGCTAAAAGGTGGAAAAGAACTCCAGAGCATACAAGGCAGATACCGGAATACTACTCGCTACCGCTTTCGCGCACAGCAGACAAATAGCCAAAAACGCTGATGATTTGTTTCTGCTTCTACGACTAGCCTTGAACGTTTTGCGATACGTTTCAATATAAATGTAAATGACCAATTCAATCCGGTAGTTGCAGAAAGTGAAACTATCAACCTATATTTCAGTTTCCCAGATTTAGTGTTTCCTGATATTTTTCCTAACTTACCGGCACCGTACGTTTCCATTCGGTTGGCCGTGTTAATTGTGTCTCCAAACCTGCAAATGTGAACGGCATTAAACTTTGATTTGTGCTGTTTAGACTTAAACGCATCTGCAGTCTTAAAATTCGTTCTACATCATTAAAACGGAAAATGATGAAATCCTTGGTTCTGATTTGACCCGTGCATAACCGCTTATTTAATTTTAACTTGATAGAAAAACGGTTTTACTGACAAGCAGTAGCGTGGCATTTTTAGGCCCACAACGCCGGCTGCGCAGTGACCTGCAGAAAAATCCGCATTAACTTAATAATTTTTTAAATCTGTTAAACATAATATTTCCGATGAAATCGCTACCCGAGTGTATGCCAACACGCAGTCGCAGTCCTTCTGCCGGTTCCATCGGCGAGTGGATGCTCTCCGCGGCCTGCAGCATAGTCAGCGTCATCCGCGCTATTTCGCCCGCATGCCGAATACCGTTGCGTTTCGGCAGGCCGCTGGCTAACTGTCACACGAATAAGAAACACTCTGTCAATACTCATTACTTAGAACGGCTGCATTGTAAAAACGTAAGTACTAGATATGAGGCGCCGATGGTCTCCACTTTGTAGACATCAAATCGCGGCAGAATCGAGTCGAAGACGCTGTACACCGTGTTGAGAAGAGCGATCGTCTGCAGCGGAGGACATTGAGCGACGATCCGCTCAAATTGAGGGATATCGCTGAACGATAAGGTCACGCACTCAAAGTGTTCCGCGGCGACAATGTGTTTGTTGCGTAATTGGTTGACTACCGTCCTACAACAATGTCGAGGGCTCCGTTGACGCGTTTGCTCTTGAACAAATATTTTATACAAACACAAGTATAATTCACGAGCGTAAACATCTTACTCGGGCAGCATTTCCCGTAATAACGAGTCCACTTTACTCCTCTCGTCCATTAGCTGACGCGCACGAACTTCAACCAGATCCTCTAAATGACCGGAGTACTGATCCAGTCGGCTTGTAACCAAATCGAGCATCTTTTTGCACGGGATGACCTGACTTAATGCCGCGGCAAAGCCGGTCATAGTCGGCCGTTCCAGTTGGTTGATGGAAATGCACGAATCAACAATGCCGACCAGTTCCGCTGGCATTTCTGACGTATCCTCAATGCGAGTGACATTTGGATTCTTACGTAGTACGGCAACGTTTTCTATTAACAGCATTCGGTAATGCTTTGTGGGCACTCTGTAGTGCAGTAAGCCGGTACATACTCGGGAACATGTACGAACTAGTGTACATGTACATGGTACCAGACTCGGGTACATGTACGCAAACTTGCGCTTTCGCGCACTCTCAGACATTGGTTTGCGCTGTTTTATGGCATTCTATAGCCAAAATAATGATTCATATAAACTGGAACAAAACACCATTGTGCGCGCAAAATCCGGTTGCGAAGATACTGGTTAAAGATTCCCACAGTTTAAACGCATGGAGGTGTCCCAAGAGTCTTATTATGCACTACTCCTCTTCAAATTTTGCATGCAAACGCACAACACCATGAACGGTTTTTGCACCAAATTATTTTCCCACCATGTTTTCCAAATTTTGACATGAATTTCAAAATACCGCGCTTCCAGGGAGAAGATGGCTGTACGGGTTGAAAAAGGAGACGAGGCCACTATTCAGCCATGATTACGATTACCATAATCGAGAAACACCAGTTCACTGTGCGGCCAGATCGCAGGCCTATTTAACATATAAATATACTGGATCGTCCGGTACGCACGTAAGAAGGACGAAAAGTAAATAATTTAGAAATAAAATGGGCAGCTTCCGGTAAATCTGCGCAGTCATGCTGCCCTTATGGGTAGCTTGTCAGAGCAGATAGCCACAACCTGTTCCACCGCTAAGACAACGTTCATCCGCTCTAATAATTAGACTTATTTACACCTCCGTGCGTTTAAAATTTTGGAATAATATTGCACCGATATCTCCACAACCAGATGTTCCTTGCACCAAACGCTTTTAAGCCAGTGTGTAAAATTATTTGGCTATAGCATGTCCTATAGCAAGGTATAGTCCTAAAACATTGAAAAAAGTGTTTGGGAGTGCGCAAAAAGTAAAGCACATGTACACGTACTGGTACAATGTACCGGCACATGTCCCTTAACCAGTACAATCGATTCGTATACTATACTAATTTATACTAGGAAAGTGCACCGCTGTTGGCTAGCACTGAAAGACCGAAGCGAAGCGGGAAACAAAATTAAATAAACACTTTAGGAGATTCATTTTTTTTTAATTTCCCGTTTTCATTTATTATTTTTTGTGTTCATTAAATATAGTTTTTAACACTATTTATGAATTTTATTAAAAAATGAAGGCGTGACCGACGTGACCGACAAAAGTCCCGTTTTCTTGAACATAGAGGACCTTCGCTTCGCTTCGGTCGACAAGTATACTAATTTTATACAGTCAAAAACGCAAGGTATAGTCAAGAATGGCACTTGCAGATGTACTAGAACAGTTTGTACACAATGTGAAAAAGCGTGCACGTAGTACGTACCGTGTACGCTGTCAGTAATCGCAAAATTCGTTTGCAAGGGTGTCCGACTGGTGAAGATTTCGCTGATGATGACACCCAGACTGTACATATCGCTCTCTTTCGTGGCCTTTATGGATGCCCCGGAAATGACTTCCGGTGCGGCCCACAATATGCTGGGATCTAGTGGCAGCTCTGTGGGGTAAACGCTTCCATATAATTTTCCTCTAAATTTCGCCACTGCGTACGACGAAATTTTCAAGCAGAAGCGTTTGTCTATCATAATGCCTAGGCTTGATAGGTTTCCGTGATAATGCAGCATAGAGCGATGCAGATATCGTAATCCCTGTACAAAGATTCTGGTGCTAGTAATAAGATTACCGTAGAAAAAGGTTAAATATTGCTTGGTACATGCACGATTTCCCAAATCGTTATCGTCTTGAAGGCATGATCCATGTAGATGGGTTCACTCTGAATCAACATGAGGAGCGTATCGCGAGCGCCATACTCAAAAACCATACAGGAACCGGCAGGCATCACACATGCTTTAGTGGCCGTGATGCCGATAAATTTGTTTAGATTCTGATGATGCAGATTTCTCATCTAATAAGAAAGACGTTTTAGCAACATACTCCAGGCTGAAATCAACAACGGTTGCATGCACATTGAGTTTTACCTGTTGCAGAACACTGCGGAAAGTTACTTGCGCTAGGATTTGCTCTACTGTCAAGCACTTTCCATAAAAAGATTCGATTACAACTGCCTGACCGCAGTATAAGCGTCGGTTAATGCCGACACTGATTTCGGTTGCGGCATGCAGTTGTCGTAAAAGGACACCAGCTGGTCCAAGATCGGAATATGGCTGCAGGTCAGTGGAAGGTAAGTACCACCATGTTGACTTGTTGAACTTTTCATTTGAGCGCTTCCTGTAAAAAATTGCTGTAATACTTAGCAGGAGCTTAGCTGCTATTATGGAGAAAGGAAGCGCTTGATGAAATCACCAATAAACCGTAGAAATCAACCCGATACAGACAATGACCGCTATCGCCGCTACAATTCCGGTAACTGTTCTTGGCGCTGCAATGCAACAGTGCATACTAATTACGTAAAACTCGGAAAGGTATGTAGTACTAATTTTTTAAAATGGTGGACACTGGGCTGTCGTTCAGGCTAAGGCAGTTGACTGAGATTTGCTTTGGTAGTTAACGCACTACTTTGCCGTAACTGTAAGCTTGATACGGTAAACGTATGCGGTGTTGCGCATGTCGTATGAAAGTAAGGTTACTTCGTTTCCAGTAAGTGCATTCAACCACAATTACGAGCACGCTTTCAGACAAACTTTAAAATTAGTAGCATTCAAGAGCGTTATTTTTATTCTGGGGGTATGGACCAGTTTCGGGCGTATCGACCCTATTGTTTCTGTTATAATTCAGCGTGTTTTTCCGGGTGATTGTTTATTGCGTTTTTGATTTGACCAACAAAGTGCAATCAACCAAATTAATTTTAGTATTATTAATTTTTTAAATCAAACCATTTTCGGAAACGCCTTACTAGTGCTGGCGGTGCAAAGGTTGTTGTGGAATCCACACTGCGGCACGTCAGGTGGAGGACCATCTCTGCTCTTCCAGCTGTTCGCTAATTTAGGGGAAAATTCTCTTATGTTGGATGAAAAGGAGTCGTAATGCCATGCATCCTGTCGAAAATCGGAGTCACATAAGTAGGTTTATGTTAATAACCATGTTACGCAAAGTGTTAATTAAAAGCTGTGAAGACTCCATTTAGGGTGTGTCGAGCCTCTTGCCTCAAAAACGCCGGTATCGGTGTTAAATCGATGATACACAACATCGTTCAAGCGCATTCCGTTTTCATTTATTGTGAAATTACGGAAGCATACATTAAACAATCGATTGTAGAATCGCTTCACAAAACTGATTCCGGTTAGGACGTTGGCATCTCCCAGCAAAGCTTCTTCCATAACCTATGAAACGTTAAAAGTTGGTTTTCGTAAAATCTGTTGAAACAGAGCTGTTGTCTTACGCGAGCAAACACAATCACCGATTCATAACCCGCAATGGCCAGATCCTTGCGCTGCAAAATAAAGAGCGCGTTCAGCAATCGTACTAAATCATAATTATTATGGTAATATGATACCTGTTCATTCCGAGAGACTGAACGGTTGTAACGTTCGAACGAAATATTCTGGGCTTTTTCCAGTACATCGCTGATAAGTTCCCATCTTGGATTTGGGTTTTGGAAATTTATCAGTGATTGGAAGCCATCAAATGCTGCCTAATTCGATACGCCAGCGAACATCAACTTATTTATTATGATGTATGTACACCAAAAGCATCTGACAGAAACCGGCAGCCCAATGTACAGTATTCCCACAGGGCCACAGCTGTAGCTCACTTCGTCGTTGCCATCGAAAAACTGCCACAGAAGTTCCGTTTGACCTGGCACCAGTGTGGTTTGCACAGTGAAGAATATCTGTAGCGATTAATTTAAACATCCCGGTCAGTACTACATTTTTACGTCCAACGCTTTCGATGATTTCCAAGATAAAGTGAAAGTGTATTAGATTAAATTAAAATTGTCAAAAGGCTCAAAACGTAACTCTTAGTGTTGATACAATAAAGTAGTATCATCGTCCAGATGTGTAAGTGCAAATGACAGAAATTAAGTCGTGCTCAATCGGCACAAACAGGTATTACTCAGCGTTTTCAGCGTTATTTTTAAGGAAAGAAAAATATTTTTTATATATATAACGTACATAATCGCCATTGGTCATGTTTAGACGATTTGCTGTCACCTGTCGATGACAAAAACAGCGCAATATACTAGAGACGAAAGAGGCAGAAATAATTCATGAAGTTTTACCATAATATCGCGAACAACACGCGGATGGGCGATGATTACTCCCACTATCAGGGTCAAAAAGCAGACAGAAACCATAATCATCAGCAATTACCAATTACCAGTATTCTAAATTTTAATTAACAATGTGTCACTGTTCGACCCACCTCGGCTTTGATTCTGCATTCGAGTCAGTGGTGCTGTGTAGTCTTGGCTTTCTCTGGAGTTGAATTCCAGTTTGTTTGTGAGATATTTGGTCATCGTCGATCCATCGAGAGACTGCTTTAAATCCAGGCAGACTATCACGTAGAACGCGCCGTTTTGCTTGAACTGCGAGGGCGATTCGCACAAAAGCGTAATAGTGCTCCAGCGGTATTTGTCTAATAACAACTTAAAGCTGCGGAACGTTGCTACTCCATCATTCGATGCAAAGCTCAATAGTGTTGGATAACGGTGTTTGTCGGCAAGTCTACCATCACTCGCTGAGCTGAACAAGATGAAGCTGTTGATGCATGTGTAGGTATGTTTTAATCTGCTGCATTTTTAACGCGAGTCAGCGCATCGGTTAAAACTGCGGCTTCTCTCCTCAAGACTTGCAAATCCATTTCTCAGATTCTTATAATACTCAATGGGCTTTTGTGGGCTTCTTTCAGTTTTTGGTATCAAATACAAAAAAAAGTAGACATCTATTTGTTTATATGTAGTACAAGAACGTCCCTTACGTAATGCACTGATTAGCTCTACAATTTTTGTAATTTGTAAAAATGGGCTTACGACGCAATTAGAGGAATATCCCATTCTGCAAGACAGAATGATACACATTGTGATGAAATTCTATGAATATGAAATATGTGTCAAATTCAGTGATAAAGGTAGTACTCGGAAATCAATCGCAGTTGCTCATATTGTTTGTCTGATAAAGAGCAAACATTTCAGATAAAGCACACCCTTGTGAAACTATGGAGAGAAGTAGGGTGCAAGTAATAATCTAGAAAACATGAAGTTTCGCTGCATTCCGGTAACTGTATACGCGAACTTGCCTCGAGCAAAATGTCCAAGATTTAACATCTCCATGCTGCATCCTGTAATGAAATCTGGTAAGATGCGAGAAATTCTTGAAGTTGGTGTGGGGGCGGCATTCGAATACAGAGTAACTATCAGGTAATTAATTTGACAAAAACTTAAAAAAACACTTTGGTTTTTATCATATTTCGATGTTGTGCGTATACATTTTCAGAAACGAGTCACCCGCCTATTAGAATTTCTAAAAACATATTTTAAAGTTTTCAGAATCGATGCTTTTATCGGGAAAAAACATCGCTGGGAAAATAAAACATCGCTGGGAAAAAACATCGCTGGGAAAAGTTCATTCATTAACTGTGCAGATCATCGTCGGTAGGTTCTGGTGGAAAAACTTACGGTTAGTAAAACGAGAATACTCAAGAACGGAAAACCCAAGACCATACACAAGAGCGTGCGCTATACAGATCTGTATACGCGATCTGCAATCTGCACTGTTTTCAAACCAACCGGATTAAGACTAAGGGCATACTTCTACAGCAGTTTCCTGGAGGCATATGGTACTTTTCGTTTACAAAACTATGAAGCGAACGTTACCAGGGGAAAACATGACCGTAAAGCTGTTAGAATATCGCTTGATGGCTTGGTAGATCGGTTCCGATAATTCCGGCATTAAGGCCGCGCCATCAGCACAGCTGAGTACTCCAGGGTAATGAATTGTGGTTCTCGACATGTTGGCAAAGGTCGTCGGATAGTCCTGCTGCACCTGCTCGAAGGCCACGTCTAATGCCGGTCCAACTTCGTAATAACTGAATGCAGTAGTGTCCCCGACCAAAATAGTTATGGCATGTATGTGCGTTTGATTGGAGACGCCATCTGTCCGGCTAGAGGAACTCAGCACAATATAGATATAAAACGAAAAAGTCAGTCCATAAACCGGCAAATGCATGGTGGTGGAATGAGCACAGATATCATAACGCTGGCATCAAAACGTTGCCGATGATAATGATAAATGTGCAAGTACGTTTTAGGTACAAATAAATTGCATCCTGGCTCAGCTAATTATCATTGAACCTGGTTGTCGAATATGAACCTCGAGCTCATGACAAACCACACGAACTATGTAAGTACTATTCGGAATAGTATTGTATTCTGCAACAGCAGCCAAACGATCGAGATTGCATCACCGCCTACCTTCCCCTGCCGTGAGGGACGCACAAGAAATCAGGTGAATTCAGAATAAGGATGTCAATGGCATTTCACCTGTCGCTCGTTTTTATCTGGTCATCACGGTGATACCGATTGACGCAGGAGTTTCCATTACCGAGTTTCCATTACTCTCGACCCGGCAAATGCGGATCCATATGACCTGTCATTACCCGGTACCGATAATTATTTTAACCGTCGGGGTGGCAAAGGTGGGCGAAATTTCCTCCGGTAAAAATTACACAATATCCATTTCATTTTTGTGCTACCCGTAGCTCTGCTCAGCATGTTTTAAATGACATCCCTAAACTCCTGCGTCCGTCGAACTGGCGGTGCACGTGGAGAATCTTTCGAGGGCAAGTTGCTCTGCAGTTGCACTGCTTAGGCGATCGAGCTGCACTACAGGAGGTTGGACGTGGTAAATGCCCGATCGGCCTACAACAATCACAGCCGCCTAATTCCCAAGACACGAAGAACGCATTACGGTACCAGGACAAGGATATCGAGTTCACCCACCCGGTTCGGGTTAACCTCGAGTTACCCCCTGGCGTGTGGCGGTGGGCACATCATAAAAGTTACAGCTGATGCAGCAGTGATTGCAATGTCACGTAATTTTCTAACTGAAATTCTTAATTTGTTTGGCTTTTTCTGAATAAGATTTCTTAGAGAATTGTTGTTTGATTTTAGTGGTGGTTTTGTGGAGATCTGTAAGTGCAACACCCAACGTTGATGCGGTAGGCCTGTTTTTTTCACGATGTTGTGGTAAACAGATTTGTCTTGTTTTTAGTCTTTCATGTGACATTTTTATTGGAAAAACATATATGTTAACGGCAGTAATGATGTTTTTTTTAAGTTGCGGTGACTAATAGGCAAAGTACGATGTTGGTGTTTGTTTTTTTTCTGAATCACACTAGTATTGATTTGTTAATATTTATTTATTTTTATTTATTTTCTCAATCTACAGTATTTTTGTGCATTTTGCCGCTAGGACACACCTTTGCCGTCTCGGTCTTCTCTTGCAGTATGTTGTTATTCTGGCTTTTTAATTCAAATTCTTTCCAGTATGTATTCTCGTTGCCATTATTAATGTGTTCCTGTTACAGCCTCGTAGATTCGTTATGTAGGTCGGAAAAGTATTTTGCCACTTTTCTGCTACCTTGCATATATTTATTACAGATCTTGTATTGTGGGCATATGCCTGCTCTTCGCAGTTTTTCCTGATCATGGATGAGAAATTATTAATTAAACTGAAATTCCATTACACGAGTAGCTGCGAGCCTACAATCAACCGTCATCATTAATTTGATATGTTTAAATTGGTCATGCACAAGGATCATAGTGTGAGTTGTGATAATTAATTTTGTGGTTTTAAAGCGGCTGTTAGTGATTACGATTACAGAAGTCAGTATACTGCTCAAACGACAAAATGCTCTGATGAACTACAGAGTGCAACTAATTCATCCTGCTGTAAGCGCTATGCCTGCGCTGCACAGGAAGGCAACCAAAACACAGACGCCACAAACGATAGCTTTATTAATATCGGAAGATGTTAATAAAGGGATGAAACCCAGAACATCTAAACAGCCCCGAAGGGTCACTCTAGCATGCGCAAATATCGAAGGCCATCTCGTACAGCATGGACGTCTCCATGCTGTCGAGCCAAAATCCAACAGAATGAAATCAAAACGTCTCGGCCATGTGCATGCAATGCCAATCTCTGGCCGTAAACAGAGCACATGCGAGGCGAAATCGGAGTCGGTGCGACACCCACTCAACCCACACTCCTGGGCGGTGGCGCCGATCTCCTGACACTGCCACAGGCTGTAAAGTTGGATTGCTTGATAACGCCGTTGTTGAATTAATGGCACATCAAGGTGCTTGTTATATTGTAACCGCCCAAACCGCAAACCGAACTCTGGACAGTAGGCAATCAAAACTCAAAAGCCCTAACTTGGAACATAAATCCGTGTGTGATGGTATTTGGATTCCGTGACATCACAACAAGAATTCCGTGACCTCTACAGAGACCGTGACCTCTACCTCTGTATTTTAAAGAGATTTTGCCAGCTGGTAAAACGAACTAATCCAACTTTAATCAAACGCTTTGAAGCAGCCGTCATTATGCCTGGAAATGCACTGGGTAATTACTGCTCACAGTAACTGCCGGCTGACTAACGTGGTTACATACATATGTAATTCTAATGATACGGATTTCGAATTTATTTTTATTTATGTTGTGTTCATTTATGCTTTTTAGTTGCAAGTCTCGTTCTGGGATGGGTGTCCTCTGTCCACGGTGAGTAACTATGAGTACTTAAAACAAATCCAGGTCCTGCTATCAAAATTCCAGACATGAAGGTCGTCGCCGCTTTGTTTTGCAAGAACAAATTACAAATGTATACGAGAGAATAACAGTAGCGCATTTCAGTGCTCCCTGTATTTGCTGCCGTGAGCCGGCTGGAGTATTACGTTGCGACAATATATATGACTAAATCTAGCGCGGTACATAAGCACCATGTTTAGCCACAACGCCATACTCCAGCCGACATTATGGCAGCAAGTACAGGGAGTACTGAAATGCGCTACTGTCATCCCCTCGTATAACACTATCGATTTGCCGCCGATGTGAATACCTTTATGTATCTTACGGGTTAGCACGGTTTGAGGTCTCCGGCTACGATGTGATCTGCAATCCGGCCATTAAACCGACCGGCAGCGACGACCAGAAAGCCTGCTTCGCCAAGCGCGGTGAGGACCAAAACTGCTTACTTACAGCTCACAAGAGCGACGCCAAAAGAGACACGTGTGCCATTGTGAAGAAAAGCAGCAAATGCGGACTGCAGCGGGGCTTTGCAGCGCCCTATACCGTTAATGTTATGGCCAACTTCGACGCGCCGAAATACACAAAAGCAGACAAACTGGTCGTGGAAGGCGCCACGGGTCAGCTGGGGACAATTAAAGGGTCGGGTATGATGCAGAGCAGCACGGGCTACGGCGGGGCGATCGGCATCGGCTCGGACGAGGAATGCGGAAAAGTGTGCGCCCACAGCATGCAATGCGTACGCTACCTGTTATGACGGGATGAGCATATGGGAGGGAATTGTCGCTTGTATAGCTTTTCCAAACCTTTGACTGCGGGGAAGGATGCACGCTGTCTGGACACTAAAAAAGACGGGCAGCGAGGGAGTCGGATGTATTTTGCCAAGCCGGAACTAGCGCCCACAGAGACATGCTAATAGATCATTTCGTCTTCCCTGCTCGGGTAACCACCTTGCATTAAGTGCAAACGCACTACGAGCTGCTCATTCCAAACTCACTAAATCAAATCAAAGATGCGTTTATTGATTTTCTTGAAGTTTCTTTACATCCGAAATATGTTGTCACGGTCCACGGACACAGGAAACTGTAGGAACTGATGTTTATACAGCTTTCAAACTGTGACATGGCGCAGCATTGGCATACAACGCTGAAGTTCTTGCTTTTGCTTTTCCCCTATCAGCACGAACGAAAATGTAATTAATGCAATAGCCAAAAGGTCACCATTTCTCCCTTTCCCTGTAAAAACAACCAGTCTAAGTGTACACGCCATGTCTTACCTTCTGACTGTATGACTTATGAAGAATACACGCATGCACATTCAACATAATAACAGCTGTTCTGTATGGTAAGGCACAAAAAAACATTTCGGGCCAACATTTTTACACACAATTATTATTACTTATGCATTGCACTGGGAACAGTACGCACCTGGCAGTTACTGCAATTTCCAGAATTACATTACTAGAATTATCAGGGTTCTCAAGCTGCTTACAGTACTTCCAGTATTAACCAGCTGCTTTCTTTACCTTGATGAAAATAGTCCCCCTTGTTTCTGTTTTAAAACCGCCAATCTGGTCCAACAAGTGCTTGGTAGTTCCGCTAACATGGATTCTTGAAGCTGAAACCAAACCTTTAACTTAAAATAATTCCGGTTAAAAGTCAAAAACGAACTGCTAAGCATAAAAGTTTAGTAAGAACCGCCCTCTGTTCGCAGACAGGCACAGCTCGCTACGATTTTACGCAGATCAAGGCGTTTATCCAAACAACTCCGATAATTCGTTCGGACTTGTAGCCTTAAAAGTTTTGCGACATCAAAATAAATGGAAATGGTCGATCCAATCGTTGCAGAAATGGAAAGTAAAATTATTAACCTGACATTCGAATTTTCCCTAAACTAACCGGCACCATGCGTTTCCATTCGACTAGCCGTATTAATTGTGTCTCCGAACCTGCAAAGTGCAAACGGCACAATATATGTATTGTTTGAACAAACTCATTCATAAACCTAAAACCTAATTCTACATCAATAAAACAAAAAGGCAAGGCTTTTTTTGTTTAACTCGTGCGTATCCGCTTCTTTAACTTAAGATAAGAAAACGGTTTTACTCACAAGCAGTACCGCGGCATTTTTAACCCCACAACGCCGGCTGCACAGTGACCTACAGCAAAATGCGCAATGACTTAAACGTTTAAAAACTAAAACTGCGCTAAACGTTTAAATTTGCTAATGGATGCAGTTTAAATAATGCAGATTAAGTCGTTACCAGAGTGTATGCCAACACGCAGTCGCAGGCGTTCTGCCGGATCGATTGGCGAATGTATGCTCTCCGAGGCTTGCAGCATCGACAGCGTCATCCGCGCTATTTCACCGGCATGCCGACTCCCGTTACGTGTTGGCAAGCCGCTGGCTAACTGTCACAGGAGCATATATTTAACACTTTGCGAACCTTACCATTTTACTAGTATGCAGTGAAAGGCGAAGTACTAGATATGAGTCGCCGATGGTCTCTACTTTGTAGACGTCGAATCGCGGCAGAATGGAGTCAAAGACGGTGTACAGGATATTCAGCAGAGCGATAGTCTGCAGCAGGGCACACTGACCGACAATCGGTCCAAACTGGGGAATATCGCTGAACAACAAGGTCACACAGTCAAAGTGTTCCGCCGTCACAGTGCGCTTGTTGCGTAAATGATTGACTACCGACCTACAACAACGACGAACGCTTTCTGTCGCGTGCGACTCTTGAACAAATATTTTCACGACAATAAGCGCTTTACTCTGGCAACATTTCCCGCAGTAACGAGTCCACTTTACTCTGCTCGTCCATTAGCTGACGCGCACTTTGACCAGATCCTCTAAATGACTTTTACCAGATCCTCTAAATGACCAGAGTACTGATCCAACCGGCTTATAACCAGATCGATCATCTTCTTGCACGGGACGATCTGACTCAATGCCTCGGTAAAGCCGGACGCTCTAGTTGGTTGTTGGCAATACATGAATTAACAATGTCGCGCAGTTCGGCTGGTATTTTTGACGTATACTCAATGCGAGTAACATCGGGATCCTTACGTAGTGCGGCAACGTTTTCTACAAACAACATCCCTTATTGCACTGCTCTTCAGTACAATCCATGTACAATGGATGGTGCATTTTATTATGCAGCCGGAAATGCACAGTACGGTCAGAATGGCATATCTAATACCGAAGTTATAGAACAATAATTTGTTTAAATTTTCTTACCTTGTACACTGTCGCTGATCGCCAAATTTGTTTGCATGGGTGTCTGACCGGTGAAGATTTCGCTGATGATGATGCCCAGGCTGTACTGTCGCAGTATAGAGTTCTCCTGTAAGCGCACCTGTGCTACACCTGTGTAGGTCGACGATGTTACCGATGTGTCCCTATAACGATTAGACAACGCACCCGTATGATAGTGACCTTTATTCAATATAACCCTATGCCCACAATAACAATGCTAATGCTAGGAAATCCAGGTGTAGCCTGGGAGTCGACTGAGAGTCTGCTGGTAGACTGCTGTCAGACTACTGACTGGTACGGTGTGGAGGGGCGCTTTATATATGGTCCTGGTCCGGATGGGCTCGGCTGCCATGGGTGGGGCTGGTGTGGCGACAAGCCAATGACAGAGTGCATGACGGCATGATGATGTAATATGCGGTCCGCGTTACGTCATATGACCGCGCAGGAATGTGCAGGGCATACCAACACGTAGGCTTCCCGTGACTAATGGTCGTGCAGTGCGACTAGTGACGATGTCGTCACAATCCTCCTCTTCAAAATTCGCCGTCTCTGGCGAATCCAACAAGATCAGCACAATGACGTTAAAAAAAATAAACAAATACACGTAACAAATAATCTAATACATAGATGAAAATTTACCAGGTACATAATAATTCGAAAACTGTCATAGTGGGCTTATACAACAAAATATTTTGCAACATATTTTGAGCTAAGAACCAAACAAACATCAAAACTTTTCTACCAAAATAATAACAAAAAATTCATATTATACTGAAATCGACCAGATAATAAAATCCAAGTCGAGGTACCGACTTGGATTTTATTATCTGGTCGATTTCATTCCATTCTCGGTAACTGATTGTTTGCATTTACAACAATCATCAGTGCTAATCGTTAACATATTAGGAAAGGTGCAAATGTAATCATGCCAATTAAATTTAGCTTTCATGAAATCCAAACAACATAAGTATGGATCTTGAAGTAATATCACAAACTATGAATCATAAATAAAACTACTAATGTACATACAAAATTAGACATCTTGAACGCATTTTGGTCGTGCAGAAAAACGCTGACGGTAGCCTTTCATATTCTTTCTTTTGAAGTACGGTTGAAATTCTTCTCATTAAATAGTTTCCGAGATTATTACGTAAACACTTGTATCAAAAAGTAATTTTGTTAATAATAACTGAAAAAGCACTTAATTAGATAGTATAATAAAATAATAAGTCATATTAAGCATGCCTATAATCATTGAATCACCATCCTTCCCGTGCTGAAACAAAAACGTATGTAGGTGATTTGACTATTTTTCTAACTTTCTCCAAATTTGTTGCTTTTGTTCCAAGGGTGCACACCATCTGACAGCCATTCAGCGCCACAATGGTTACAAATAAACATATTTTCCAAATTTCCTTCCAAAATTTCTTCTCCACTGAAGCCGTTGTCCTGTGTTTCGCTAACGTGGGAATTAATGTTGAGAATTTCGTTCATTTTTTCCAGTAGTTCATCTATCTTCTTTGTCCTTTCATCTGAGTGCTCATTTTGTTTCCGTGCTTCATTAGCAAACGGGAGATCAGCAATACTGCTGACCTTTAACTTTCTTGATCGTTTTCTTTCACATGGTATAATTCTTCAGCTACCTCCAATATATCTTTAGGTGTTTTCTTTCCCATAACACGCAACTGCATAGCAGCTTGTCGATCTCTCATTCCTTTTAAAATAAAATAACCTATTTCTGTTTGATTCATGTTAGGATCCGCATGTTTGCATAGATCCACGATTGAAAAGTAGTATGTCCGAAAATCTTCTTCGTTTCCTTGTTGTCGAGAGATCAGTGTATCGATAGCTTTTTCCGGCGTTCCGAGTTTTCCAAATGTTTTTAGAAATTCCCTTTCTAAGGTGTTCCAGTCAACGCCTGCCGCCGGAGGGCGATTTTTTATCCACTTACGCGCTGTTCCTGCTAACACTTCCGAAAATCGTCTGGCCTTAGTAGCATCATCTCAAGAATATAATTCTGCGCAACGCAAATACGATTCCAACCAGGTTTCTGCATCTTCGTGCGGTGCTGCCGAATATGGTGGTGGCAGTTTGACCTTCGGGCCTTCCGCCATTCTGCTTTCTTGTATATTGACTCGCTTTTTGGTTACTTCTACTTTGCGTTCCACTATTTCCACGCTGGGTTTCTTGTGCTAATTCCACGGTCGACACTTTGATTGCCGTTTGCCTAGACTGACGTTCTATGTTTTGGTCTTCTGTAAAGCAGTACTGTGCCTTTCCTCCTCTACTTTAAGTACCCTCCTCTTCAAATGAGTTGGCGATTTCTAGTTTTGGTTGCTTGTCCAGGGGCTTTTCCTCCTGACTAGTGTTTGGTGAAATTTGGGGAGTTTTCTGTCTATCAGCAGGTCTTTTCACATCAAGAATATTTTTTCTCCGTACTGTAGCCGCTGGATGAAGTGGCTCCACAGAGTCTGGTATACGGGAAAATGCAGGCCCAATATACACACATTGCTCCGTGCAGAATTGTGTTTGATTTCAAACAATTTTCACTCTGATGCTGACGTTCTACATGTTTTACTGAGTTTCTTAATTTTAGCAACGTACGATAATTATTGTAAGAGCATAATGTCACAGCTAGGATAGTTTCCGATTTATAAATCTGGTTTGTTGTGGTTTTTGGGGTGCCCCTGGCAGGGGCAGAACAGTTAGTAACAGTACAGTACTAATATCGAAAAGCAAAGTGCGCGCCTCCCGGTGGGAGGAAGGCTCGTGCTCAATGCCCGGCCAGGTGCAGGCAGCGGGCGGATCTAAAAGTGGAGCCACTTCATCTAGCGGCTACAGTAACCAAAATGCTGCCGATTGGTGTTTGATTTGAAATACAACAAGTTTCCAGATTTTACCGAACAGCTGTTCGTTATATATTAAAGTTGAGATTAATAACCAAGAATCGTGTTGCCAATAACTTGCGCGCTTCCAACGTTGAAATATGTAACGTGGGGCCTTATGGGCGCCCACGTACCATCGACGGCGAAACAGCGGCGAACCCGGATTGAGGCTTTAATGCCGAAATCTAAGGTGCGCACCGTGGCGCAGCAAACACCGACTAATGAGATCGGATCCTACAGCCAGCGCAGCTGTGCTGTAGGTCCGTCAAAACAGCAGCAATGTGTGGGATGGAAATCCCCAGAACAGCAAAACACAATGGCGAATGGCCAATCATGAAGGCGGAGCTATCGGCCTTCACAAATATAAAGGTGACTTTGATAATAAAACGGGAATTTTACATGAATTCCTTTTCCTTTTATAAGCGCTGTTATTAGTAACTAATAAAATTTCTGGAGTCAATATACCCGATAAATGTATACGTCTAGGCTGAGTTTAGCAACAGTTCACAAAAATGCTTCGCTAGAATTCCAGCAATTACGTCTTCCGCCTGGATTTTGCGGTCACACTATGCAACTATTCTTTGCGCTGTTTCTGCTTGCGTTGTTAGATACGAGTATGATCGTTAGCTACGAAATACTAGTACTGTACTACAGTAGTTATCCAGTACTGGCTTATTTGTATGCTCACACGTTATCAGTGAGCGGATATGGTTGGGAATGAGTCATGCGAGAAAGAGTCGGTTGTTGACCCACACAAAAGATTCTTACGCACATTTAACGGACAGTATTACTATACATAGAAATCACACATTATACGTACACGTATCTTCGGCTCATTTGTGCTGATAATAAAGATCTCAAAAAAACGCACATTGGCTTGGTGAAAGTAACACTAACTAGTACCACAGCTACGAGTATTTCCAAAACGAAAAATAAATAAAAACTTTAAACTTTTAATTAGTGAAAATTCCGATAAATAATGCTGTATTCAACGGTGTGACGGACACATAACTGTAATCAACGGTGCAACGGACACATAACCTCTTCTCACTTACGGGCGCAATAAAAATCTGCACAGCTGTCTGTATATACTGTCGTGTTATTATGGACCAGATAACAACGACAACAGTTCTACCTGGGCTGTGCGCGACTGTCTGTATTGCAAGTTACCTGTGGTCAGCAGGTGCACCAACAAATACCTGTGTCGCTGTGGGCTAAATAATCCTCGGTACCGGAATGAAAATCCAAAATTAAATATGTTCCAAATAATTCAACGCGCGCAATTGTATCAAAATCTCTCCAGGTCACAAATTATTAGCATAATCTCACAATGTGATGCACTTACAAGTCTTCCTTCACGCCATTTGTCGCAGTATAGAGTTCTCCTGTAAGCGCACCTGTGCTACACCTGTGTAGGTCGACGATGACCTTTACGTGTTACCGATGTGTCCCTATAACGATTAGACAACGCACCCGTATGATAGTGACCTTTATTCAATATAACCCTATGCCCACAATAACAATGCTAATGCTAGGTAATCCAGGTGTAGCCTGGGAGTCGACTGAGAGTCTGCTGGTAGACTGCTGTCAGACTACTGACTGGTACGGTGTGGAGGGGCGCTTTATATATGGTCCTGGTCCGGATGGGCTCGGCTGCCATGGGTGGGGCTGGTGTGGCGACAAGCCAATGACAGAGTGCATGACGGCATGATGATGTAATATGCGGTCCGCGTTACGTCATATGACCGCGCAGGAATGTGCAGGGCATACCAACACGTAGGCTTCCCGTGACTAATGGTCGTGCAGTGCGACTAGTGACGATGTCGTCACAGTACATATCGCTCTCCTTCGTTGCTTTGACTGCTGCCCCGGAAATAACTTCCGGTGCGGCCCACAAGATGCTGGGATCCAGTGGCAGCTCTGCGGGGTAGACGCTTCCATAAAGTTTTCCTCGAAACTTCGCCACCGCGTACGACGAAAGTTTCAAGCAGAAGCGCTTGTCTATCTTAATGCCTAGGCTCGATAAGGTCCCGTGATAATGCAGCAAAGTTTGGTGGAGATATTTTAATCCCTGTACACAGGTACAAATGTTAGTAAGACCCTTGCCGTGTTTAACGGTTGATGTTGTTTCTTACATGCACTACTTCCCAAATCATCGATGTCTTTAAGGTGTGATCTAAGTGTATGGGTTCGCTCTCTATCAGCAAGCGTAGCGTATCGCGAGCGCCATAATCGAAAACCATACAGGAACCCGCAGGCATCACACGGACAGTATTGGCCGTAATACCGACAAATTTATTCAGGTTCTCGTGATGCAGATGTTTCATCTAATAGGGAATAAGTTTCTGAACCCCACTCGAAGGTTGTAAAGGCTACCAACATATTGAATTTTACCTGATGTAGGACATTGCGGAAAGTTGCTTGCGCTAGGATAGCATTCACTGACAAGCATTTCCTATAAAACGAGTCTATGACAACTGAGCGACCGCGGTATAAGCGTCGGTTAATGCAGACACTGATTTCGCTTTCGGAATGCAGCTGCCGTACAATGACACAAGCTGGTCCAAGATCGGAAAGCGGTTGCAGGTCAGTCGACGATAAGTGCCACCATGGTGAATCACTGAGCTTTTTATTTGAGCGATTCCTGTAAAAATGACCTTATTCATACTCCAACAGGAGATAAAGGTTCTGGAGAAATCACCAGCAGATCACAGCTGTCAGTCCAATACAGGCAATAACCGCTATAGCCACCACAACTCCGGTGAAAACTGTTCTTGACACTGCAACGCAATATAGCATGTTAAACCAAAAAATGGAGATTTCGAGCGAGACCTTTAATTTGGTCCTGGTGAGATGAACGAATTGCAGGCATATCAATAGTTATTCAGTGTAGCGCTTGCGGGACAAGTTGGCCGCCATGCATCGTAGCGGCCTGCGAGCGGCTGCAAACTACTCTGGAATATCCACGGAATCGTTCATGACTAAGCACGGGATCCTTCCTCTGTTCACAAGATGGAGACAAAACGAAGCGACGTGGTTGTACAAAATCAAGCATCCGGAAAAATTCCATGTGCCGCAGTACATCAGCGAGATGGTGGAATTCAAAGAAGAAGTGAAACCGTACAATCTTCGAAAAGGGAACCGGACCATAATCAAGGCGAAAGCAAAGAAAAAAGTCGGCGAAACAACCTTGGCTTGGAAGCTTAATAAATTGTGGAAATTTTTCGTGGATTCTAATTCTTCTGATATTTTTAGTGTTCGATCTGTTGGTGCGTTTAAGCATGCGTTGCGCAGTGCAAATTTTGTTTAAGCGTGCTGGGAATTTCACTGTGCAGTTACTGTTTGGCCAGGTTTAAAATCCCATGCTAGTATGTCACCCTAGCCGGAAATGGGCTACCTGCTCCACGAAGAAATAATAATAATAATAATAATAACAACAGCGTCCTGAATTTCAAAATGCTTATTAAATTTGACCAGAATGGTATTTTGAAAGGGCCTTACTACTGCTGGTTGGGCAAAGGTCGTTGCGGAATCCACACTGTGGCACGTCGGTGGGCTGACCGCATTTGCTTTTCCACGTGTTCGCTAATTTTGGGGAAACTTCTTTCAGGTCGGAAGAGAACGTATCATAATGCCAGGTATCCTGTTGGAAATTTGATCGATACTTAGTCAGTCAACTTTAACGAAAGGCAGAACAAGATTTGCTATCGGAGGAAGTAAAGACTCGACAATTTAGATTGTCTTCGTTGGACGCCTAATTCGGGAAAAGACAGGAGAAAGCCGATCTACCGCCTTCTTGAAACAACGCATCAGTCTACCGATAATGAAGGGAAACGCTGCCGCAATTTTAGGCACTTTGCCGGGCAGAAGTAAATTTGGGGAAGGGAATGATTCTGGTTGTTTCTGGAACTTGTAACCGTAGTGTGTAACCATTGTTGTTGAACACAAAGGAAACCAACCATTAAAATGAAATAAAAAATTTAGATTGTGCAGAGCTTTCTTGACTCAAAAACGCCGGTATCGGCGTTGAATCGATGGTAAACATCGTTCACTCGCTTTCCGTTTTCATTGATGGAAAAATTTCGGAAGCATATGTTAAACAATCGATTGTAGAATCTTTTGACAAAACTGGTTCCCGTTAAGGCGTGGATCTCCTTTCGGACTTCGTCCAAAACCTATAAACCTTTAATTGTATAGAAGTTCTTTCCAGTTAAAATAGGGTCTGATGTCTTACGCTAGCAACCGCAATCACAGATTCGTACCCCGAAATGGCCAGATCGTTAAGCTATAAAACACAGGGCGTACTTCGTCAAATTAGCAATTTATACTTATGGTAACGGGATACCTGTCATTGCGAGATACTGAGCGGTTGTAACGCTAGAACGAAATAGTATTAGCTTTTTCCAGTTCATCGTCGATAAGTTCCCATCTTGGATTCGGGTTCTGGAAGTTGATCAGTGACTGGAAGCCATCGTGAGCTGCCTAATTCGTGACGCCAGCAAATGCCAACTCATTAAGTACGGACCACTAAAGGTAATAAACCGACCGCGGGCACTCACTTCGTCGTTGCCATCGAAAAACTGCCAAAGAATTTCCGTTTGACCTGGCACCCGTGTGGTTTGCACTTTGCAGAGTGAAGAATATCTGTAACGATTAATTTAAGCAATGAAGTTTAAGGCAACGGAACTGCAAAAGGTCTATCTTTAATAATAACAGGTAGCGCATGGTCAGTAAAGATATAGCAAATATAGTACACGGAAGCGACTAAGTGCTAACGTACATAGTCGCCGTTGGTCATGTTTAGGCGATTTGCCGTCACCTGTCGATCAAAAAGAGCGTATACGTATAACGAGTCAGTGTGGTCAGAAAGTTAGTAATAATAATCCATGACGCTCACCATAATATCGCGAACAACACGAGGATGAGCGCAGATCACTCCCACTGTCATGGTCATAAACAGGCAAAAATCATGATTTTAGCAATGTTCCGTATCATAATTATGATTTAACGATGCATCACCTCGGCTTTGGTTCTGCATCCGTGACAGGAGTGTTGTGGAGTCTTGACTTCCTCTGGAGCTGAATTCCAGTTTATAGGTAAGATATTTGGTTGTCGTTGATCCATCTAGAGACCGCTTAAGATCGTGGCAGGCTATCATAGGACACACCCCTTTGCTGGAACTGCATGGGCGTATCGCACAAGAGCGTAATGTTACTCCAACGGTATCTGTCTAATAATAGCTTGAAACTCCGGAACGTTGCTACTTCATCCGAGGATGTAAAGCTCATTAACGTTGGATAACGTTCTTTATCGGCAAGCGTACTGTACTATCGCTTGCTGAACTAAAAAAGACGATACTAAGGATGCATAAGGTACTTTCGAATTTTAATCTTTTTTTTGTAACGCAGGTCAGCGTTTCGGTTGATTGTGGCTTTTTCCTCCGGTTAAATAGGCAGTTCTTAAATTTCATATGTTTCATTAAAAGCCGTTTGCAAGAGTGACCTTACGATGCAATCAGCGGAACATCCCATTCTGCAATGCAAACCGCATTGTGATTGATGAAATTCAATAAATACTCAGTTGATGTTGAATATATCAAAGTTGTAGTCAAGGTGACAATCAATAATCAGTCGCACTAACTTATGGTTAATCTTTATTTGATGAAGATTACCCAATCCAAACTCTTATGGATTGCTGAGAGGAATCGTGTGTAAGTAATTTAGAAACATTCGCTGCATTTGAGCAACTGGGTTCTCCAACCTGCCTTGGGCAGAGTGTCCAAGATTCAGCATCTCCATGCTACACCCTGTAATAAAATCTGGGAAGATGCAAAAAATTCCTGGAGGTGGTATGGGAGCGGCTGACAGGTGCAGTACCACTGTAATGTAGTTAATCTCGCAAAAGTTGGAAACCCGTTTCGATACTATCATTTTTATTAAGTTATTTGAAAGACTGGGCATGTACCGTACAGTTCTACAGTGCTAACCGATTTGAATCATTTTGTATAAAAGATGCGGGATGTTCTTTAACATACTGGAAAAACTAACTAAAGCTGATTGAACCGCTTGCAGTAACTTTCTGCTTGTTGTTAATTTTACGTTTTCAAAATTTACGGGAAAGTTTACCTGGAGAAAACATGACCGTAAAGCTGTGAGGATATCGCAGGATGGCTTGATAGATGGTTTCTGATAAGACCGGAATTAAGGCCGCGCCATCGGCACAACTGAGTGTGCCAGGGTAATGGATTGTCGTTCTGGATATATTAACAAATGTCATCGGATAGTCCTGCTGCACTCGCTCCAAGGCCACGTCTAATGCCGGTCCAACTTCGTAATAACTGAATGCAGTAGCGTCACCGATAAAAATGTTAATGACATGGATGTGTGTTTGATTAGAATCGCCCAATGTGAGCCTGCAAAAAAAAAACTCAGCGCAACATACAGCGACAAGGTCAACTCATAAACACGCAACGGCATTCTGGTGGAATAATCACAACTACAGCGTTCGCATCAATATTTCGGCGATGAAAATTATAAAATGTACATATTACTGTGCTGAAAGTACTGTCTTATCTTAACGTAAATCTTATCCTGAAGTAGCTGGTTATTCAATCTCCTTGAACCCTACTCAAGCCATACGAAAGAATTATTTTATAGTATACTCTGCAATATCAAATGGAATTCCAATCTAATATTCCAATCACCACATAGTCTAGCACCGTTGCCGTGAGGTATGCATGAGAAATTAAGTTCAATGGCGTTTCACCTGGCGTTCCCGTAACCTGGTCGTCATGATGACAGCATTTGTGGGAGTTTCCATTACTTAATTTGGCCCTCATATCGGCAGGAACGGATCCGTATGATCTGTCATTACACCAGTACCGATAATCATTTCAACCGATGGAGTAGCGAATGTGGGCGAAATTTCCTCCGGTGAGAGGAGTCAATTATACAATATCCTTTCCAAGTTTCCATTTACTTACAAGCTTTTCTCAGCATGTAATAAATGACATTCTGCACTTTGCTGTATTCATAGAACTTGCGATGGGGAAGAGCCACGATAAATGCTTAGTTAGCCAAATCGCTTCCGATGTCAAGAAGCAAGCATGCAATAATCGCACTCAACTGTACGAAGAATTGACCGCTTGTCTGTACTGTTCAAGCAAAGAGGCTGATTCAAAATTCCCCTAAATAAGTGAAACGATCGCTTCGCAATCTGGCTAATGCGTATTTTTTGAATGGCAACGCCTACTCACACTGGAGGATATACTTACCTAATTGCGACGCACAGTAGTACAAGCACTACCGACCTTCAACGGTTATTCCCACCTCTTCTCATTTTAGGACAACAGATTGTGCCACTAAAACACAACAAGCTGCTTGGTTTGTTGACAAACATATCCTAGTTTTCTGCTACACTAATAATTTTGGTACATTTTATCTCGCTTGTAATTGTTGTGCATGATTTCAGTTTTATCTGTAAGCTATGGGTAGGGTTTTTGAATTCGTAATGTGGGTTGCGTTAGACCTGCTCGTTATTTTCTTTGCTCGCTAATGCACAACCTGCAAAAATCCTGCATCAGCAGTGAAGTATCCACGCCAACTTGAACTCACATAGAAAATCTACGCCGAAACAAAGTTCTATTCAGGAACAATTTAGTTACCTATTGTAAGTATTGATACGTAAATGTCGCTGTTTCGGCATTTACAGTCAGATAACCGTTCATGCGACGCAATTACATGAATATTTATACTTCTTTAAGATTGATGGGCCGTCAGTTAGGGTTCCGATAAAAAATCTTTAACCCAACTGGGATTATTTTTCAAGGCTTGCTCCGGATTTTTCGATTCTTTACAGTCGAGAAGCTGGATTTTCTCAGTCACGCGTATGCTGATTTTAATTTCTTCTAACCTTTTAATACTGTCCAAAAAGCCTGTCCGCTTTTCGGACTTTTCTGCTTCAATTAAAATATCCACGTAAGCAGCATTCCCGATCGCGTTAGGGAGAAGCGCAGTCGCCTGAATTCTCTGTAGACATTCAAGCGATTCCACAATAGGTGCAGCCATTTCCAATACATTTCTTGCAAAAGTATCCGTCAAACTCTCTAAAATATTTTGTGTTGCCTTCTTTTTGTCCTCAGCTTTATCACGAACTTCCTTCATACTCTCGTCTATCTTGGCTTCGCCCCTGAAGCCAGACTGGAACCGGTACTGCATGTTTGCATGTTCGAACGCATAACAGTTACGTGGGCAAACAAAACACCGTCCATCCATCATTATCTCAGCGGGAATCTTATCGGTGTTTTGTAAATGCCTATACGACTGATAACACGTTGTGTTGCAACGTAAGCAGTTGGTAGCGTACTGCCCAACTGGAACTTCCGTTTTGCTCGTATAAGGGATGTTTCTCACTTGCTCGTATTTGCTGTTTGCCTTTATTTCTGCCTCCAGTTGTTGTAGCTCTACCTGTGGATCAAGAGACGATTAATCTCATGTTTTATAACACGCCCACGTTTTTGTAAACAATTGATAACTAATTACCATATGTGAAAAATTAAATAGAGTAGAAACAATATTAATAATATTTTAGATGGCTTTACATTCCTACCTGATGTTTCCGGATCGTTTCCATTGAATTTTTATTACTCATATATAAAGGAACCAAAAGCCGCATTGCCTCTTTTAGTGCATGCCGTTCATGCAGTACTTTACATGTCAGATTCAGTCGGCAGGGACTAGTCCGCTGGAGATGAAGAAAAAATTTGTCGATACTGTTTTCGCACATGTTCCAGTATAACGTACTGAATGGACCACAGTTCTCATTATTATCAGCGTATAGTGCGCAATTGTTGAAAGAAAACCATTGTTTATAAGGGATTTCGGCTTTCTTAGCGGCAGCCAAGACCGGAGGATCTTTATCGTCCGCAAACGTACAGAGCAAAAATATATTTTCGGCAACGTCTTTTCCAAACAAAGCCAACACGGAATTGTATATATATTGCTGGGTTACGGTCAACCGTGGTCTGGCACTTTGGGTTACGATGCAGACCGCATCCAAATGCGTAATTCCAAGCTGTCGGGTATTTTCATCGCTTAGAAAATGTTGGATCTGGCGAATAATTTCCTCATCGCGCAGCATGCCTTGCGTGTCACCTAAACCGGGTGTGTCAATAATTTTCAGACAAAACTGCGATGCCACTGCCGGATTTGGCGATATTTCATATACGGTAACATGTTTTGTGATACTTTTTGCTTGATTTGTGTCTTCATCGTCCTCCAGAGCAACTTCGAAGCGAACGCTGTCGGTCCATTTGACACCAAAACTATGATTAGCGAATGCGTTAATCAGCGTTGTCTTTCCAGCTCCAGTTGCTCCCACCAGTAAAATAACTTTTTCGGGTTTAGTACTCTTTGCCGCAGTTGCGGGGCATCTTTTAAATTTTTGTGATCCATCCAGTTTCATTGAAACTCCGTAAATATCAGGAGAACCGACAGAAAGCAATTTAGCATTTTCTACTAGTCCATATATGTACTGCGAGCGCGCAGTTTCCATGTTCGACATGACTAACCAGATCGCAGATACGCGCCGTGAATAATATATCAAGTGTCAAAGTTTTTCGAATTACTATAGAACCTCAAAATCCTTATGCGTATGGCAAAAATAAATATGAGGCAAAAGTAAAGGGCGTAAGTAAAAAACCTGAATGCGAAAAAACTCAAAATGTCGGTCAGTTCTCCTTTAATGTTCCATTAAAGATACATGTAGTTGTTCAGGTCATAATTCCTCGTGCTTACGAGGAATTAAGATTATCAGACAATATACAGTATTTCTAATGCTTATTAGCAGTACTGTATATTGTATGATAATCGGCTTATCAATTTTAAATTCATCGGGTACTGATCGATTTTAGATTCACCGAATAGAAACAAGGCACGGTATCTGGAACGTAGTGCATACAATGAAGACTGGATAAAAGATTTTCTCTTTCTGATAACAACAAATTGTTGATTATCGTCTATTGGTAGTACGTACTAGAATAGAAATGCACCGACTGATTATTGTATCAGTGTGGCATAACGCTCTGCCTCTTAGTAATTTTCTGTGCGATATCCTGTATATCTAACGTGATACTTAGGCAATTTAGCGTACAGAAGTCCTTACAAAACGCTCTTGCAGCTTACGCGCAAGATGCATCACATTTATAGGATATGTCTGAAAGCTTTTTGAAAACGAGGTGCATCGCTAAGAAATGAACAAGCTTGAAATGGAGACCACCTGACCTTTGCATGTTTTTAGAAAGTGCACTCAGGTCAACTTGGCATACAGCATGTTAGCAACCGCATGGTGCTTACTGCTTTTCTGCAGGCCTGTTTAAATCACGTTCATTTGTCTACTCGAGCAAAATGCTGTGAAAGATACAAACAGTTTATGTCTCTGCGCGCAAAAGTCCCGGCGGATGTAAATTAAACAATCGAAATCGGAATTATGTGTTTAAGTAAGTACCGGCAATTGGCGCATCCACAATATGCTGACCGGCAGGTTGCTCGGAAGCAAAACGGCAGTCCGGAATCGACACTCCTATTATGCTAATTAATGTTCCTAGATGTTAATAAAATAATAGCTATGAGTGAATAACACAGTACAAAACATAAATCGTCGTGTTACTGTAATGACGTAATATAAAAGTAATGTAGCAAGGAAAAGAAAGTACAGACTGTACAGTGAATCTTCTGTGCAACATATACCGTCCGCTCTTGCCTTCCTGAATATTGCAGAGGGGTGTATGTTAAATAGAAGCAGTACCCCTAGGGGCGCTGCCCTTAGGGGTAGGGCCCCTGGGGGTAAGCCATAATTATATTTTTCCATAGGAGCAAGCACGGTAAAGCGACAGCTTCGATTTACTCTTTGCAAGTTGATTATCAAATATATGTATCCCTCACACCGCCAGAGGCCAGAGTACAGTATACAAATCATTCGTTCTGAACGTAAAAGGTGTACAGAGGGTTGTTTATTCAGCCAATTGTGGTCAGTTTCTCAAAAATTCTTATGTAGGCGCCGCAAGCACATATTTCTTTTTCATATATATTTTATCTGAAAGCCACAACATTCTGCCATACTATCAAGATTCAGATCTATATTGCCACGAATGGGATACACCAGAGCCGGCAAACCAGAAAAGACTGACCAAAACCAATATTATATTCTGAAAGCCCGTAATCGAAAACCCGGCCAGCTAGTATTCATTTCTTTTAAAACCTCTCCCGCTTCGAGCGCCACAGCGGAAGAGTTTTGACTACCTTCACCAAATGTAACTAAATTATTATAATAATAATTATCATCGTGGTATTTTTAACCATGCAATGTTGCCACGTAAACCAAATAAAATATAGTTAAAAAATGAAAGTATTTTCCACTAATTAAAATATCAGAATCAATTTAATTAGCAGACCGTTGGCGTTATTGCGACAAAAACGACTACATATCCAACGTTGTCATCGAGGACAATTTCTAAACAAGTACCGGCCAAGCAGCGATAGACAGAACTACCGCCACTGTTCAGTACACAAGCCCGTTAGTTGACCAAATTACAACTACATTCTAATTAAAATAGCCCGCTAAGCCAGTGAGTGGCCGAACTGCCACTATGGATAGCTATGCGAGCGGTTTACCGAACTGTCATTACTATCCGATGCCGAGAGACCGAGTGAGCGAGTGACCGAGCTGTCACTACTGTCCAGTGCACAAAGTCCGTTAGGTGAGCGGGTGACCGAGCAACCACTACTGTCCGGCGCAGAAAACCCCGCCAGTCCACCACTAAAGTCCAGTTCACAGAGCCAAAAGATACGAATAAAACGATTAAAATAAAAATTCGAACAGACCAGTCGTAGACCACAAGAAACGCGGGAGCGAAGCCGAGATTAAACGAGTGACCGAGCTGCCACTACTGTCCAGTGTACAAAGCCCGTTAGGTGAGCGGCTGACCGAGCTACCACTGCTGTCCGGCGCAGAAAGCCCGGGAGGTGAGCAGGTGACCGAGCTGTCACTACTGTCCAGTGTACAAAGCCCGTTAAGTGAGCGGCTGACCGAGCTACCACTGCTGTCCGGCGCAGAAAGCCCGGGAGGTGAGCAGGTGACCGAGCTGTCACTACTGTCCAGTGTACAAAGCCCGTTAAGTGAGCGGCTGACCGAGCTACCACTGCTGTCCGGCGCAGAAAGCCGGGAGGTGAGCAGGTGACCGAGCTGTCACTACTGTCCAGTGCACAAAGCCCGTTAAGTGAGCGGCTGACCGAGCTACCACTGCTGTCCGGCGCAGAAAGCCGGGAGGTGAGCAGGTGACCGAGCTGTCACTACTGTCCAGTGCACAAAGCCCGTTAGGTGAGCGGCTGGCCGAGCTACCACTGCTGTCCGGCGCAGACAGAAAACCCAGTTCACAGAGCCAAAAGATACGAATAAAACGATTAAAATAAAAATTCGAACAAACCAGTCGTAGACCTCAAGAAACGCGGAAGCGAAGCTGAGATGAAGCGAGTGACCGAGATACCACTACTGTCAGTGTACAAAGCCCGTTTGGTGAGCGGGTGATCGAGCTAACACTGCTGTCCAGCGCAGAAAGCCCGGGAGGTGAGCGGGTGACCCAGTCCGCTAGGTCAGCGGCTGACCGAGCAACCACTGCTGTCCGGCGCAGAAGGCCCGGGAGGTGAGCGGGTGACCGAGCTGTCACTACTGTCCAGTGGACAAAGTCCGTTAGTTGAGCGGGTGACCGAGCTACCACTACGGTCCGGAGAACGGAACCGGTTAGCTAAGCAAGTAATCGAGCCACCGCTACTGACCGGAAATACACCACTGGGCACACACCAACTTCCAGTGAAATGAGCCAGTGAAGTGATCAGTTACCGAACTGGTGATCCAGTGCACTATCACTGTTTCGAATTTCACACCTTATGGACTGATATTTCGGCTTTCTTTTCGGGTAGGGGATATCGTATCGTAAATTATCTGTATGTACAGCGAAAGGGAATGCTTTCAAGGTTGAGAGAATCATGAACTGATTTTCATAGAAACTTCATGTTTACCCTGTTGCATGTACCGATCATGTTTCAACTGTATGTACAGCGAAAGGGAATGCTTTCAAGGTTGAGAGAATCATGAACTGGTTTTCATAGAAACTTCGTGTTTACCCTGTTGCATGTACCGATCATGTTTCGACGAATAGACTGATGTTAATCTAATAAATATTCATTCAAATTCAAATAAATGGCCATGGACCACAAGAAACGCGGAGGCGAAGCCGAGGCTGTTTCTTGTAAATTCATAATTTGTATGTATAAACCATATAAATAATAAACTATATAAATACAAACTATAATACAAATTATAAATTTATATAGTTTATTACTTATATAATTTATACAAATTATAAATTTATAATTTTAAATGTAGCTGTAAAGGGTGAATGTTATACAGAGAACTGTCCCTGTGTTATAGCCTACCGGAAATCGGTTCCCAGACTCGTCTATTCAGTAAAGGGGTAAATGTTATATGAGAGCGAATGTTGCGAGGAGTTTCACTGCACTAAAGTAATAAGAAAGTAGATTTAACTTCCGTAACAGACAAGCATATATTTTTCAATTTTTGTTATGTCGGAGGACCGTCGCTGCGCTCCGGTGAAATAATCGCTAATAGTAATGATGTCTTCCTGCGACCGACGTGACCGTTCCCCTTGACAGCAGTGGGCAACCAACATAACTGCACCACAAAGGCAAAATGGAAACAGAAAAAATATTGACAAATCGACATTGGCATGAGAACAGAAAACAGACAAACGGATTTTAGAAAAAGTATTATTTAAGTAAGGCCACCAGACAAAGACATCACACCGGTGCAGCTACCGTGATTGAGCCGACGAGAGAAAAACCATGGCCATAGTTGTAAGCAAGGCGGGGCCAAAAGCTCAGCCTTGTACACGTAGCCTTTTTACATTTGAATCTGCACTAAAATGTTCTAACGGTAACGGCGGAATGGAAAAGTTAGAAACTACGCAGAAAACCAGAGCCAAGCGCCATTTGTATTCAGTTTTACTTCTGACACCAATGTTGCAATTTATTTTACTAAAACAAAAGGAATATCAAAAGCTGGTAACCTTTAATAAGTATCATGATACGAGTACGAACTATGTACCAAAACGAAACAGCATTTATATCAAAAGGAGTTCCTTCTGAAATGCAAGGAAGTTAATTCAAAAGTTGCGGCACAAACAATTTGACATGTACGAACGTGTCCATATTATATTACAAAATTGCTTATGATGGTGTTTCCTCATAATTTCCACATGACGATTACGCTGAAACAGGTTGTGGGAAACGACGACATTTAGTGGCTTACATAACTGCATGTCAATAGCAAATTAGCAACAATAAAAAGCCTGATGATGCTCATAGCGCGGCAAGCTTCACCAACATTCGAGCAAAAAAAATTTCATGGGAAAATCATATACAGCAACTAATTTTCGATATTTACTGCATAACGGGCAACGGTCGTCAAAGCTCCCATAAAGCGCAGCATTGTACAGGTCGGCGGCTTATTCTTCATTATGCTCTTCAGTGTCTGGCATGATCGCTGAAAGGATGTGGTACCGTTTTGATGTGAAACTGGTAACGTCCTTCCCAATGAACTTAGTCCAATTTTTGCTGAACGGCGGGCGCATAAATTTCGGTTCCATTACCATGACAACAATATGGAGTGCCATTAGCAGAAGCTCCAAATCAAGCGCGGTTGCCTTTCGGCATATGTCCAAAAATTTCGTGAATTCAGCAATACTGCCACCATTTTCCAAATGTATGCCCAAGGCTACGGCATCTCGTATTAAATACAATTCACACAGTTTAGTCAAATCTTCTACATCGTAGTGGTGCGCGGCATCACATAATCCTTCATAAAGCATTGACACGTTCGGCGCAATCCGACACTCACAAAATACAAACATTTCCGCTATAAGGTTGCCGTCGAAGGAAGTAATTTCATGGCCTTCTGTTGCATCGTCTGCTTCATCGATGTTGTGCTTGTCTAGAATAGATGAACGCAGTCCTAACGCCGACTTGCTAGCATATAGGGTGTTCTGGGGATCATTCTTGCAAGTGAATTTAACCGAGCCTGTATGCGGAGCATTAAACGATTTGCGAACGATAGCTGATGTCATCATCTCGCGTGCGGTGTAAATAAGCCGTGAGATAACAAAGTCGACATTTTCTTTTGCAGTAAGAACTATATTAAGGGCAACCTGCTCAAACACGAAGCAAATTCTTGGTGTTACCCACGGATTCCTGTTACTAGTGTACAAAATGCCACCTCCGGACAGCATGAGACTAGGCACGGGCGTTGTAAGCATGGTCTGGTAAGTAGCGGGAGAAAGCCCACCGACTTCAACCTGAGGTGCAAATGGATCAATTTCCGGGGGCAGAACGGTTGCTAAAGTCTGAAGGCTCCATGAAGCGACGGTTGGAAAAAGTAACTGCTGGTCGATTTGCAATGTTTTGAGCTTTAGCATGCAGCTTTCGCCCTCGGAAGAAATAAAAATAGAGTCCCCGCTTTCCTGCATCTTCACCGGCGTTAGTTGGGCTTTACCGGATAAGAAAAATACGCTTAGCTTCCAGTTCACGTTAATATTATCATGTGGTCTTTGCTTGTCGTTTTCCCACTCCAGCTTTAATATAATGAACTCCATAATCGTAGAAAACCAATCTGAATAAAATGTAGACTTGCCCATTACGCAATGGCTTGTAATTTGCTTTTCTGGTATTTGGTAGCTGAGAAACTGCTGCTCCTCTTGTGAGATCGTAGCACGGGGCGCTACCGTTTCGCACGTTAACACGATATCGTTGGATACCATCATGTCATCCTTGTTTGGTAAGGTAATTAATGTCTTTAGTTGGCTTTTCAGGTCTTCATAGGCTACTGTAACATCCATTGTTTGTCACCTGCAACGGCATCTTTTTAGTTTGCAAACAGTAAAGTGCTTCGGTAATACCAATGTATTTATATTAACAAAAAATATATACAGTATATCTATATAGAGTACCGTATATATTAATACTTTGCACTTCAACCCAGATCCGGGGTCCGCATACTGCATTTGCAGCAGTGAAAGAGAGTACTGTAACGAGTACTGTAACCGCGCGATGCGACGGCACTACTCCCAGGCCAGGCCGGTGGCCGCTGGATTCATCTGAGCAATGGCACCGCGCCGCTACATCGAGCATCGAGCACCGTGTATTGTATGTAGTTACACCGTCTATGGCTAAGGAAAATTACGTATCCCTTGGGGTTAGTAGATTACAGAGCATTAGAGCTGCATTAAAGGGCTGTATCGCAGCACACCTTTTTAGCCTTGTTGATATCAATCGGTTTAGCAACATCCAAAAGATTTTCACGTAAAAGGGCAGATAGAAAACCGAGAAATTACTAAAAACATCCTTGCAAACGCTGATGTTTTGCATAAATATTTGTCTCGGCTGAAGTATATTTAACTATCACGCAAATTCACATCAATTCAGTTATCAGGTCAATTCAGTTATTTCGGCTTCGGTTAAGACAAAAAATGTGTTTTAGGCTGTTACGTTTGTTTGTTTTACTGTATCGTTTGTTTTACTATATCTGCCACAAAATTCAGCACCGCACAGCTTTCCACAGCATAAAACGTCGGGTGCAATCTAGTCAGTGACCACTGGTCACTAATGGACGTCTCCTACACGGCAGCAGTGCGACATTCCAGAGAGAAAAAGTAATACTACCGTACTGCCCAAACAAAGTTAAAATGGTCTCCTGCTAGCACTGCTATGATTGCTATCCTTCTGAAAAAACTGAGGTTTTTCTGAATCTACAAAATGTGCCTCGCACACGGCACAGGCTTAGCGTTGCGTCAGCATCGTAACGCCCCGCTTGACGTGTGTTCACAAAAAACCTTTGCAAGTTTTCTAACTAAAATTTAGTCATCGATTTCAACACTTACTAGTTTGTGGATTTGCAGTCCGAAATGGTTTGGGCTGCTGAAGGCTAATAATGATAATGGAGCAGCAATATTGTAGTTAGAACAAGTAAAACTTGTTCAGTCAGGCAAGATGTTTTATCTGTATCTTACAAGCACGCTTCTCAGTAATAAAATCGCTGTTGGTCACTGTGGTTTAATGCAATATGTGAGTGCTGCGCTAGTACTTCTAAATTACTACATAAGTAGTAAATTCACCCAACCACGTACTGCTTGTGTTACAAGTTACACAATTATTTGCTTAAAAGTCCTTAAATGTACTTTGCTCCTGATTTTAAATCGTGCATGCTTGCAAGTTATTGTAACACAAGGAATAACAAGTGTAGTTACATAAGCTGAATAGCCTGTACTCACAATAAGGAACAAAGTTTAGCGCGGAACTGGACTTATAATGTGCATTCGCTCCTGATTACCACCATTTCCTTTATACAGCTCGTTAAAGTCTTATCGCGTTAAACAATGTTGGCGCGTTTGGCGCACACAGTACGCTAAAATTGTTCAGCGATAAATCGTAAAACTGAAGCACAAATATCATTGATTGTTCTTGGGTTATTTGGCTCTAAGACAATGAAAATCTCTTTAATTCTTAAAAAAACTGAATATCTTTATTCTTTAATAGCCACACATATAAAAATATGCCTGCACTAATAGATACTGATTAAAATATGATCCAAATTAATTATTTTGATATTATTTTATCATCCAAATGATAAAATAATATATATGATCCAAATTAATTATTTTGATATTTAATTATCAAAAATGATTTTTATATGATCCAAATTAATTATTTTGATATTTAATTATCAAAAATCAAAGAAACGGATATTCTAATCGAGTCAATCTAAAACAAAAAGCAGTGATTCGTCTTGTAAAAATATACATGCGTACAGACGACACACTTTATTTACAAGGCCTTCAACTAATCAAGCAGCCGGTATACATTTTATATAATATTTAGTATATTCAGCCTCTTATGTTCTTATAACTTAATGAAGTTTGGACATGACTTGGAACCTCTAGCTATTAAATTTGGAGAATTCGGAGTTCGGAGAAATTGACTTCAGTAATAAATTTTGCAGCTGTGAAAAAGTTACTAAATATCCTAAAAATTGCTGGGCAAACTTTGTATGAATGATACGAGTACATTCTAGTGCCTGATTTTTTATAGACGCGACCGTCCGTGGCTCCGAACATACAGTATTGCACATGTTTATACTTCGTTACGGTACAGTACGAGTTCTTACTTCGATTTCGCTCCGAAACCGGTCACTTGTTATACGGGTCAGCTCAGCGGTCACCCACGTTCGAAATTTCGTAAAAAGTACGTACCTGACTGATTTTAAAAGTGATAATTTTATGCATTTGTTGTAATTTACACTTTTTTATTAGCACATACCTGCTTACATGTTTCACCTACGTAATCTCATAAAAAATTAAATTTTTTTACAAACCCTCTGAAAAAGTTGCCGAAACAAAAAATTGTTATATTTTTTCTATCAACGCTGGATCTACTTTTTTCCTTTTACTATCAGAATACAGTTAGCTAATTTAAGGAACGGGAACAGATAAACCGAATTTTTATCTCATAATCCTGTACTTTTTGGAAATTGGAAACGTGGGTGATCGGTGTGCTTGCAGTTTGGCGTTTGCAAAACGGTTTGCGAACGAAGTCAAACCATCGTTTGCCTAGTACTACAGAGTAGTATTTTGAACTGCGCGATATGTAGGACAGTACGACTGTACGAATATAATTATTATTTTGACAAACAAGCGGAGATAGTAAAGCACGATTACGCACAATAAGCCAGCAGAATAGTAATACTAGTCAAAGGCGCTGTTATGCAATCAAAGCATAATATGCTGTTCAGCAAGCGGCGTAACGCTAAGTTTGACAAATGACACGCTGCACCAATGAGTTGTGTAAAATTAATAAAGATTGTCTTGGAAATTGCTGCTTTCTGAATAGTCAGTTTAAATACGATATTGTATGGATTAAAAGTTGCACCAAAAGGACGAAGCAATGGATAAGGCCCAAAAGCAAACGGAAATGTCTGCAGCAGGTACGGTTATAAAACCTCATTTGGGTAAGTTATAATAATATATATACCTATGTGTTATAATTGTCGGCTGCACGGAAGCAGTAGCACACTAGCACGTAGTAAAAAAAACTCGGAAATTACATAGATCTGCGACACTCCGTAAAGCCACTAGAAGGTAGAATTCCTAGCGATTGGGGCTCCACCAAACTTTGAGCTCTTACGCCTTTGACGGGAACGTGCAGAATTCCGCAGAATAATACTGTACTGCTTGCCATACTGCTAATTTCAACGTGTTTTTATTAATACGAGTACTTTATAGCATATCTTGCTTGCTTTATACTGAGGTTATACTTTAAACCTTGCTTTTATCAACGAAATTGGTGTAGCTTCGCCTGATAGACCATTGCCGAAGATTGCATGATTTTTAGCACGTATACTGCAAGCTCTCCTTTCAGACAAAAATGTAGTTTTTCGGACTTTAGTGTCTCTGACCGTTAGAATGATCACACCTCCTATACAGCGCGGGACACAGGTAAATGTTCCTTTCCAAAAAACTTCATCTCCACAACGAGTCAAAACGCTTGTATAAAAAGAGAAAGTTTAGCAATATACGAGAAATGAAAAAAAAAGATTTTGAGAACTTTTTCGTAATGTGAATTAAAAGCTGATATTAATATTGGAGGCCTAAAAATTTTTACATCCGGTTTGCAAGCATTTTGCATGGAACAGAGAAGCCTACGGAATTAAAGTCAAGAGATCTCGCAAGGTACTTATGGAGCCGTCAAGGCTCCAAAAACGTAGCACGCTAAGCCTGCATCGTTCGTTTTGACCATGGTTATCCACTCATTGGGGTGTCATGATACGAAAAAACTTTCCAGTTGAGATTCCGTTCGTTGTCTCGGTTCTGTTTATTAAGCAGCGGGCCCCGTCCCAATTGCTAAGTACTACCCCCCGTCACAAATAGTGGCAGTATCACTAGCTGCTCACTTATTTTGTTTGGGAAATAGCCACAGTTCTGTTACCCTCGCAATCTTGACCGCTGCCGGACAGCAACAAAAATCATCCTTCCTAAACATATCAGACAGATTCATTATTATCGCAAGCTTTGCCTGCTAGCACTGGTTTCTGGAACCTTAAAATAAGGTTTCTAGTCCGGTGTTCAATTTCTGATTTATGTTACCGCCCCATAGTTTACCGGAGCGCTTAGGCTGGCTCTAAATTTAAAACATTCTAATTTTTTTTGTAGAAAGATTTTTTATAGAAAAAAGGTGACCTAAAAACATTTTCATCTGCAAAAATCAATAGGGCTAAGCAAATAGTATTACCATTTGTTTAGCTAACCACGTATTATACTGCAGTACAAATTTCATCAGATTGACTATAGTCTGTGGTAATACTGTATCGTCGAGTCAACTTGGCACTTTTTCGTACAGTGAGTTACGAGTAGTATCACTATTTGGATTTTGCGGGCAGTGCAGTAACCGCAGACTCATACAGCTGCCAGGCTCCGACGAAACTGAACCTCGAGCGCAAATTATCGTGAAACCGCTAATCGCCAGTTTCAAAAATTTGTTATCATGAAATTTGCAAACATAGCCGTACATAGAATCATTTCTTTACAAATAAGCAGATACAAAATTAACAACAAAATTAAAAATATGCACTTTAGACCCGGTGGCACGAGCTACCGCACGCGAGGTTAAGTTAAGTTGGCGGTCTGTGATGGTATACTTCGTACGGCTACTGCTGTGCCCGCAAAATTAAAATAAAAGCGCGCTTTGAACCAGTACGAGTACTGCAGTGTCCCTCTATGCAATTATATATATAATAATTATGTAGTATACAGAGTACATTTTCAATTTTCGTTTGGTCCCGCCTTATTGAACATTGCAGATGAAATACAAACATAAGCATAATATGGTATTATCTTACCTTTCTACAACAAAATCAAAATTTTCTGAATTTGAAGGCTATGTGCCCTAACTGTTGCAAGCAGCACAGGTTATTGTAAATTTGTAATCACATGTGCCTGTATATCGTAGGTTGGGGCCACATTGAGATGGCTCCGACAGCCATCATGAATGTACCATACCACAACTTTCGTGTTTCGGTGTACCAGAGAAGTGTCACGGCAACCCAGGATGATGGAAATCAATTTTATTACACTCCTCTTTTACTTCTGCAACCGGAAACGGCTAAAAGTGTATCAAATCCGTTTACACAGAAGTATCAAGTAACATTTGAAGTTACTATGTGGAATGCGGCACTTGAAGAATATTTGCAGATAGTTCTCTCCAAAAGAACTAACTTGGAGATTCCCATTACCAGCATTCGGCCTTTACCGGTGGAACAGATTCGGCTAGAAGCGCACGAGCACTCGCCTCTATACACAGTGGACAGTAACTGGCAAAGCAATGCAATGAACTCCAATGTAGTTACTTTTCGAGTAAACTGTGGTAACAAGGTTGCTTGTGCAGAACTAGCAGAAAATATTATGGAGTATCCGGACTTGTTTGCCAGCAATTTTACCGTGCACTATAGTATGGAAGCACAAAAAGTGGGTAGGAGAGTCATTACTATAACGGCAAAACACGCGCGCCGTGCCGATTTGGTCACAAAATTGGATCAAAAATTTCCAAATTGTGGCAACGTCTACATGAAAGCTGATGATGCTAAAAACTTGACCCTGGAAATCACTACCCATGTTTTGGCTACTGAAATAATGGATGGAGATTTTGTGAACAATGATCAGTCGTTGAATGTTATGAACTTGATCAAGTCTGCGCTTGACCTTACTAACGTCGGCACAGAAAACTTTTCCTCTGAAATGTGGGAATCGACATTTTGGCATGATGATAACGCGAGGCCGGACAAAATCAGCCATACGCTAAATGAAATTTACGATAAAAGTGACAGCGAGACGAAAGTGTTGATGGAAAGAGAAATGGCCGAATCAGCGAAGCAGCACGACAAAGAATCCAGCTTTTCCGAATCCGACATACATCGATCAGGTAAAAATGCGAGAAGCGCACAATCCGATCGATCGAATGAGAGCCATTCAGATCAGGCGAATGAACAATCGTCTAAATATAACTTCGGCGCTAGTGGTAAAGGGTGGGGTGTCAAAGTGAACGTCAATGCCAGCGGCGAATCGGCAAGCAAATCCAGCTTAAGTACCGGAAGCAAGTCACATGCAAATTTTGCAAATGCAAATGCATCAGAATCAGAATTTTCGAGCCACAATGCCAGCGCGCAGTCTTCCGATCGCCTTTCCGAATCCGCAAAGAGCTCGAGAAACAAAGATGACCGCCTTGATTCCCTCCTCAAGGAAGCCAAAAGCCTAGCACAGTGGGATGGTGAGAAATTTGTTCCGTAAGCAATGGAGCTAACCAGGTTAAACATGTCGGCGCTAAGATCATCTTCTAATTTAGGCACCGTGCAGATTCAGGTAAGCAAGTAGCAGTCTAGTGATAACGATAAATTACATCAACGTTAACTATGTACAATACATAGAGTAGTGCAACATTTATATACTTAACACACCTAATTTACTTAATGCATACGTGCTACAGATATAATATAATAATTACAAGTGTTTGAATGGCATTTGGTAAGGAGTGATAATTGGATGTGTTGCGCTCAGATTGTGAGAGAAATGACCGAACTATTTTGCAGATTACCCATACTACAGCAACGCTAAGCAGCAAAATTAACGTGCTACCAACTAAAGTCGTGAAACCATCTGTAGCCCCCGAGCAGACTGCTGGCATACGCTATCTTGACGAAATCATCTCTCGAAGCACAAAAATTCACGCTGGTACACCTGACATTTATCAAGCATCGCTAACGCAAACAGGAGTTAACCATACACACAAATTAAGACGTTATACGGTTGGCTCTAAACCGGCTTCTGCAACCACTCCAAAGGTCATACTAGTGCTCGATGCCACAGGAGCTGGAAAGACAACCTTGATTAACGGCTTGCTAAATTATATGTTTGGAGTAAAATGGGAAGACGGTGCACGGTTAAAAGTTATTGTGGAGGAAGGCGAAGCGACCAACCAGGCGAAAAGCATGACGAAATTTGTAAGCGCTTACGAGTCGTACAAGCAATACGACAGTCCCAGTCCATACTGTTTGACCATCATCGACACGCCAGGGTTTGGTGACACCGATGGCATGTCTCGAGATCGAGAAATTACTGCTCAGTTAAAAGAAATGTTTTCCTTAAATAATCAGAATTCCGGAGGCATTGATCATGTGGATGCCATATGTATTGTGGTGCAAAGCGCTTTGGCTCGACTGACCGCCACGCAGAAATACATCTTCGACTGCATTCTATCCATTTTTGGAAAAGATATTGAGAAAAACATTTTTTTGTTATGCACATTTGCGGATGATAAAGAGCCCCCCGTCTTGGCAGCGGTCAAGGAAGCCAAACTACCGTTCTGTAAATGGTTCCCGTTCAACAATAGCGCTTTGTATGCGGACAATGGGCCGCAGTCCGGAATGTTTAGCAAGCTTTACTGGGAAATGGGTCTTACGAGTATTATGGAATTTTTTAAGTACCTCAGTCAAGTGGAGTCACGAAGTTTGACACTTACTCGCGAAGTACTCAAAGAACGTGAAGCTTTGGAAGCAGCCATCAGTGGTCTCCAGCCACAAATTAACATGGGCTTGGCAAAGATGGAAGAGATTCGGCAGTCACAGGTTAGAGGGCAAAGCAAATCTTGTCACTTGAGAGTAATCATTAATATGTACGTACTCGTGTTCTTAAAACCTTCGTACTCGTACTGTTAGTACGGTCTTGGAAAAAAAATGTACAAGAACACATTGTACGTGGAATACGATTACCCATCTACCGAGTACATAATTACAGCGTTTAGAAAACAGTTATTAGTTTTTCGGTGTCTAAGCTACTATCGTCTGTGAATTTGCCGCACTCCATGTCAAACCGTTTCAGAAGACGTGTCACCGCACTGAAACGGATTTAACTTAAATTTCTTCTTCAAGCATGGTTTATCTGTATTGTTACTTGTTAGTAATTTTAACAAATTTCAGGCTAATTTTTCTTTAGATACAAATTGCTGCACATGAAAAGCAACTTCAAGCCAACGTAAATTTTATCATGGACATTGATGAACCATATGCGACCAGAATAGCGCTCGCCGTCGGAGAGTTTGTGACCAATTGCTTAAAGTGCAATCGCACGTGTCATTATCCTTGTGGGATACCGAACAACGCGGATAAGGCCGGGTGCGCGGCAATGGAAAATGGAAACTGTTATGTGTGCCCTCAACGGTGCCATTGGAGCATGCACTGCAATGATCAATACCGTTTTGACTATGGGACTAAAAAAGTTCGGAGAACGTTAGAAGACGTTAAAAGAGTGTATGAGCAAGCAAGAGGTGAGAAGATGTCAGCAGAAACCTTGCTAAGTCGAATGCAGGATCATCTGGATTCCGTGGGTCAAAACGTTATGGAGTTAATATTTGTGTGCAACGAAAGCTTGAATCGACTGGATGAAATTGCGCTTAGACCAAGCATGATGACCACAACGGAATACGTCGAGATTCTTATTGAATCCGAGAAGTCGGAAAAGCGTCCCGGTTATTCCCAAAGAATCAAAGCATTAGAAGAAGCAAAAGAGCGGGCAATACTGATTGAAAGAGCACGTAGCGCAGACATCATGAAGGATGGCAAGCGCAAGCCCATAAAAGACAGCCGCAAATGGATATCCGATTTCTTCAGTCGTGGTGTTTTTAGTGCAAAGAAAATTTCGCACCAAGGAACAGAAGGCAAGAGTTGGCTGAAAGGGGTATTTTTTTGACAAAATTTAATATCATGATCATAATGGTTACACGTCTTGATGCGGTACGTAACGATACTGTTTCTGATATCACGGCCACATTCTAGCCCTGTTAAACACTATTTCAGTTTTTCTACAATTGCAGTAGCCCGAAAATTATTTACCAAAACAGTTATTTGTATTTGATAATAACATCGTGAGAAATCTGTGTATCCTCACGCAAGCTCCAGTCATACGACATAGCTGCTGACGCTTTGCGTGTTCTTTTTTAAACGTAGATACTCATAAGTCATAGGAATTAGTGAAGGTTTTAATGGTTGGCCACCCATTTCCCGTTTCCATGCATGGAAACGTGAAACCTTGGTGGAATAGAAACACTCCTTGCACAACTTCACAAGTGAGTTCAGCGCACACTGTTGCCCGGCCCGCTCCCGGTAACTGGGTGAAGGGTTTTGCTAATGTATTTTTTATACTTTAAATTATATCAAAGAGCAAAGAGAGCAGCTTACAGAAGGAAGTAAACAGTCCAGTCTGTGTCATCACTCAAGGAATAAATAAAATGTAATAACTGAGAATACTTGCAAAATTGTGTGTGTCAAAACAACCGTATTTCCTACTTCTCCATTTGAGAATTAACATTTGTTTTTTGGAGCCAGTTCAGCCTTTGCAAATGCTGCTTTGTACGTCTCCGGTGGCCCGTTCTTCTTGCTGCGGCATACGGCCTCTTTGCCCACTGGTTTGAAATAGCTTTTTAACATGCAAACAGGACCAGTGGGAGTGCCCGAACTGAGCACGAAGGTGTAACCATTGCAGCCGGTATATAATGCGCACATCTGTCCACACTTCTCCTCACCAATGGACGAGGGGCCGCCAAAACCAGCGTTACTCCGTTTATCTCCCACCTCGATCACGTCGACGTTGTTGGAATTAATTTCCACTTCTTCCGCAACGGTATACTTAAGGGCGTCGATGTTGGCAAAGGTCACGTACGAGTGGCTCAAATCGACCGAAGCAACGCCTTCCATTTCTGGTCCACATTTAGCGCCCTTCTCGACGATGGCACAGGTGTCTTTCTTCACTTTGCCATCGTGAACGGCGGCCAGGCAGTTTTTGTTCTTTTGGCATTTGGCGAAGCAGGCCTTCTGATTCTCGTTACCACTGAATTTCACCGGGCCTTGCATAACATTAAGACATTGTCCAACTGGTATGTCGCTAAATTATAAAATTGTAAAAAAAATATGTGAATGTACGCATTTACTTAGCATATTTTGTTATAATAATTATGTGATTCTGTACTCACCATGGATATAGGCCACCAAACCTAACAGCAAATAGGCAGCTGCAAACAGAAAAATAAAATTGAAATATATTTTGCGCACGCACGTAAGTTGTCGCAATAATGTTGCAATTATTCCATGGCTTACTTGTTATTTTCTCAAAGGCCGTAAACATTTTCTAATGTAGCGACGATACTAGCCCCTCAGTACAAAGCTTGTCTTGCAAAGGAGTAGTACAGACAGACGATTTTTAGTAATGCTGAGCAGTGGCGTTAAATACTGTGGTCAGTGGTGCCAAGTGAATTCCGCACTTTTTCGTAGAGCATGCTAGACAAGCGCTGTATGGACGGCTCTAGCGTTCAGTGGGTTCACTGTCTACAGGCTTATGAACTGCCTGAACAAGCAATTTGAAAAAATTCCCATTCAGTAGTACGTGCGGGTACGACCAAGCATTTCGAATCAGCAGCTAGACAATACGTAATGCAGTTCGCATGTTTTGTAAACATAAATTGTAAAAATATTGTTTTGATTAAATTCAAGTCTATAAGTCTTGATAGAGAGCCGTTTTGAAGCAGGAACGATTCTTCAAGAGTGAGCAACGCTCGGCCCTTTACTACTGGCAGCCTGACGCTGTTCAGCGCGTTCAGCGAACGCTGAACCCCGCCTACAGCTCTAGCGTATCACACTTTACGAAATGGTGCGGAATTCACTTGGACTGTCTGGTGAACTGAGTGAATTCATAAATCGACAACTCGAGATTCCATATCCGGAAGGAGAATGAATTAGGAACTAGTGATTTATGAAGTTTTAATTGGTGTCCGAACGTGAAATAGAACAGCCGAAAGATCTTTGGTTTAGGTTGGAAACAAGTTTTCGGTAATGAGAGTCTGATTTCTTAAGTGTTTTAATTACAAAACTAAATGCTAGTACTAGTATCAGTTTCAAATCGGTAAACAAGCGTTACTTTCTAGAGTTCGGGTTGCATCGAGCCGGTTATGGAAATACAATTTCGATATTTCTCCGTCCATAAACGACTTATGCCTGACAAAGCACATATTTACCGCTAAGCACAACTGGAATAAGCGATAAATAATGAATTAATTGTTTTATGCTTCAATTGTTTTGTCACATTTCTTAGGCATTTTGCAGGTATCTGTACATCATCGCATTCGAATCAACAGTACATCAGTATCTTTGTAATTACGAAAATGCAACTGAAAGTTAAGAAAATAGATATTCAGTGGTAATATACGAGTACTACAGATACTAATGGGGTAAGCATTAAACATGTCCCAGTTTTCATGAGTGCTACACAAATGGTAAAGGAAATTCCTGTCATTGGTAAACTGGCCACGTAAGAGATGTACCGTGACTGAACATCCGCATTAACGGATATATTAACGTCCGAATTAACACACTATAAACGTACCCCATCAAATAAAAACGGCTGTTTATGCAAACTTTTCTCGTCTGAATTGGTGCTATTGTTCTAGCAAACACTGTTTCGTTTTGCGGGAAAGCCACTGCACGCGCTTACTTGTTTTTACGCTTTTCGTAGCGTTAATTGCGGATTTATCTAGTTTTTTTTATTTTTCTACTAGTCACGAGAACTATTAAAAAATTATAAATTGCTTTTGTCCGTTTACTATTACCGCATTGCGGCAATTTCGTTTTGTCTGAAGGTGCTAAATTAAAAGGTTACAAATTAGATAGAGCTTGGTGCATGCAATAAATATCGGGTGACCGGCACAAATGTCTGCGCTTTCTTTGCACTCGTTGTCCAACCCATAAAACACGCCTTGAGATCCGGTAGAGCAAAGGTAAACAAAATCGCATCAGCAACGGATTGTAAGGGATACAGAATAGTCGGCACGGATCGCTCGATAAAATACTCCGTCTTCGGCGTAAACTGCAACTGACCAATCCGTCGCAACACCATGAAACCCTGCGGAATCGCCCAGAAAATACACACACTAATGGTCAGGACAGTCAACACGTGAAACCCACAGCTCGTCGTCGTGTCGTAACTGGCACGTGTCCGCACCGTGCTCTCGTTCTCCGTTGAGACGTTCTGTGTTTTCTCATCCTCCACCGATGCAAAAATAAACGACTGCCGCAAGCGTTTGGATTTCGTGCTGCGCTTCCGCAAAAAGCGTCGTCTCCGCAGCCAGAGAAACGGATACGCAAACGCCGTGAAAAACGCCGGGAAATTGAACACCGCGATCTGCAGCGCCATGCGCCACTGTGGATCGGCGTCCATGCGCCAATCACACAGCGCGTTCCCCGGAGAATTCATCGCATTCTTGATAATGACGTATATGACGATAGAATGCACATAAATCCACATGCCGGCGCAGATTCCGATGGCTTTTCGCCGGTTGTGCGAGTTGCGATACGATACCGGATAGACAATCGCCCAGATGCGGTTCAAGGTCACCAGCGCATGCGTGTGCCGGACGATCCCCGTTCCCACGTAATTCGCGTACTGGAAATGGAGACACTGCACGTGCTCCATCTGCTCGTAGCCGTAATGACGCAGGAGGCCGTAAACGTTGATAGGATGCGCTAAAATTGCGTATATCAGATTTGCCGATAATAGATTAAGCAGATAAATCATAAATGGATTGGAATACAGCAGGCGCTTTTGGCAAAATACAGCTAAAACAACTGCGTTAGAAATAAGGGTTAACAGAAACGCAATCAGTGCTGCAATCGGTGTAAAAGTCCAAGAAATCTCGGAAGCGTTAACAACCGATATATTTCCCAAACTTGTCAAATCCATGTTGTATAATAACTGCGCCGACTGTGCAGGCTAAGCCGTGTTAAGCGATATTTAATAGAGTAATTGGTCAAGGCAAACATGAGAGATGCGGTGACGACAGGATCACACGGAGGTTGAGTCAACATACGCTGCCGTGTTTGTTCGCTGCGTAAACTACTGCCGCATATCCGGAGGTGCTGCTGCCGTAACGTTAAAATAACAAATCGCAATTTATAGATTGCTCTTTTGCCCGGTATCCCTGATTCATAGGCACGATTACAACTGAAAATTCAATAATACGAGTATTCTGCGTGCACCATGAAAAATATTGTCTCGCTTCCAGAAAACGGCACGAAAACGTTTATGCAGACGTCAGGTTCAGCACACACGCTAGTTTCCAGGAAAGACACCATTATGGGCCGTAGTAAAGTAAGCAATAACGAAGTAAAGGAAGAGAACAGCGATACTGTACCGTCAAAAATCACGGATCTTTGAACGTCGTAGGCGCAGACTGATAATGATAGTTCAGGCTGGATATGCGATCCTCAAGGGAATTGCAGATGGAATGATAGCCAGCCTAAAGAGAAAACGATGGCTGTGTTCTTTACAGAGTTTCACTGCAAGTGAGAGATATCGATCCTTGCATGCAAGTCATTTAGTATCATTATAAGAGGCTCGTTAACGCTGTAATTACTTAACGCTGTAATTAGCAGATGAAATCTTTGTTATTTGTAATCCGCCGCCAAGAACTATCATTAGAACCTAATATTTTTAGCAAGGAACTTCACTGCCATACAGTACCGCAGCAGTGAATCGTTGAGTGTCTAGAACAAGCTAAACGATGCGGTTTAGTTTAGTTTAGTTTATTCATTGAGCAGACAAATTCTCAGGCACTCACAAGTCCGATGAGAACGACATGCATTTAAAATCAAGATAAAGAACAGCACAACAGATTTGCAGATTTAAGCAAATACAGATATTCCTTAACAGAACCTGAGAATCACAACCAAAAAATTCAATGCCGCTGTTTTATCCGCTATCAGTGATTTTATCAAACAAGGTTTTCAGCCTCCAATCCGTGACCTTGCGGCGGTGTCAACCGGATTCTATCGGAGGAGGGCATCCCTCGCGTGGTCTTTAAATGGAATCCGCTCACACGTGTACGCTGGTTCTATATAGTTTTGCCGCTTTCGGACTTGTACAGCCACACTGCTTCTTTCTGGGGCCATCGGTCGACTGTTGCGGTAATACCAAGCCGTTGGTACAGTTCCCGGTAATGGTCCGTAGCGTGTTGCCGGTTTATTAGCTTCTCCTGCTCTCCCAGAGACGCTGTCGACCATGCCATAGCTCAGTATTCTATGTACGGCTGGACGAAAGCATGAGAGGGAAATTCGCCGGGAATCGCTGAGACCAGACTTAACGCGCTTAATCTTCCAGACCTCTAATCTTCTTAGTCTTAATCTTTAACGGTCTCAACGAGGCTGAATAGCCATCACGTTTTATACAGCTTTAATGATCACAGTTGTGAGAGTGATGGCCAGCAGACTCGTTTGATCCCTCTGGAAATAGTTGCACAGCCAATATCTTCCGGCAGTTCAGTGTTTCACTACTCTAGAACTCAACTGTACATATTGACCAGTAATACTGGAAGGATTCTGTTTAAAACATTGGTCGGTTTGCTGCGGAGTTCGGCGGTGCCACTGGACTGCTTTCATGAAATCATTGCCAAATTCGAGCCCATTGGTTACAACGAAACAAATTCGGGGTAGCTCGATTAGTGTCTCCTAAACAAACACTGCGATGGGATGACCTTAACGCCATTCGCAAGGCCCTTCGCATTTTGCAAGGACAAGGAAGCATAAACACCCACAGCGGAGAAAGGCATCTGTTCTCAGTACACCGCCCGTATTAGGACTTCGTCTTGTTGTGTCGATGCAGCCGTTAGGTATTAAAGGAAGATCGAAGTTAAATATGTTGCACTTATAATTTGCCATGTAGTGCTGCATTGTTTGGCTGTTGCCCCATTTTAAAAAGACTATAATAAGTTGTATAAAAGTACTTTTTAAATATCGAGACTAATTCAAGAAGACACATGCACGGTTAAGTAGAAAAGTGCTGGCGAACACTGCTATCAATTACGACACGGACAACATCACTGAGTCCAGTTCTGTCCTATGCAAGATCCGGAAGTATCTGTTTGTTTATATTACAGCAAGCATCCGCCCCTCCGCGTTTTCGTATCGCGGTTGTATTTCTCTTTCCACAACGGCTCCTGTGTTATTAATTGTAAACAGAATATTCATCGTGTTGAAAGCATCCTTGTATTCCTTGAGCTCATCGGGGAATACCGATCAAGTGTTTGAGAGGAATTTTACCAGCATCACTACGTTAGGTAGTCCAACATCTAACGCAGATGGTGTACGCGATATCCGGGAAACGATGGCACGATTCCTGGAAATACTTTGAAGAAACCCAGCCAAACGATCAGGAATATGTGGCTGCCTAATGAGACCCTCAACTGGACAACCAACGCAGCGGCAGCGTACCAATGGCATTTCATCCCGGTTCTCCGTATTGTTATGGTGACGTTAACGCTATCCATCAACGCCATCGTCTTAGCGGCGTTCTTCCTCAACGACCGTCTCATCCACAACCCGTTCATGATCTACCTCATCAATCTACTATTGAACAACATGGTGTACGGATTATTAGCCAACATCATGAACATCTTGGTCAGCCTTCACGGCGACAGCTACCATTGGATGGACAAGTCTGTATGCGGATTATACTTATACGCTAATTACACCGGTGTCGGCATTGTCATGAACTGTCACGCGTTGGTCACACTGAACCGCATCTGGGCGATCGTCTTCCCTGTATCGTACCGCAACCGACACACACCACGGATCGCGGTATTACTCTGTGTTAGTGTGTTTGCTTATGTGCACATCTTCATCCTGTCGGGGATTGTCAAGCACTCCGTAGAGGATCATCTGATATGCGACTGGCAGCTGCGTATGCTGATGTCATGGCGGCATGCCATCCAGCTGCTGGTGTATGATGCGCCGCTGCTGTTCCAGCTGGGCGCCTATCCGTTTCTCTTCTATAAACGCCGGCAGTTTATGCAGAAGACGCAGAAAGAAGAGATGCAGCGGCGTGCGTCGAAGAGAGAGAAAGAAACAAATTTCTTGGAGGTGCCTAGACAGATGCCTCTGCGCTCGCAGTCAGTCACGTGCGAGACGGAGGAGCGGCGGGAGATGTTCAAGCGCAGTAAGTCGCTGTCGGTGACATATCGCAAAGATGCGCTGATTATTCGGCGCATGCAGAGCAACCCGGATGGAAGTTATGGGTTTTTGGTGTTGACCTTGTTAACGATTAGTGTGCTGATTTGTTGGGCGGCACCGCATGCTTTTTGGACGATTCTCCAATTTAAGGAGCTGCCGGAGAATATTGCTTATCTATTCGGAGCGATGATTCCGTCGATTTTGTACCCTGTACAGGCGGTTGCTGATCCGATCCTTTTTGCGCTTGCTCTACCCGATTTGCGTAGGGTCCTTTGTCGGTATTGTAAGAAAAGGGCATAGCGGAAGATTAGTCTAACAGTAGTCTTTATAACTTTTCATGCGGATGTAAAATTTTCACCATCCCAAGATTTGGTGATCAGCGTAATTTTGGAAGTTGATAGCTTGTGTGATATGTTATTATCGCCGTTACTTTCTTTTTCCAATGTAATCCTATACACTATTAAACTTTGCTGGAAAATACTGCAGACTGTACATTACTGGAAAGATGGCGCGATGGAAAAGGATTTTATTCTAGCAAGCCCAAAGCAAAGCCAGAAATAATTATTCAACAGAAGCAGTTAATAGTCACCAGAATTTAAAAATTTTTGGGACACCAGCCAAATCGATATTGTCCTACAGAGATTGATTAAAAATTTTACTTTCCAACCCCTCTGGCTAGTATAGGGAACATTACAGAGAACCGGCACCTTTTCATTGCATGATAAGTGCAATACTTTCTGATTTTCACGATAGTACTGTGAAGTACTCCGCCGCAAAAACTGGAACTGGTAACTAAAACGATCTTAATGTGCTTGTAATTCAATATGCCAACTTGGATAAAATGTTCCTGGGGCGGTAATTTGGGGTGGCATAAAAGCCGGATTTTTTGTTCACCTTTTCGTCGCCTAAGAACTCGGATTTAGTGCAATTTCCAAGTTGCCGGCATCTTTTATCAATCAGTTTACTGGACCAGCATGATGGTTTTGGCAAAGTTATTTATTAGGTATGGAAATTTTTTAGTGTGATGTCGGAGAATTTACAGATAGTCTACCGGTTCTTTTTTTTATTGTAGTTGCCGGTTTGGTATGTGGATTTGCTGCCCATGAACAAGGTAGCTTGCTTGACATGAAGAATGGTCTGTTTACTATTCTAGGTACTGTACATAGTAATAAGGAATATAATTTGTGTGCATCCACACAGCCGGTATGGATCTCGGCTTCCGTGGTATGGTCTGCAATCCGCCGCTGAAATTCTCCGGTACGGAAAATAAAGAAGCCTGCACAGCAAAGTGCAAGAAAGACAGGAACTGTCTGGCGGCCGTCTTCGATAATGACGTGAAAAAGGACACCTGCGCCATTGTCCAGAAGGGCGCCAACTGCGGACCGAGCCTGGACAACTATAACTTCAAAATCCCATTCCCACCAACTGTACGCCAACATCGAGGAGACTCAGTACCTCCTGGTCGACGATTTATCCGTGGGCGGTTCCGACATACCCGAAATCAAATCCGGGGAGGAGCACAGCTTCCCGGCCTATGGCGGCGTTATCGGCGGCTTGAGTGAGGCATCATGTGGGATGTTGTGCGTACTGTACAGCGGCTGTAATGGCTACACGCACGGCTACAACGGCGTGAGTCACTCCGGTATGGACTGCAAACTGAAGCGGTTCTCGAAACCGGTGGTCATCGGGAAGGACGGAAAGTGCTTAAATAACAAGAAACGCCAAATGGGCAAGGCAATGTCCCGAGCCTTTTTTGCCAAAGCCGAATTTGCGCCGAAACAAAAGTGCTAAACGTTTTATATGTGGGGAACGTTGTGAATACGTTTCGATTGAAATCTTGCTCAAATCAGAATATTATCAATTTTTGCGAGCATTCAACCGTAACGGTGAACGATTTTATTATTTCTTATGCCGACCCGTGTGCTCATGTGCAATCAACATGGATTTTTTGAATGAAACTCTGTAGGATTGGTAAACATTTCCTGTTAATAATGAGCCGGTTTTAAAACTGCCGGGAAGGTTACGTTGTAGCAGCCAACTGTCAATCATTATTTGTTGCTTGCTCGTTCGAATGTCATGTTCTTGTTGGCGATTCCAGTTATTTCTTATTTACTTGAGCTTGGCAATCTACTTAGCTAATAAATTAGTGGAAGCAGGTCTGCAGTCACTTCTGCTCTATCCAGGGATTCTATATGACATAATCAACCAAAAGAAACGGCCCATAGATCAATGCTACTGCACTTCCGCCAGTTGCTGCCGGTGCATGGCCGTCTTCATCCTGACTGCGAAATTGCAGAAGTTAGGATCTTTTCAACAAAAGCGGTCTGCGGAAATAGTCGGTGCTGCGCACAATGCAACACCACAAAAAAAAGGAAGTAAGCAGGAGCATGTGTCCAATCAGTTACAAACTTACACGTATAAATATGCTTATAAAACGCTTGCAAAAAAAAAGAAAATTAATTTAATGTTGAGCGTTTGCCACCTCACGACTTGTGATTTTAGGCTTAACGGCAGGGCATGAATTACTGTAAGTATTCACTTTACTTAAAAACTGAGGCAAAACTCAGGGTGAGCGTTTGCCCATACATATGAACCGGATCCGGATTTGGCATTGTGTCCGCAATCTCCTCAGTTGTGTCCCCAATCTCGTCAGGGAAAATGAAATTCGGTCATGCTCTCATTTCATTTTCCTTTTCAAATAACTTCTTTCAATTTCTGCAGGGGTAGCCAGGATGTCCTGGGCGATGCCAAACTGCTACATGTCTTTCGCACCAAAACTTATCGTTTTACATTTTTGTGGCGCACATCCTGCAAATTTCAGTGTGGCCGCTGGATTCACAAGTAGTCAGTGTCATGAGGGTGAGATTTCGCTGTTTCATATTTCTGAATCTTTTCGTTCTTTTAGTAAATGTTGTCAGAGAGATCTGCGAATAATATTAATTTTGTGGATGTTTAAATAATGCTTGGTGTTTGTAATAATGTTGCTCATCAGTTGATTTGAGCGTGAAAACAGCGGCCAAAATGTACAGCTACAGAAATACGGACACTGACAGAAACCTCCGGATGTTATGTGAGTCGTTTGGTAGCAGGGCTGCAGCGTGGCCCGTGCCGCGTGAAAACTCTACAGGGATCATGGTGGATGTATTATCTGAGGACGAAACATTTTATTGCGGGAAAGTTATGGGTATATCGCATGATTGTGGTTTGGACGCTGCAGCGCAACCAACCCTGCTTATCGATTTTGGAGATGGCAAAGGCATACAGAAAATACCGCTTAACAACGTTTATCATTGTAAAAAGTGGAAGTTGTTGCTCAAAGAAAGACAAAATGGATGCTATGCGCGTTCAATAGGTATGTGAATATCTGTGCAGTACAGCTAGATGTAATGGAAGAGTGTGTTAATGTCAAAGAAAAAATGACAAACATAATTTTTTGCTTAAGCTTTTGTTCCCGGCAGTATCCGGAGAAAAGCGGACTTGTTGCACGTGTTCAAGCACTTATTCGTGAACTGCAAAACTTTAAGGGAAGCAAAATTACATATATTCCTATTATGAATCCTATCATAATAATAAATCTATCACGAATTTTCTCAACTGTTTATCCTGTGTTATAAAAGGGCTGTGCGATTTTGTGGTTTTTAGAGGCTTCGTTAAGTTATACTGTAAGTTTGTAGAGCGATTGGAAGCCTATCCTCAATTTTCCGCTGAAGTGCTGTTGCATTGCCGGCATTCGTTACGATGGAAATGGTATCCTGCCACACTGCTGATGGGCGACTTTTTCATGTTCTCCTTCGGGTTGGTCCGCGTTACACTTCCAGATGGAGATGTTGCAAGTATTGTTCGTGGAAACCGGATCCGAATACCTTTCAGAGATCTGCAGCAGGCCGGCAACGTAAAACAAGCGAACGTTGGCGATTTTCGGTTCTCGAAACCTGTAAGTGAATAGAGTACCATTCTGAGACAGTAATAAGGCGATATTACTGGACGGGAATAACTTTCAGTCGTAAAATATGCTGTCTTTGTATTTTAGTACGGACTTGCGCGCCCTGCACATCTGTCCTTGCTAAATTAATTACAATCTAAGAAAAACTGTAAAAATGGAATATAAAAGCGTTTCTTTCAATTCGAGGTAAAATCAAGAATCCACTGTTTTGTTCTACATAGTACCCTCTGAATTTAAAAAGCGCACGTACTATAATTTAATTTACGTTAGTATACTATGCATCACGTGTTTAAATTATTAACAGAAAGCCAAAAACAGCCGCGTGATAAAAAAACGAGGAAAACGGAACCGGCAATGAAGGTAGTACAAATCCGCGCCGGGATAAGCGTTGCAGGGATGATTGCGCTGATGCTGGTATCTGCTCCTTGCCCACGGAAATATTAGCACAGATTTTCGAGTTTCTCAATAGCGCGCAAGAGTGTCGACTTCGCATGGTTTGTCGTACCTGGAATTCAACTGCAGTGTCACCGCGTTTGACATTGCAGTTGTTCGCCTGGAATACGGTTATACGAAAATTAGTAAAGAAGAGTACGTGAACGCCGCTAGCATCTGCCACCGCTGGAGCAAACTGATCACCTTTGCCAACACACCGACTGAGTTGTATTTCAAGCACGAATTGCCATGCTCCAACGCAGGCGTATTCTAGCGAATCATGCAGGAAAAGGGCTATGAACCGGCCAAGAAAATGTACCTCTTAAACCAGCAATGGAATGTCAACCGGCATCGGTATGGTCACAGTACAGTTTCTGAATTTATTGCCGATTTGCATCGGGAATTGTGCGCACTGGGCTCAGTGTGCGAGACACTGTACATCCGCAACATGATTGTCGACGTGTTGGGTCCAGAAAAATACCGGCATGATTTTCGAGTGTGTATTATCCGGGGACACATCGAACGTGGCCGGCCATTTGAGCTGAATGACTTGTGGAATCTGATCGACTGCAGTTTCGCACCTCCGACAGATGAGGTTCTGAAAGACGTCGCTAAATGGATTGGCGATGTTGTTGAATGTCAACGCAAAATCCAGTACAGGCAAATTGTATCGGTGTGTATTCTATCTGCAATACCACAAACAAACATTGAAAAAACATCAAAAAATGCTTATTTTGATAATTATATTATGGTCTCTGAGTCTTTTACGGTTTGGTAGGTTTTGATCAAGACACAGTGGCCAGACCCGCGTCAGTGTAACCAGTACAGAGTACGCGATCCGGTTCCTGATCCGACGTGGATAGGAACCAATTTCGACATTCTAGCCCGGCTAGACGTGCACAAGCTCTCAAGATTCACCGTTCACGCTCTGATGAGCGAGCTGAAATTTCACCATAGTGCTCTGACATGTGAACTATCGTGGTAGCTGTACGACTTAGCGTACGAGTAAAGAACTGCCACCTGCGCAACTTTCGTCATAGACTTTTTTTGCTGTTTGATGCAATGTTTGTTTGCAGAGAAACGGCTGTTTTTTTACTAGCTGCATAAGGCCAGAACTGTTATTCAGTTAAAGAGATAATTATGTCAATCATATATACGATTTGATAATAGAATTCTGATGTTTTCACTAGATATGTGTCTGCTTGCTGATTTATGTCACAATATTTACAAAACCTTTAATGTTCAAATCGTTGTAAATGTACTTCACTCTTGCTTTAGTAATTTGATTCTAATAAACATTTCACGTAAAAAAAAGAATTAAACTGAGTGAACTTTACCATCTATGCAATTTGTGAATTACTGCGACATTGCACATGCCTAGGCACCAGCAGTAATTCTTTCGCGCAAACTTTCGATCACATGAAAGACATTTCGTCCGAGTTGGTCTACCATCTCGTGAATAAGCGTTATTTTCAGCTCAACCCAAAACGGGGACTGTGTTGTTGCCCACCCGAACCGGATGCTCTTTGTCTTTCAAACGCAACTCAATGACGCCCGAACAGGAAAAGTATCTAGTCTTTCATATCTTGTCTTGTATCCTGTCTTCAAATGACGTGCGCTTTGACATTAATTGGTTATTCCGGATCTTCTTTTCATAATATTCATTTTCATTTGGCAGTGTAGACCTGGAATCTTGATCGTTACCTTCAAACTATTCCCCACATAAAAACTGCTATTTTAAATGTGCAGACCTTTTCGTCGTGTGCAGCTATAGGTCGTTAAATTGCTAAAAATTAAGGCAATGTCATCGCTTTGCATCGGATTTCCCAACTTTCTCAACCTATTACAGAGAATTTTTGGTGCGCTTTTCGTGAACTCGTAATTACCGCTTTACTGAACCTTCTGGTCGGACCGTAAAACCTGTGCCGAGATGCGCAGATACCGACACGGGTACTTCGAACCGTTACGTAATTTGCAAGGCCAGGCAAGGCTGCAAAGCACTCGTCCGTCCCGCATGCCGCGTGATGAACCTACAGAGACCATGGCAGATGTCCTATCTGAGAACGGAACATTTTATCGTGGAAAAGTTATATCTGTATTCAGTTCTTGTGCTTCTGACGGTGGAGCCGGGGAACAGCCCGGTCTGCTAATCGATTTTGATGATGGCAACGGCATACAGAAGATACCGTTTGGCAACGTATACCACTGCAAAAACTGGAAATTGTTGCGCGAAGAGAGCCAAATCGGACACTATGCGCAGTCAATAGGTACTAAGAAATTTAATCCACATGTTGTTTGGGCTAAGATTGCGACACACTCGTTATTCAGTATAAGATTTTGTTTCTTTAAAGCGCAGCTCAATTTTTTTCTCCATCTAAGCAGTAACCAATGTGCAAAGAATAATTTCTAAGTAGTAAGTTTGCTGGGTCGGCAACAGCATCTTCGAAAAACCCAGACACCTATGTACGTTGATAACGTTAATACTTTTTAATCCGTCTTGCTTTGATGAAATAACAAGAAACAAGAAAAATAACCGATATCATTATTTAAAAATTACCTTAGGCAAGCAAAGTACCCAGTTGCAAATCAATGGAGTATCCAGTGAGCAAAAATTTCAGACTAATAATGGCAACAGAAGAAGTTAATATCATCAATTTTTTAGTGTTTAAAATAGTCCATGTTCTTAGACCGTTGACTGAAATAATGAAATTGCAGAGCGCTTAGAAGGATTTGTTCCGATTGTGTGTGAAGTGCTAATGCGTTGCCGACTATCTAAACGCTGGAAGTGGTATTCTGCCACGCTCCTAATGGGCGACTTTTCCATGTACTCTTTCGGCTTGGTTCACATCGCACTACCTGACGGAGAAGTTACAACCATTATTCGTGGAGACCGAATTCGATTACAGTTTGAAGATTTGCAGTTTATGAACAACGTAATACAAGCAGAAGATGACGACTTTCTTTACCCAAAAACGGTAAGTGAGAGTTTGAAATTAATTTCTTAATCTACTACTTATATGACGTCAACTGATCATTGTTTAGTCTCAAAGTAGCCGCTGTTTGGCAGAAACGATTGAGTACATAACCGGGGATCATGATACTATGAACACGGGCCGACATAAACGTTTCAAAAATGATTGCACGGAAGGTGATATCTGCTTTTTGCCCACGGAGATATTAGCGCAGATTTTCGAGTTTCTGAATAGCGCAGAAGAGTGTCAACTTCGCAGCGTTTGTCGTGCCTGGAATTGTACTGTAATGTCGATGCGTCTGACGAGCCACCTGCGCTTAAGATATGACTATACAAAAGACGTCAGCGAAGAAGAGTGCCTGAACGCCGCCAGTATCTGCCACCGCTGGGGCAAACTGATCACCTTTGCCAGCACACCGCGCGCCGTGTATTTCAAACACCAGTTACCAAGCTCCAACGCCGGCGTTTTCCAGCGCATCATGCAGGAAAAGAACTTCGAGCCGGCCAAGAAAATGTATCTATTAAACCACCAATGGAATGTCAACCGGGACCGTTATGGGGGCAACATAGTTTCTTCATTTATTGCCGACCTGCATCGAGAATTGTGTGTACTGGGCTCGGTGTGTGAGGCACTCGTGATCCGCAACGTGATTGTCGACTTGTTGAGTCCCGACAAACAGAAGCTTGAGTTTAGAGTGCGTATTATCCGAGGGCAAGTCGGACGCGGTCGGCCATTTGAACTGAACGATCTGTGGGATATCATCGAGGGCAGCTGCGCTGCTCCAACAGATACAGCTTTAGAAGCCATTGCAAAATGGATCAGAGATGCCGGTGAATGCCAACAAGAAACCCAATACAAGCGAATTATGTCGGTAAGTGCTTCCAAATTTTATTTATTATGGTATGTAAAAGGGCAAGCTTGTTTTTGTTGACAATGTTTTACATTACCTTTACTGTTTGATAGGTTCTTGTAAAGACACAGTTGTCGGATCCACGGGAGGGCAATCAGTACAGCCGGATTCTGTACCCGCCATGGACTGGGAACAACTTCAGTTTCTTGGCCCGGCTAAACGTACGCAAGTTATCCAGATTCACCGTGCACTCTCTGTTAGGCCAGTTGAAATTTTGCCACAGTGTTTTAACATGTAATTTATCGTGGTAATGTCTATCCGTAGTAATCGCGTCGAGGTCATGTGGCGTCACACTGGGATACACTAAAAGTCAATCATTTTTGAATAACGAAGAGAGCAGATTTATTGTTTATTACCTGAACTAAACGAAATGTACTGACTTTCACAATCACTTAATTGGCACGTCGCGGTGCAATGCTTTCGCTGTTCGAGTTCGTAAAAAAAAACTGATAATTTTTTCTCATCACCATTCCGTTTAATCAAGAAGACATTTCTTTACTTACATTCTAAGGCACACCTTTTTCTTGGGCAAACAGTTACCTATTCTTGTCCTTGATTGTAACACTCCGATGTAAGCATGCCAAAATTGTTCTGGCTCACAACGGCTGTTAATTTGTATTACTGTAGTTGCCAAATGCTTACGGTAATTGTTAGTTAAGACGTATCGCTGATTCACTATTTGTATCTGCACGGTACACCTGTCTTAACGCTCACAATTTATAACGCATTACCATTCCCAACTGGAATTTTCTTTCTGTAATGGATCTATTGTTTCTCTCACGTATTATTATGACTCTGGGACACCTTCACGAAGTCTCCACGAGACTGGGTTTTGGGGAAGGATGCATTCATAGTTTCATACACCAAAATAGTACCGGCTTTTATACCCGTACTTCTTTATCAACAACGCGCAATACTAGAAATAATGAACACGCAAAAAGCCAGCATGTCCCAGTTGAAGGTTAAATTCAGGCTGGATAATGGCTGTGCTTTTGTGTCATTTTAACCGGACGTTTGTTTTTGTGTTTTTGCGATCGTAATGCTGTAAATTTTACTATACTGTAGGCAACTTTTTCATGCCCTCATTTCATTTTCTTAGAGCGGTGGTCGCTTGGACATTTGATTTTTCCGGATGTTCTTTTGAATACATGATTTCAATTTTATTAGGCATACGGCAGCATGGCCTCGGTGTCTTGGCTGTAACCAATCTTACTATTGCACAAAAAACGTTCTTTTATCGGGTCGACCTTTTCGTCAGACGCAGCTTAGGAAAGCCAGTGTAAGCTTGGTCTTAGTGCGGAAAACACCAACCCGTCATACTTATCTCATATTTACCAGTTGTGTGCTTTGTCTTACTGCGGAAAACAGCGAGCAAAAATGGACAAGCACGGAAAAAGATACCAGTATCCCCCAGTATTTCGTAAATTGCGATACGTGGCTAAACTGCCACAACATATCCTTTTCGAAGAAAAATCAGAGTTCACGGCGGATGTCTTATCGGAGGACGGAATGCATTATCACGGACAAGTTATGGGTTTAACGCTTAATGCCATTACTCCTGATAAAGGGGCACAACCAGGCCTGCTTATCGATTTTAAGGATGGCAAAAGCATACAGAAAATACCGCTTGGTAGTATTTATCACTGCGACAACTGGGAACTGCTGCGCGGAAGTGGTCAAGTAAAGTATTATGCGCACTCAATAGGTATGCACTAAGTATAGGTCCAACATATGAGATCTGACCGGCGCGGCGCACTTCTCAGTGACTTATATTCTTCCAAAATTGTAGAGCGTCCGGAAGATTTTCTTCATCTCCCTGCTGAAATACGGATGCGTTGCCGGGCATCTGGACGCTGGAAATGGTATCCAGCCACACTCCTGATGGGCGACTTTTCCCTTTTGTGCTCCTTTGGCTTGGTCCGTGTTACGCTTCCTGAGGGAGACGTCACGACTGTGCTTCGTGGACACCGAATCCGAACACCTTTCGCAGAACTGCAGCGTACCAACCGACTAAAACAAGGGGAAATCGGCGATTTTCTCTACCCAAAAATGGTAAAAGACACATAAGAGACACATAAATGGTAAATGCGCACAATATAAGTCCCAAAATATGGCACAAAAACCTCATCAACGAACGATTCGGTTCAACACCGCTGCTTTGGATTCCATGCTTTTGCTCTAAAGGGATCGGTTATTAGCTTGTTTTGTCATGATACAAAAACGGGACCATGTTGTCAAAAATCTTGTCAAATACCTTATAGAACCATACGATAAAATTAACGATGTATTTGTACATAATAGGCTGAACAAGTTCACGTACAAACACATTAAGAGGCAGACAATTTTTTAATGCTAGATTTCGCAGAACAAGATGTCAAAGTCTTCGTCTGGCCCGTGAGAACAGTACGATTACTCAAAATTAATTATTGAAGCAGGTAGCATTATTATTTGGAGTTCGTGGCATGATTGTATTACCACTATTATGTGATTAAACTTATAGAAGATGATGATGATAAACCCAGGCTGTCACTTGGAAAACATCCTCCTGGAGGACAACAGCGGTGATGATGATACGGACTCGCGCCGGCAGAAACGCCCCAGATACGATTGCAACGAATCGAATATCAGTTCTTTGCCCAACGACATTTCAGCCCAAATTTTTGAATTCTTCAGCAGTGCACACGAGTGCCGGCTGCGCCGTGTGTGTCGCGCCTGGAATGTTACGATTATGTCACCACTTCCCGCGAGCCATCTGCGCTTGGAATACGGCTGCACGGAAGAAATCAACGAAGAAGAGTACTTGATCGCCGCCAGCATCTGGCACCGCTGGGGCAAACTGATCACCTTCGCCAATCATACGCATGCGGTGCATTATAAACACCAAGTACCAACCTCCAATGCTGGCGGATTACTGGCGGATTATGCCAGTGCGTGCTTCTGTGTACTTACATTATGTTCTTGCGAATGGTCAGACTTTCTAGCGAAAACGCCATCTGTTCCATAGGTTCTTATGGAGATGCAACTGCCGGATCCGCGTGAGAGCAATAAGTACAGTTATACCCTGTACCCGCCGTGGACGGGGACCAACTTCGCCTTTCTGGCCCGGTTGGACGTGCGCAAGCTATCCAGGCTCACCGTACACGCTTTGTTGAACGAGAAGAAAACCAGTACCATCAACCACCTCTCATATGCAAATTAGCATGGGAATGACCGGGTTAGCGCTTACGCAAATTTTCGTCATATTGAAATCGTGCTAACAAGCACGAGGACCCAGTTGTGGTTGGACTTCAGGTACATGCTTAGGCTTAAAATAAAGCTTACAATATGCTTTATTTTAATCCATTTTTTTCTATGCCACTGATATCAAAGGTAAAATTTAAAAGACTGTCAAAGTTGTTAGAGAGCAAGGATGCAGTATGGAGATCCTTATGTCTCAGCGCATGATGTTCATGTCTGTGCTTGTACACGTGAAGCACAGACCTCCTGCTTTCGTTTTGGGCAATTAGTTTTGCTTTTCGACTATTGTTTTTGGTTTTGGAACATCATGTTTGCGTTTTCACCATGCGCAGACATTAGGAGCGTTAACATGATGGGATGAGACAAACGGATCTCCATACTGCATCCTTGCTCTCTAACAGCTTTGACAGTTTTTTACATTTTCTCTTTGATATCAGTGGCATAGAAAAAAATAGAATAAAATAAAGTATATTCCAAGCTTTATTTTAAGCCTAAGCGTGAACCTGAAGTCCAACCACAACTGGGTCCTCGTGCTTGTAAGGGTAACTGGGTTTTTTGACTATGAAGAGAAATTATCGCTGTAATTAGTTGTACCATAACAAGAGATTTAGCTTTTTATGTTCAGTTGTATCACTTGTATGTACCGTAAACCACACAAGTTCTGTTGTTCCCACTACTTTCTTGTTTATTTGTTTGATGACGCTGCTGCTACGAACTATGCACGGCATACTATGATCATTAAGACGTTGCTGATGGACGCTATGTGGCTTTTCCAATAATATTGTAAGACTGAACTCTAGTTAAAAATGATCCACACTCGTTGATATACTGTAGCATGTACAGGGGTGCTGCGCCAAGTTCGGGCAGTTGGGTAAAATAAATTATACAGTTGTCCAGTTGGTCTTCTAGTTTTTTGTTTTGCACTTTTTAGTGCAACTTTTTATGGCAAATTTAATGATACAAAACTGGATCCGTTGAGTCTCTCAGTAACGAGTTGGGCGCTTAATAAGGGGGAGGGGGAGTGGGCGTTTTAGGGATGGTTATTACAGCCTTTATAAAAAATTCCCCAAACTATATTTTTGCACGCCATTTTCTGGAAACGTTGAGTGGTCCAACGGTGTCTTTTTTGGGTTACGAAAAGAATCTCGCGTCATCGGTGATCGAGATTACCTCCACACAACTTGTGTCTCCCATAGACTTATATGGACTGCTAAGTCAGTTACGTGTTCGTTCAGCTTTTGAAAAGCATGGGATCACAAAAAGCTAGTACTGCACTCGTATTACGGTATTAACTGGAGAGTACAATAAGAATGAATTTTGTTTGTCTTACTCAGATGTGGCATGAATCAACGTAATTTTGCATAGGGTTGCAGCAGCTGGTAACTGCAGTTCTTGAATGATGTTGGAAAAAGTTTGTCCAACTAGTACGCCTGTTTAAAGACGAAAGTGATAACTGATTTCTAATATTTAATCTGGATTTTGGATTTTTCACCTGATGTCATGACTTTTGCGTCCTGTACAGTCAAAAGCCAAGCGTCCATAATTTTCCTTTTGTGTCTGATTACTGTAGCCGCTCGCTTGAGTTATACCACACAGTTGGTGTACGGGAAAAATGCGCACCAAATATACACACGCTGGCCGGGCCAAATGCACGGACCAGCGCGATTGTAAATTCATTGACGTTTATTCTGAGAATATTGTCCATCAGTTTTTAAGGTGATAACTTTCTCTTTTCAATTTTAAAAATCTCTTAGACAAACCGCACTGTATTCCACAGGAACGATCAGTTTTCAGGCACCAGCATACTGTCGCTCAATGTGCCTCCCCCTTCCAGGGGCACCCCAAAAACCACAACAAATCAGCTGCTAAACTCGTACATACATCAAAACTCAAAGTTTATGGCCTTATTTTGGTGTCAAATTTTAGACTGATAAGTTTTTTTAAATCTCAGATAGATCAGATCGAAAAATGTAACAGAAAGAGTTACAGAAGCACGGTAAATAAGAATCGTGCATTTTGCCCGGCCAGAGTATGTATATTTGATGCGCATTTTTCCCGTACACCAACTGTGTGGTATAACTCAAGCGAGCGGCTACAGTATAACTTTGCAGTCCAGTATATGCTCTCCTTGAATTATTGCCTATAATTATAAATACATTAGTTATTTATAATGAATGTTTTTAAGAAATAAAAAATATCGAATTAAAATAAAATATATTCGTATGTTTTTGATTTTTCGGTACTGATTGCGCGTAGTACCTGCAGAAACGATGTTTGTTGGTCTGGTAAATGGTCATCTACATCTACATGCAGGTGATTCTTCTCTAGTGGACTATCTGGAGGTTCTTCCACGTTTTCATCCATTTTTTTCGAAAGGTCACGCTCAAAATTTATCTTTTGTAAGCTTACAGTACTTTACTATCAAAGTGTAATGAAATTGTTGGTGGTGCTGCAGAGTTTTTACCAGTTTACGTGTTTCCAGGGAGATAATTCCGTTGTTCAAATCGATGTACTCTGTTCGTAAGAGTTGAATTGCAGGCCATCCTTTTGAACGCGCCAAATCTTTACAGGATGTATCGTGACATCTGAGCTGTACCGAGCTGGAGTTTTTCTTATAAATCAAATAGGTATGGTTTTTGTCGTGCTGCTTTCGCTGAGAAACACAGTATCTGCATTTCAGGATAATAAGAATAATTTGGGTGTGGAGGTTGTAGTCAAAAAGCATGTTATTCTGGGTCAAAAATGCTTCATCCCAACGACACAAGATTAGCGAAACGATTGTTGTTAAAACTGCGTTTGGTGCGCCTCTTTTGCAAATACTGGTCCTCGATTCAGTAGTGTGTTTTGTTGGCTGTTGACAATAATCGGATGAAAAGAAATTGGGCGCAGTGCGTACAGGATAAGAACATACTAAAGACATTTCGAAAAATATTTCGTTACTTAATGGTAGATACGATTTGGATGTTAACGAGCTTTTCGTAAGAAATGCAAATTTCCCTTTTTTTGAGCAATTTAACAATCGAAAATTTTGATTGGTGTTGTACACATTCATGTCAATGCATGACGTAAATCTTCCATATTTATCAACAACCTGGAATTCCGGTAATTCAGAAATGGGTTGCATTATTGACTTGAACAGTTTATTGTATGGCTTTAAAATTTTTGGCCATACAAGATGAAAACTTTCTTTAAATTCTGATGTTGAATCCAGAACAATAACTTCATCATTTCCAAAGATATCGTTGATTTTTTCGATCAGCAACGGTATTAATTTTGTTAATGTGATAGTAGGATTTTGGGTTTTTAGAAATTCAAGATCGGTATACAATTTTGCAGTGTAAAATTCCGGAATAACTTCGTAGAAGTTCCTGCTGCATGAATCAGTTGCATTAATTAATGTCCAGATATCTGATACTGAGCAGACGATAAATTGTCTGGTATCAGTTAAAGATAATTCTTGAGCGTAAATTCTGTATTCTTCTGTTGTTCGTAAATAAGATAAAGCGGGTGCAAGCTTATGAAAGTACAACATTCATAATACGCAAGTTACAAGTACAATACTAATAAGCGGTAATAAAATTTAGTTTTGTACTGTAGACATATAATAACAGCAAAGCTATTAGCATCAATCGACAGTAAAGCTATCAGAATCGGTCTACACAGTTACCTAGCAAAACCAAATTTTAAAACCTATTAGTAATGTTCGCTATCTACATACAGTTATTATTCATCAGAACAAATGCTAACGCTACGTTTATTACACCGTACTGAGGTACGTAAGCAAATCGAGATGTAGGTTCAAACAAGAATATGGATGTACAGTAAGTATAGTAGATGTTATAAAAGTAAATAAAGTAAGTATAACAGTAAGTACAGCATTTAAGTACAGTGCAGTACATAATGTTATTATAGTAAATATAATTGTTGCAGTACGAGTATAAGTACTGTAATAATTGTCAGTAGTGCAGGTGTTCGCAACTGAAAAGTACAAGTACGAGCGCAGTACTGTGACTAGTTAATAAATATTCACATCGCCAAAGTCAAGAGTGTCGAAGATATCCTGTTCGTTCTGCACTGGAGAACGTTTACGTTTGAAGGGTTGAGTCTTCATTTCAGAGTTCGCTTCATTGGCAAATGGATTCGTTTTTGTGAATTCCGCTAAGCTCTCCATCATTCCTTTCATCTTGGATGCGCGAATGCAGTACACAGAGTTGTACAATTTTTCATATTCCGTTGGAATGAATCCTGCTTTTATTAAATTTTCCGAAAGTGATTGAGATGGAGTTGTTTTATAAAATACGAGAACGGATTTCCCTGACACCGTTAAATTTCGTTCTTCTGCTTTTCCAAAACCTGACGTTTCGAGATCTTCTATCATATTCTTAAAGGTTACCTCCGAAAGCCGTGAAAATCCTTTTTTATCACCGTAGTACTCGTTGTACATTCTTGCTGTCACAAATTTTCCCGGAACCATGAGAGCACTAAATGTGCGAAATTCTTGGTCATCCTTATTATTTCCTTCGTCGTAAAGTTTCATGCAATGGGCGCTAGTTGTAATGAATTTTAGAGAACGGTGTGCTGTTTCTTCGTTAATAATTGGTGGTATCGCAATATAGCCATCTGTCGTGTAGGAATCACATGCGTTCTGAAAAATGTGCAATAGTACTGCAAATTTCTGTAAATTATCCTCCATTTTTGACAGAAAAATTGCGCTAACAGTTCCACAATTGGATCCACTTTCGATTTCATTATTGTGCAGAATTTTCATTTTTTTCAGATCTTTTGACAATGAACGGATAACGGCGTAAGCCTCTTTGCTGAACGTGTAGGTTTGCTCGTCTTCTATCTCTTCATAGTATTCATACAGGGCATAAATAATATTTAAAAAATTGTGCGCGGGAGGCGGCTTCGTTGATTTAGCTTGATCACTTTCGTCAATATCCGCAACTTCGTCATCAACTGCAGTTATTAACCATCTATCTTCGAATCCGTTTCCTGTGGACCACGTTTTTAATAGATTGCAAAAATCTTGGGGGTGTATTGTCCCAAATATTGTCGACGCTGTGCGGTTTAATTTCAACGAGGTAGCAGTCTTGTATTTAAGTTTGATTGACTGACCGCCCCATATCTTATTAAGGGTATTAGGAGCGTTTTCATCGCTACCGTAAACATTTTTCAATGTCCCGAAAATTTCATCCACTAAAATCGAAGTAAATCCTTTCTGGTCTCGTAACTGATCACGGTATGCTAAAATTAAAATAATTAACTAGTAACTATATATTGTTAAAATATAATTAAAAAAGTTAGTTTTAAATGCATTAGTACGAGTACGAAAGTAGGTGAACTCGTCAAAGGTCACTCGTCAAAGGTTAACAGCCAAAAAAATTAATTATCAAAAATAAAATAAATTATATTAATACTTTTTATAGCATGGTTTAGTGTTATTATAAATTTCTTCTTGCTCGGTACCTGCAAAATTTGCTGGATTGTCATAGAAGGACTTCCCCTTTTTATCTCCGATATAGTCGCAAATGTTTAGACAAAATTCTTCGATGGCCTGAGATTTGCCACTACCAGGTTTCGCAACAATTAAGGCATTTACTGCCGAACAGTGAACTTTTCCATGTTCTGTTGCTTTAACTAGTACTTTCTCACCGCATAAAGCTGCTATAGCTCCCAGAATCGATATAAAGATTGCACTTTCCTTTGATCGTCTGGTCACTGCGTAATAAGTGATGGATTCCAGCAAACTTCCTTCGAGATAATCACCGACATTATGCGTAAAATTTTTTGTAGCGGCTCTGTGTATACGGTCCGCTGTTCCGCGAGATACTGTAACTGTCTGTCCGTTATTTCGCATTTTCCGAAAATCACTGTGAATCTGTCAATCTACGATTGCAAATTTTTGCAAGAATTTTATTCATTACTTTAATTTCATCACCTGGTTGAAATTTATATATTATTTTGTAATTCTGTTGCCAGGACCATGTTTGCACAAGTACAGATACTTCAGCTTCAGACGTACAGTACATTTTTTTTGTATTTTTTATCATGAATTTAAGATCGCTATTGGAGGAAATTGTTCACGAAGAAAGTGCGGTACAATTCGCTATTGAGAAAGGTCTTCTAAAGCGCACAATAAACTGCCCTAATCACGAAAATGAGCAGCTATCTATTGTTAATCGCCCTGGCCGTCTATTTCGCTGGTCATACCGCTGTAGGACAGGTTCATGGTTATCGATCAAAACGGGGACCATTTTTGACCACTGTAATGTGCCTATAGACAAAGCTATATATCTCACCTATTTGTGGTCAATGAAGACCCTGAAACAGAGAACAATTGCGTATGAAGTGGGTATCAGCAAACAAACGTGTTCGTCATGGTTGTCTACCATCAGGGACATCTGTTACATGGAGATCCAGGAAGAGTTAAGCTTATCTCGAATAGGCGGACCAGGATTAACTGTCGAAATCGACGAAAGCTATTTATTTAAACGAAAATATGACCGCGGAAGATTCTTGGTGAATTCAACTTGGGCGATTGGTGGAATTTGTCGGGAAACAAGGGAAGCATTTGTGGTAGCTGTTCCCGATCGTTCAGCCAGTACTTTAATGCCAATCATCCTGGCACATGTAGCACAAGGCACTTATATTCTAACTGATATGTGGCGTTCCTATAACGGCCTGATCGATAGCGGATATTTTCACGAAACCGTCAATCACAGTGAGAATTTTGTAGATCCAGAAACTGGGGCGAACACAAATCTAATCGAAAACCTATGGAAATGGTTGAAAAACGACGTACCACGAACTGGAATTACACCAGAAAAACTGCAAGGCTATTTGTACCAATTTTTGTGGCGACGAAAATACGGCAACGCTGCATTTGATAACATTCTTGCTCATATAGCCGAACTATTTCCTGGAAGATAAATGTCACATCTCTTCGTAATTTCTGTTTACTTCCGACATAATACAGCTGACCTTTGTGTACTATAATTACTGATTTTTGATTATTAATTTAGTGGTGCATAAATCAATGAAATAAAGATATGTAACAATTAATGTAATGGCAAGTTGCGTCTGTAGCAAAACCCCAGGGGTAGGCTACCCAAAAACTAACAGTTATAATTTTTAAAAATCAATATGAAGAGTATGTATCTGAGCAACCAGTACTTAACCAGCAACCAGTAAAATAGGGGGGTCTGTTCCACAAGTAGTCCTTTACCGTTATAACGTACCTAACGAAGGATGGGGTTGCCTAGCACAGAGACTTAAGCGACGTCGAGCTGATATACATATAACTTATTAGAAAACTGGTAAAATTACTCCGCTGTGGTTGCGGCCCGCACCCTGCGGGCATAGCTCCTCGATGAGGCGATAAAATATCGAGCTTAACGTTGCAGGATACGTATGAAGTGCAGTAATAGTTTTTTAACCACTTTCCAGACAGAGTTGCACATCGACAAAGTCACAAAGCAGTAGTATGTACAAATCTACGAGCGGAAACGCCGGGGCTACATAACACTGTAAGGAACAACCAGCAACAACATCACAGAAAGACTAAACGGCAATAAATCTGAGCACAGTCTCCGGCTAACTGACGTCTGTGTCAGCGCAGTAAAATCCCGCTGTGGACTGGTTTGCGAGAGGGCCAGGGAATGGCGGATTTTCGGTGAGACAAAGTCCAGTTTGGCCATGGTGCCGAAACCAGCAGCCGACACGGCCTGGACGTAAATAATGTATTCGGTCTCCTCCTCCAAGTTGGCTATACTGAACGCCATTTCATCCTGAAAAAAAGCCAGATTTCCTGTGCTAATTTAACAGCGCTCAAATTTAACGGTTCCAGCGAACAGTGTTTATTAGTTGCTTAATATCAGTTGTATAGAACCGTATGAAGTTTCACTTCTGTAACAGTGCAGCGGTGCTGTACAGCGCAGTATACATAAGTGGTATCGTTCTTATGTCTGCATGCTGTAGTGTATTTGCATTGCACTCTAAAAAACAAATATGGAAACAAATATTTTGTTTAAATGTACAGTAAGCCATCAACCAGGATAACTACTCTATCCGTTAACGCGTACTGTCTCGGACAATAAGGACAAGGTGCGCGCCACTACACTACGCCAGTATTTAATTTCAATTGTAATCTCGCATCGAGTACATACCTCATCAAGAACTTTAACCAGATAAGAGTTCCTATCCAAAATGGGGAAAGGCTTAACCCCGTATAATCCTTGTGGATCGAGGAGTTTCTTGGCGAATATCGCCCGGTAACCAATGACGGGCTGATCACTGGCTCCGGGATTTTCCCACGAACACGTAGCCGAGATCTCCGCGCCCTGTACTAGGAAGATGCACGATAAATTCCTTGGTTCGCTCGGTAGCCGGGATGCTGGAAGAGAAGAGATTTGGATCCATTTGCCACCAACGCACAACAATGTACAAACTTCTTCATACAGAGTAAAAAGTGCAAATACCATGTAGAAATACGTATTACGGTAGACGTGGAATAAATTCTACCAGAGTTTGTTTTTATTCTCTGATCAGCCGAAGCTAACACCGGCAGTTGGACACACAAGAATTTGTAGAAAATGAGAGTTCATCGACAAACCAACCTAATTTTGGACAATGCGGTTGGAGATTCCCGACCACCTGGATATCCTGGCACACCGGCGTCATGAAATGCTTGATTCCGGTCAAGCGCTCCGTCTTCCCGGACTCCGTCAGTTTGCGGTAGATTGCGACAGCGTAGCGGCAGTTGTAATCGAGATCGTATAAGAGGTGATTGTTGGTGACACTCATCCCCACCAGGGGCTTGATGAGCACGCGCTCCTTGGGGATGCGGCGTTCCCATCCCAGGCAGACTTTGGGATACCACCGGATAACGTAGCCGAACGAGTGCGGCTGGGTAAGGTCAGCAGGTAGCCAGGAAATGTTGGCTTTGACTAGGCCGTTCTGGTAGAAGACCGACTCGATGGTAATGTTGCTGTCCGGTAACGAGGCTGTGGCATTAGCCGGCAACGATGGGGATAAGCGCAAATCTGTTAGAGAACGGAAATTTCATTAATGGCTTTGCGCGGTCGAAATAGCGGGTATTGACACGGAAACCCAAAATAAAATAAAAAAATTTACAAAAAAAGAACGAAGTTGACGGTGTACGGCCAACAACAGCAAAGGTCACCCAAGTATTAGCTTGTCGCTCCGTTCTTAAAATGCACAATTTTGAGGCACATTACTCTTCTAATTAACAGCGCTTTGCCGAGTCCAGAATAAATTTTAGTGTACGGAAAAGAATTGCTTCGAGCGGAACGTAATAAAGCTTGCTTTACCGGTCTGTGATAAATCCGGTTGCGAGGAGATCTTCCTGAACGGCGTCCTGGCCGTGATCATCGCCTTGGCACTGCGCAGCTTCCTGTCCTCTACCCACCGGAACGCCTGTACCTCGATTTGGATATACGCATTGATCGGCAAATGCTCAATGGTATAAGACGTCAGATCCTGCAAGACAATTAATCCTTATATCTCTGTTAATAATAACCCTTTCTTAAATGTCTTATGTGCTCTCCACTTGATAGAATCTTGTACCCCATCGATGGTCTTGCGGTACTCATCGGGCGCTGGCTGGCCCTCTTCACGCCAAGTGATACGGTATCGATCAATCGCTTCAAGTGGACGCTGGTCAGCGGTGGGCGATGCAGCAACAGCCGTCGTCGTCGTCGTCGCCGGCTGCAGCGGAGGCAGCCAGCCGATCTGCAGATAGGACTGCCCGTTGGGATCGACGCCGCTGCGGAGCAGGCTGAGATTGCGTGGCGCCTCTAAGGAGTGTGGAGAGGCCCATTGAGATGCTGGGGGGTTCTGTGTACCGAGCAAAAATATAATACTTCATTAATAATCACACCCCAAACGGCGATTGATTGTTTTTGACGTAGGGTTAGAAATTATGCCGGGTTTCTATGCCGTATGCTCTCATATTTCGTATATTTTCCACAGTATCTGAATTTTGGAGAATCTGCAGTACCTGTAAACAGTATACGAGTATTTTTTTTTAAATTTGTAGAGAATGTTTATGCGATTTTTTAATAAATTACCCATTGTGACGTATGAACCAAGACACTACTTTGGAAGACAGAATAAGCTAACTTGGTAGGCCGCTTCGGATTTCACAATAATTTGTTCCACACCCAGTAATAATAATTAAAAATCGCAAAGTATTCTTAAAAATTAAAAATTTTATACTTCAAAATCTTTTAACTTTTTGCGATGAAATTCTCGCAGCATCGTTCAAACAATATTCAGTAATCTCCAATGTTACCGCAGTTTTAGCCAGTACACTACGATATTCGATGATTCCCACTTATAATTCCTAGCCGGTTGTGCTTTACGCGGTTCGTAATTTCGTACTATAACTTATATTGGGGGACTTTTTTGGCACACATGTTGTACTGTAATAATTATTTTATTATTATGAACTTCCTATTTCAGTGTATATCAAGAGATAACGTACTGATGATTGACTAAAAACGAGGAAAACGCAAGGCGGTGACAATTTATTTTCAACCACTTAAATTCCTCCCACTATCTGTCGGCAAATATTTGCGTTCATTAGCAAAACGTTTTACAGCCGGGTAATTTATCAGGAAAAATAACATTTTCCCTAATTCAACATTCCATGATCGATGGTCCGGCGTGTTTAATGATCCCGCGCCAGCCGGTGCAGTCAGCAGTACAGCCGGTACCGTGTAGTGAGCCAAGCCGGGGAAAAGCGATTATTTTCCGGCCCGCTGAAGGAAATAGTTGGAATAGTTTTTGATGCGGCTACACAAAATCATTTGACTCGTTTTTCGCATCCTGTCAAGTGGTGTGTTTTTCACCCCGGCATCAAACAGACATTTTCACCCCGTATATATACGACGCTGTCTTGTTATATGGAACAGTCAACATCATTCAACGGATTTTTTACTCCAAAGAAAAACACTTGTGCAGCAGAAAGCGCGATGCGGCTTTGCGCCATTATGACAGTTTTATGAGACTTCAGTGACGTTTGACCTAGAAACATGTGCATATCAAGTTTACTTTATTTCTAAAGAAACCAATATCCATTCAACACGAAAAGGCTATTCAAAGAACGATAAAAATTATGCAGGGGAAGTTTGGCCTCGTTAAAAGTGATTTTAGTTGCGCAAGTAATGGATTCTCGCGACCGATTAAAAAACGGCAAAATGGCAAATAAAAAATAGGGAAAAATTTTAAAGAAAAAAATTACGGTTTCACTTCAGTTTTTGAATACATTTTTAACCACAAGGTCATTAAATTTTAAAATAATTTAAAGATGAACTTGTAGAGTAATTTAATTGTAAAATCGATTTTCGTTTCTTGTGTGATTTGTGATTAAGTAGACGCAAGTAAAATTTTATTTCTCATATTCATATAATTTTGTAGATAAATTAAATATACTGAAATTTATTTCTTTGCGATTAAGTAATTGCAAGTAAAATTTTAATTCCGATATTGTGTAATTTTGTAGATAAATTAAAATATGTAATACAGCTTTTTGTGATGCTTAAAAACGAGTTGAAGCCTTGGATAATTTAAAAACTGATTTATTTTAGCAACAAAAAATTAGGGTTAGTTTACTTAAACTGTGGCAAATTTGCGGAATTTGTTGGTGTTTTCACGCTGTCACCCAAAATAGCTCTTGCGCATTCTGAAAATAATTGGATAAATATTGAGATAATTGGATAAAGATTGCAGCCGGTACCGGCTGGGGGCGCCAACGGGCCCATAAAGCCGCTGACTGACCAATAAAACTCCCTCGGCGCTCCGCTTGCTGTTCGCGCCGCGGTGTATATGTACCGAATATAATAACGCGCATATTTAATAATACATGGATAATTTTATGCATGAGAAAGAATTCCATCACTCTCGTCTGTGAACCGCGTCCGCATTGCGGCATATACACTTTTAATATCGTATCATATCCGGGGCAACTGTTTATGCTATTTGTGCCGGCTATCAGCATCCCTCTCTTGCGACTCTCTTTCGTCATATATCGCTAACGCCATCGCTACAGAAAATGTTAATTGTATGGGATTAACTGGCCGGTCTTGCGTCATTATCCGTTTATGACCGGCACCGTGGCAGTGGTCTGTCCGGGGCGTTGTTGCGTAGTGGATGGGCAACAAGGCGATATTATGCTGATTAGCCATGAGGACCATTTCCTCCGATGCAATTATGCATAAATACGCGGTCTATTCATAACCAATGGCAACAAATAATTGCTTGGATTTAACTTGCAATCGATATTATTAGCAGTATGCAATATTATGCGCCGTTATGTGAAAGACACTCGACTGCAGTATTTACATTGCGTGCTTGAGATATGTTTACTGAAAATGTATAAAAATTATTTGGAAAAAAATACACCAAATTTATATTTCCCAGCAAATAATTTAAGAAAAAAATAACACAATACAGTAAAAAATATGTACATTATTTTAAAAAAAAGGATAACTATACATTAAAGAAGTATAACCTGGAATTTAGCATTAATAAATTTAGCAAAAAAGAATTATTTTTCTCAAAAATTGTGATCTGTATTAAACGGTCTTAATGAAAGCAAACTTTCTCAAGTTTTTTTTTGGTTAAAATTAAAGCCAGAAAATTCAAGCTTTGGTGGCAAGTAAATAGTAATTTTGGAGAAATCTGGTAACAATCCGAAGTGGTGAAGAGAAAGTGTTGTATTGTGCACTGTGTACTGGTCAGCAGTGTGTTTACTCAAGCCAGTCTGCGAGGCGACGGTGCGAATCACAAGTGCTCGTATTCTGATCGTGTGGTCAATTTAAGAGCGAAATATCTCCCTGCTACACGGGTAAACATGCACCATCTCTCATGGATTAAAGTGGACATTTGAAACCGGATTGCCCCATTCGATCCGCTATCCACACACCAATCACCGCAAAAATATTTGTAAAAAATTTTCACAAATCACTGCATTCACTGACCACCTAAATGGGCACTTTGAGCAGCCTTTCAGATTTTTGTTCTGGTTGAGCAAGAAAAATATTTTCTGTTGAAAGATTGCAATACGTCAGCGAAAAATGTCACACAAAATTTGGTGTTACAGAATGCAATAATAAAATTTATTTTTGAGTAATTTATTTTTAAATAATATTTTAAAAATTATATTTTTTAAATTAAAATTATTATTTTTTAAATACTGTAATTTATCTAATAATAATTTAAACAATTTATTTAATAATTATTTAATATTCTTTTATCTTTTAAATTTATTTTTTATTTTAATGTGTCATTTTTATGAATGAAATAAACTTTACAACTTCCGTACGTGACTTTTAGACACTATAGTCGGCGTTGCTTATCTCAACCGGCAAGTTGCACCTTCTAAGTCTTAAATACACGTCGTTAATGGGATTCTTTTCCCTTCACAACTGCCCTATAAATTCCCGACCATAAAAGCCACGATAAAACCTCTTAATGTACAATGTACAAAGAATTTCCGTTTCCACTTTGGCACTTTGTAAAAGCTGATTGACGGCAGCCGGCAACGACGCCGTAGACGGTTGTTCATTGTCGGTTTGACCTAACAATGGGCCGCAGCGTTGCCGGTGGGGAAATACATATCGTGTGGAAGGAAGTGGACAGTGACTGCATATACACATATTCGGATATTCCACAGTTTACACAGTAACAGCTTGTTCATCTGGACAGTGTCCAGCCGGTGAAGATCACGTTTTGTTGTTACAATGTACACACTGTACACACAGACGCACACAAGCTCCATTGGCCCAAAGGTCAATTTAATTTGGTTTACGCCGCATCGGTCGGAACAAAAAGCCGGCATGCAGCCGCATGTTGCGGCGGGATGATTATGCTTTCCAGCTGGCAACTTGTAATGTTAAATTTAAACAAGAGTGTATTACTTCCATCTGGAGGAAGTCTAATTTAATGCGATTTAAAATGGGTCGTGCTTGAATATCTATCCCAGCTTTTGTGTATTCTGCAGAATAATTAACTGTGCAAGCTGTTTCTGTATGATTATACTGATTCAAATTTAAAATTTTTAAATACAGCTCTTTAAAAATAATTCTACAGTGGCCAGTTTAATAAAATAATTTTTTTCAAATAAAACTTAATCTAGGCGATACGATAATTATTTTTTGTTTTAAATAGCACTTACAATATTTTGAAAATTATTCCAGAATATATTTTTTAAAAAACGAAGGGTTGCGGAGAAATAGTTCACAATTTAATTTCCGAAATTTTTTGCAACATTTGCACGGCGGTGATTTTTTTGTTTTTAAAGCTACAATTTTTCAGCCATAATTCTTCGGAGTAAACCTGCTGTCCGCGGTTGAGAAATTTAATTGCCCGTTATTTATTACCGCGTCGTTTTCTTCGTTGTCCAAGTGCAGCGTGTGATATGTAAGCAAACCTGTTTTTAAGTGAAAAGAAATTGATGAAAGGTGGCTGTCAATCAGTGGCTGTGACATGTGCACGACAGCACAGGGCCCGGCCCAAACTGACCATCACTTTACAGCGTCCTGACAGGCGGAGATGAAAACAAATTCCCGGCTTTTCTACACCCCAACCACAACACATTGGCGCAAGCTGTCAAACCGTAAGAAAAATTTATAATATCACAAATTCGCCAATGCATTCTTCAGCCGGCAAAATATGCACTTGTAAATGCGGTATAATTCTGACATAAAATACGTTGTATGTACAACCGCGAAGGTCACTGTCCGGTAGCTTAAGATTTGACTCATTTCCGGTTGGTCAAAAACACAATTACCGCCGTCTCTGTATACAGTCCGGCATTGACACACAAACGGCGCAGCATCTTTCTAAATCAACGACCATTAGGTTTCCGTTGCGGGGGATTTATAATAAAAGCAGCGCGCTGCCAGTGAAACATGGTACGTTTGGGTAAATAGAGACAACTGACAACATGCATTATTTCATCACTTGACTGATTCCTTTCAGGCTTGAGATGACTCCAATGGCTCATGACAAAACAAGTGCAACTTAATTCCAAATTTACTCCAGATTTATTGCCCCGTGTGCTTTATAGCGACTGCCCGGCTGACTCACATGGGAAGTGATCAAACTCGATTAACGCTAAATCGTCTTAAGAAAAAGCATTCGTTCTGGATCTTGATACACGTTAAAACCGATAAATCTTACTTAACTGAAATAAAATCAGCGTATTTAAACGCGCCGTTAACAGCATTTTCGTAAATTGAATTTCTGTTTAGCAAAAAGTAATTATAAATATTCATACATACAATAAAGAAAATGATGTCTAAAATTTACAGAAAAAGGAAAAGTAAAATGGCATTAGGTAAAACCCAGTTTGCATGGCAGTTTTCTAAGAGCTATAAAAAAGGTTTTTTATTGAATTTCTGCTTAACAGTAAAACACACATAAAAATTTATAATACATACAGTCACCAAAATACCGCTGCATGTAAAGTTTGCTGGCAAAAATCAAAACTAAACTGCTGTTAGTTAAATTAAATTATACTTGACAGTTATAATATTTTTATGGCAGAAAATGTTACTTTTCATGCTGCGAAATGTTTTTTTCTTACCGTTGAAATGCTGGTAAAAGGGATTCTTCTGGACACCGTCTGCGCAGATGAGTCATATACTGCCGCCCGGTGTGCCGGCAATTGGACGACAACAAAGCAGATTAGAACACCAACAGGTATAACTGACATGTCGCGTGTTTTGTCGGCGCGTGGCCCGGCTGATAAGGCAACTAACTACACGTTTATCCAGCGGATTATCATGATTTATTCCAACAAAATTTACCAATGCTCACAGAGATCCTCCAACCCATAACACCACATGTAATCTTCGCATCATGTACCGTTACACTGAGTACGGAGAATAAATCTGACTCTTCGAAATCCGTGCCCGCGTGGTAAGAGTTGCAAAATCTCGTTTCTTTTGACGGGCGCGGTGAGTGCCGGTTTCGTGTGTAATTCGAAACGTGAGCTGTGGAGAAAGGAGGCGGACCCGGCACGTGATACAGCTGCCGTCGGTCTGTCTGTCTGGCGCACAGACACCACGTACAGTATCTGTACAAGCTTGTCCCGCAATTTCTAGCGTAAAGATACAGATAGCACGCCTTTAGCGCGCAGTTTGCGCTATGAATGATTGCCATTACACTACGTCTATTGCATTGAAAAATTTATTCCCTTCAATATTTGGGGCAATTATAACGGAGAATGTTAATATTTTATAATTTCTTTCGATATTTTATAATTTAGATTATATTTGGCATGTATCCACCATGGGAGTTGTATGTAGAGCGTAAATAGTGTGGCACGCCATAGTATGGAGTTTGGCGCAACCCGTGAATTTGTATTTGCCGCTGTGTTAGAAAGTGCGGGACAAGCTTGTACGAGTACTTCATACAGACGTACGAGTGCAAAGATATTTCGGAATTTGCGATAAGCAAGCGGCCAGTACCCATGCTATAGATAGCATGACTTGGAGGCACCGCGTCCTGCGTCTGAAATGGATGCTTGCCTCTTTCGCCTTGCGAAAAACTGCACGCGCAATGGACCGACCACGGGCAGACACAGGGCAGACCAATTTCTCCCTCCTCCTGTGTGTCCTCCGTTGTTTTACATCGCGTATGCGCATGACCACTACCGGACTCCGCATAGTCACTTTTGTGAGTCGGGCCCGTGCCTGTGGGAGCAGGCCATGTCTTAGAGAGCAGCGTCTTAATTACTTTTTAATTACTTTTTATGGCCCCTGCGCCCGGCTTGTGCGCCTGCTCTCTTGATCGGCGGCTTATCGCAAATCAGGTATTAAAGCGGTGGCGATCAGCTGCGCCGTATCAGTGAGTGGAGAGGCTTAAATAGCCGGTGGACGGATGTGCGGCAGCGATAGGGCGGTGGTTTAAATGCGGCCATGTGCCGTGTCTGGAGATTTGTTTAGACGATTAACTCTCGCAACTTTCCTGCAATAATAAATACGCCCGGACATTGTTCGCCCCGATCATTGTAAACAGTCTAAACATGCTCCATCAAGATAGTAGAATGTATTGCCATTTGCCGATAAGAAAATCCTTACTCTGTATGTTAATAAAGGATAGAGTTTCTTCTTTTATGACAAACATCTGCATTTTTGGTCTTATGTATGTCTGCAGTATATTATAAAATCGAAAGATAAAACGCATCTATTTTGCTAACTGATATAGGTGACCTTTTTTCCTGAAAGTTATATTTTATTTGAAATGAAACTTTTATGTACAACTGCAAATTGTTGTAAAGCTGTAAGATACGTAAAACGCATCTTTCTTACTAATACTTCGGTGGATGACCTTTAATTTTTCGTAATTTCTGGTTGCTACTTTTTACTTTGTAAAGACAGAATGTCGAGGGTTTTGTTATTGAAGAAATTTTCACTGCAGATGGCACATGTATGACGATATTTTTCGCGCGCGGCGAAGCGTGGTGAAAAGTATTTCTCCGGAGACTGATTAAAAATTCCTTGGTTAATTTTCGCTGTCCGAAGTGTCTGTATGTGTTGTCCCGCTTGGACGCAATCCTGGCGTCATCGTCGAGGAGGTCCTTATGGCCGCGTTCTCATAATCATAATAATATATCCACGCACTCTGTGCAGATTCCCTCCGTATCAAGTGCGGCGGAATAAATTCCATCACTCGATCAGCATCGACGCGCATAAAGACCCATAAATAAGCTGTCGTAAGGGCGCTACTACACGCATTCAGCGATTGTAACGATTTGCGATGGGGGGAAAATTAGCATTTCATTATGCCCGTGGAGAATGTATAATAAAGATGCGCGCGGGATGGGGTCAGTTTCGGGATTATTATGCAGCGATTATGCCGGTTCTGCGTAACAATGTACTGCACGGCAAACGATCTTTACTGATCAAAATAAAAATCTTTGTGAACCTTCAGATATGAAAGTATACGTCAGGCGTCTAATTCAGATGCTATACAAAGCATCTCAAAGTCAAACTGCGTTCATAAAAGCATGATTCCGTCTGATGATGCATTCCGAATTTCAGGTAGCAAAGCACAAGTTAAAAATATTTTATTTTTTTAATTTAATAATAAATGGGTAATTTTAAATTTGAACCACAAAAAATAAAAACTTCTTATTACAACACGGTCAAGAGAGACTGAACGCTAGGAACTTGAAATATACCGGTATAGTTACAGAATTGAGACTAGCAAATTTAATATTGTTAAACGTGACCTTACAAACTAAACGGTTTTGTTGGTATCACGGTGTGTTTCTTGGACCGCCAAATATTTGCTTTATGGTGAATAACATCCATGCATGAAGAGAAAACCCGCCCATACATTATGCGGCTCTTCCTTGAAGAGCCGCTAACTTTAAGTTATTCGAAGGTTTTGTTGTGGACAGAAAAATAAGAAGACGGCCTTGTACGTACAGATTTGCTCTGAAAAATGTATACAGCAAAGGACAGGACGATAGTTTTGTAGGGTCGAGCTGAAAATACGATTGTTTTGAAAATACGCATCCGCCTTCGTTGCCCCATTGAAGAATACGCAGATGAATCGTTCGCAACCGGACATAATGGTATAACAAATTAAAACAAAGCCTATTGGCTGGTTTGATTAAACTCTATATAGTGCGAGACCCGGTTTATTTATTAGTCTCCAGTTTTGCGGGACACAACATCTATGTCTAAAAATTAGTGCTGGAACCGAGCACATTTTGCATGCAAACCTGTGCCGTCCAGTATAAATGGTTTAGAAGTGGTTCGTTGGAAATTGGCACTTGCTAGCTTTAATTTCAAAACAAATATCTTTCGAATACCAAACTAAAGACATACTTGTGAAATGTTTATTTCAGTGATTATAGCAGGGATATTATGGATTTCGGTTGTTATATCTGCACCAGCAGCGAAAGGAAATGCAGGTAGGTACTTGGTAAGTTGGTACGTTTACAACAGTTACAGTACTGCATGCACTTTGCAGAAACATAATAAATAATAAACATACGTACTGTACCTGTATGTATCTTGGTGTACAGACTTAAAATCAACGCTTCGCTTTAGAGTCAGATCAATAGTCATTCGCTAACAATTCAGCATTCATTTATATGATAAATTGTTTATTAATAGAGTGTGGTGTCAGCTAGAATTTTGGCAAGTAATATTAATTTCATTGTACCTGGTTTCTCATCCTGAACTATTATGCAGTACCAGCAGCTGATATCTAGCCGTAAGAATGTAGAACATAATTACAGCATAATATTATACTATAAGGGGAAAAATGTGTCTAGCCGAACCAATCCCTTGTACTTCTGATGCAAGCCAGCTGGTGGTTTACGTTGTGGCTTGACAGTGTTTTATGTAAAGCGCTGCTATTAAGATTGCAGGTACTGATAACAGGTAAGCACCACTCGTACAACTGCTGGTAAACAGGTTAAAACTGTATTATAGCCCGGACCTGCCTGGTGCAGCTAATACCACATGTACCGTCAATGCCGCACAGCCTTAATAGCAGCGCTTTACATAAAACGCTGTGCAGCCACAACGTAAACCACCAGCTGGCTTACATCAGAAGTACAAGGGATTGGTTCGGCTAGACACATTTTTCCCCCTGTATGCATACGTTGAAAGTATGATATCAAACTGTATACAGCAATTGTTTGTCTGTTGCAGGCTCGGCGGATATCAAGAAAATAGACACCAATTATGGAACGATCATCGATCTAAACTTGCATCTGGGTCGACGTCGTGGCGGTACCCAAAAGTTCCAGTTTCAGATACCACCAGCCAACGGAACAGGGACCGTGTCAAGCATTCCAAACAGTTAGTTTCTGTATATTAAGCCTACAGAATCATGCCTATATCGACCCATTATCGTTATTTGCCGACCAAACGAAAGAAAGGTCACCGAAATTAGACGGCTCTGCACGGTTGATGCTTACAGATGCAGGAGGCAGGCCTGCCGATGACCGTCAGACCGATGGACGCCGAGGCGACACGGACCGGCGACCGTTTCGTCCGGATGGCGATCGGCATCGTTTTGACAGGGACGGTGATCGGCACGACCGACATGGAGGCCATGGACGCCATCCCGAGCGAGACCGCGACCGAGATCACGATCGTGGTCGCGATAGAGATCGGGATCGAAATCGCGACAACCGTCCCGGAGACCGTCATGACCGCTATCCGTACGCAGCATGGCGTCGACCGTGGTTTTATGGAGGCAGCCGAAAGGACTCTTCGAAGGGTCGGGATCGATTTCCGCGATGGGATAGTGGCAACGCCGGTGCGATGACGGGCACAGCCACTGGTTATTAATTTGACAAGGCTATTGAAGTGTTCTACTGCAGAGACTACGAGTAGAAAGCTGATTTAAGAAACTATGTTCTGAAAGTAACTCGGAATGTATTTGTATATGTTGTGTAAGTATAATACACCAACCACAATTTTGAACCTGACAACATTGACGGTGCGCAAAACAACATCCTACTAATCGTGGTACCAGTCCGTCCACACGACGAAAGCGCCAAAACGGGTTTAATTAAATTGTATAAAGGGCTTACAGTACTTGCTATGTTTTTGCTCAACATTCGGCACCAGTATCTACCGGCAAATCAAAATTTTGTTAAACACGTGAACTTTTTGAATACAGTTTCAACGATCAGCCTTTCGACAGGGCACTATGGTGTGGTTATATAAGTAACTCGTTCTAAAAACGCCGTACGATGTGAGAGGAACCCTATCATAGCCAATCCAGTATGCGTGGGACCTAAATAAATTATTTCACTCTGCTGGGTGTTGGTACTTTATCTGTTTAGGTATACAGTCCGACCGCGTTGCCTCCTCTTGTCGGGCATCGCACCCGCTGCGTAGAAAATTAAGCATTGTGTGGGATCTTTGCCGTAACTTGAAAGCCGCAGTCTGCAGTAACTTTGCCATAAATAAACACACAAAGGAAGAAAAACCGATTGAAAAGACACATTTAATTCTACAAAAAGAAAAGATTTCGAAAGAAGTGGTTCATTTACAGACAAAAAGGATTTTGTTTTTTAATTGTAGACGTAATTTCAATGTATGATCGTTTTGAGTGGCGGAACTGTTGCTGTTATGGTGACCGGGAATTGTTGGATTAGTCTACAAAGACTGGGAACTGTAAACTGTTGGATTGGTCGTTAGGGTCACCAAAACGCCGTCTAGATTCCACTTGAACATCGCCCGGCAGAGCATTGGCCACTATCCACGACAAATACAGTGTAACTGCCGTGCTCTGTCCGCCTTGACCGCTTCCGCACGTCTCGCTCGTAAAGGCCATGACGCCGGCTAAATAGTAGTTGTTGCGGGTGGGATCATAGCATACCAACGGCCCGCCGTTGTCCCCGATGCACTGATCCTGGCCTGTCGCACCTTGACTGCAACTAAAAGCAACACCCATCGATAACCAGCCGATAGTTGCCATGCAGGGATCGCGGTTAAAGTCTTACAGGTAATTGCTGACGTTAGTGCAAGTGCTTCCCGAGCAGAACACGGCGCAACTGCCCGACTGTGGGATGATTTTTTGTGTAGTCCACTTCAAGGGTACTGCATTACGGATCGCTGCAAACAAGCCATGCAAGAAATAAACTGGATACTCAATTTCTTCTTCTTAAGGCTGGAATTAGTATTATGACTTACGTTTTCCGTTGTTTTCGGTTCCGTAGCCACTAATGACGCAGGTATCGTTGAATGCCGGCACTCGGTATGCCAGACATATTGCGCATGCACACGGTTTGTTGACAAGATCGATGGCACTCGATAACGTTAGAATACCTTGGAACAATCAATGCACCAAAATAACATTCAGAACGCTTTCGAATTATGACAGGAAGAAGTTTAAGAGCCAAGCCAGCGGCAGGCTAGGCCTGCATCAGCGCACGCGGACCAACGCGAACATAGTTGCCTTATATGCACCAACCGGCCGGAATATACAGTAACTTTGGAAAAAATGTAGTTACAACGTAAAATTTAAAGGCTAGAAAACGGAAATAATGGTCGACGAAAACATTTTGCTTCCGGGTTTTTTTGTCGACCTCACCAGAGCAAAATCTTAAGAATCACAGATAACCTATGCTACGGCTTTTACTTTCGCCCAGGAGCCAGAATTAAACTAAGAAAAGGACTGTGCTGGTCGATGCTGGAACTATCGGAAGAAGACCAAGCATACGGCCTCCATATATATGCACGCCAACGAGCATTTTTCTTAGTCATGTTGTTGTCCCTTGGTTAACGAAGTATACGGCGGAAAAGGAATAAATGTCTTAACGTTTAAATTGTGCATTAAGGCAACATGGTGCTTACCGATGTCGTTATCGTCCGTGGCGAAGACATAACCCGGGTGCAGTGTAACATTTTGCACGGTAAAGGTCTGCGCACATCCGGTAACATCTTGCGCATTCGATGACGGTGTACTGCTGTCCACTGCTCCGACGGTCACGGTGTACGCCGACGCACTGGAGATCGTGACGCCACTGGAGGTCACCATGCATGTGCCCGCCGTAAGGATGGTTCGCGTCCCGATAATGATCCCACCGCACGTCGTCTTGCGACCGTTTCCCTGACTGACGACGACCAAAGCCTGCCAACAGACGACCGAAGCGGTGCTATTGGTCCCACCGAAAATGCGGGACTCCAAGAACGCTTCGGCGTCCCGGCCTTGGCGATGACGGACCGAGCGAAAGCGCTACGGGTCGTCGAACGCTGATACGGAGCTGCGCGATAAACCCACGATGCCAAACGCATCGATTTGGCCGTTGCCGGGAATACCACATGCTTCCGGTGTGGCCGTGGGTGGAGTTGGGGTGTTTGTTGTTCCTGGAGGAACGGTAGTGGGAGGGGTGACAGTCGGGTTCGGGAATACGTTAATGTCGCCGGATAAAGCATTGTCCGAAATCCATTGCAAATACAGTGCTACTTTCGTATTTTGGTTGCCATGCAGGTTGAAAATGCAAAAATCGTCCACCACAGCTATAACACCCGCCAAATAATAGACTTTGTTGATCGGGTCCCAACAGACTAGTGCGCCTCCTAAACACATTACGCCATGATAAAAGTTTTTCAGCGCTGGCCAGCTGGATTTCGATCTGGCCCGCGCTCACGGGCTGAGCCTGGGTCTGAATTTGACCACTGAAAGTCTTAATCTGACTGTGTATTAATGATATGTTACTCTTTTGTTCTGCCATGTATTCTTATGTTTTTCTTATTTTGTCTTTGTCTTTTGTAATTCTTCTGTTTTTCTTATTTTTATCTTTGCCTTTTTTATGTTATTCTCAAGTTTTCTTATGCTTTTTTTATGTTATTTTTTTATGATATATTCTTATGTTGTTCCTTGTGTTGAGAATAACATGATAATAACGCAAGAAAACATAAGAATAACATAAGAAAAAGATAAGATAAAAAAAGAAACGCAAGAAGATATGAAAAAACATTAGAATAGCATAAGAAACCATTAGAATAAACATAAGGATAACAAGAGAAGAAGAACATTACGAAACAACACAAGAAACAACATAAGAAATAACATAAGAAAACATAAGAATAACATAAAAATAAAACATAGTCACTTTATTAGTCAGACTTTCAGTACTGAGACTGAGACTTTAGTAGCCAGACTCAACTTTTTCGGAGTCAGACTAAGCCTCTCAACGCGGCCTTTCGATCTTGCAGTGGAATACGGTAGAGTGAATTTGTAATTATATGAACCATTAAAAGATAACATTTCCGTAATGCATGCAGTGGATTAAACATTACCGTCATCTCCAGCACACACGCCTCCGCCTGGACCCTTTGTACATAAATATTGTGTCCGATTGGTTGTTGTTCCCGTGCTGTCTGCAAATGCTGGACAATGGCTAGTGTCGCTTTGGTCAACAACGGTCCGGGCGCCCCATGTCAGCGGAATTGGATTTTCAGGCTCTGCGCAATTAGAAGACTTTTAGGGTAAAACAGCAGCTAAAGCGACCCACAATTAACTTCTACCGTCCGTGAAGTCCGGAAAACCAAATCCCGTCACCGCGCACATCTCACCGACTGCCGGCTGGCGTGAGCTGAAGCACAGTGTACAGGCGCACGGCTTCTGGTCAACATTAATGGCCGTCGTCAGCGTGATAATGCCAATGTCGTTGTCCTTGACCGTGTCGTTATATGCCGGGTGCGTTGTGGCCGATTTCACGGTGAACGTCTGGGCGCAGTGGGTGGGATCGTAGACGTTGGAAGCCGGGGCGTCGCTGTCCAGGGCACCCACGACCACCTGGATGCGGCTTACCGGTAATGGAGCTCTGGGAAAGTGGTCAGTAGCTCTGCTCACGTAACGTGCTGCTGGTTCAAATAGAGCGTGGCGTATTACCTCGTAGTTTCATCCAGCAAGCAATGGGCGGTGGTCAAGATGGTCTGACTGCCGATGATCACGCCGCCGCATATCTGTCGCCTACTGGTAAGCAGTCCGGTTGGTATTGTCGACACAATGAATGCCTGCCAATGCGTTTGTTTAAACAATACGCTTTTCACGAAAAAGAGTAAGAAGAACAACGCGAAACCGTAGTTGGCGCGTGTACAATCTATGCGGTAAGATTCGTAAGATGTTTACACCCGGCAGCCAAAAACCGTACCTGAGCAGATACAGGAAAGCGCGACTGCATTGCATTTTAACGCCACTGACTGCATCGCTAACGAGGTTGTTTAAATTTATCTAAGACACCTCTTTATCGTGGATTGGCCGAAGAGTGTATCCCATTGCTCACGGGTGATGTTCCGCCGGAATATGCTGTGTGAGTCGTATGTTAAGTTTAACAGACAGAGAAAAAACAGCACGTAATGCATGGTATCGCAAAAAACTTCTTCGAACGGACAACACTGACACTCGTACTCCAAAAAAATGGTTTTACACTATTAAAAATTTGTTGAAGATAACAAAAGAAAGTTCGATCGTCAACCTTGCTACCGGAACTGTTTTTTTCTGCTTGGCTAATCAAAAACGTTCATCGTGTCCGTAACCCTTTTCTTACGTGACGCAGTTTGCTCGGTAGCGCTCAAATCAGTAATATCAAAAACAGTATACAGTATTTGAGAGGCAAAAAATAACTGATTACATCTGCTTCCGGTGCAGCTGTGCCCGCGTTTCCGCGCTGGATTTTAGTACTGATCTGGTGCTGGTAAGTACCGTATTCTGTACCGGTAAATAGCGTCTCAACAGTTTCTCGCCGTATTTCGGGCCAGTAGAGCTACGATTAGCCGAGTAGATTTCGGTCCGAACGGTCAACTGGTTTGGAACCCAAACGGTAGAACAGATAGTTCAGGAAAAATATTTTTGCTGTCGCCTTGTTGGTCGCCTTGTTCTGGGCGCCGCCGCTGCTCCGGAGCTCTCATGGATGGGATCACAGCAGGTGACAAGGCAATAATGTATATGCGTAACGCTGACAACGCGTGCGTCCCAAGCCAGACAGAATTCTTCCTCTTTCCCTTGGAGTTAACATATCAGGACGAGATAAACCCCGCACGGTACCGGTTGCGTTCCGGTAGTCGGAACCGAGTATTTTTTTAAAGCAAATATATTTTCAGTACCGAACTAGGTACATACTACCGAAATGTTTATTTAAGCGATAGCCGCATTGATATTATGGATTTCGGGTGTTATATCTGCACCACCAGCGAAAGCATCTGCAGGTAGGTGCATAAACTTAAAATCAACGCTTCGCTTTAAAATGAGACGAATGGCCATTCGTCAGCGATTCAACATTCATTTATGTGATAAATAGTTTACTGCAGTAATAGAGTGCTGTGTCAGCTAGAATTTTGACTCAAGTGATATTAATTTTATTGTATGTACCTGGTTCCTCGTCCTGATCCCTATTATGCGTACCAGCAACTGAAACCTAACAATAAGTAATGCACTCGTACTGTATAATATAAAAATAATATACAGAGTATTGCACTATGCTGTCTATGCATACATTTGAAGTAATTAGAATGATATCTAGCTGTCTATGCTACTGTATGCTGTAAATATTTGTCGGTTTCAGGATCGGTAGATATCAGGAAAATAGACACCAATTATGGAACGATCATCGATTAGAACTTGCATTTGGGCCGACGCCGAGGCGGTATCCAAAAGTTTCAGTTCCAGTTACCATCAGCCAACGGAACAGGGACCGTGCCAGGCACTTCGGACAGTGAGTTTTACTGTGCTCCAGTAAATTCAGGTTACAGAATTATGCCTACGTCTACTGGTTAATGAGTGGTTATCGTTATTTACCGACCAAACGTATGAAGGGACACTGCAGTTACACAGCAGTGCAAGATTGATGTTTTGCAGATGCAGTAGGCAGACCTATCGATGACCGTCGGACAGGTGGATGTCGAGGCGACATCGATCGGTGGCCGGACGGTGATCGGCATCGATTTGACATGGACGGCGATCGACACAAGCGACATGGAGGCCATGAACGCCACTCTGAGCGAGACCGCGACCCAGATCACAACCGTGGTCGCGACAGCGACCGGGATCGAAATCGGGATCGCGATCGCGACAACCGTCATGACCGCTATCCATACGCAGCACGGCGTCGACCGTGGTTTTATGGAGGCAACCGAAAGGACTCTTCGGAGTGTCGGGACAGATTTCCGTGCATGATAGGATATATAGTGGTAGCGACGGTGATCGAGATGACGATCGCGAGCGCAGCCCATGCATGACTGTAACAAAATCCTTTTTTGAGGACCATACTTCCACTTTTGGAAGTATTTGCAGTGTATAAAATGCCACAGGTTGTGCATCTCATATCGTGCTGATGGTTAGTGCGTCGTGAGTGGACGCGTTCAATAAATTAAGAGTGTCATCTTAGAAATTTCTTTAGGTTATTGTGGAAATATGGTCTTCTTCACGGTCGTCACGACTTTTATTTCACAGGTAGTATGCCTGCTTAATAGTTCACTAATGTTCTCCAAAACTATCCGGCTTACAGTATAGCTTTATTTTCAGTACCATCGGAAAAAAAGATTATGATTACAACCACGGGTGACTGTTATGTGTGAACAGCATTATAATATAGCACTTAACGAAAGAATAAGTTGCTCCGTGCAGCAAATCGATCGAGGTATCGGTGAATTCCTGGAAGGCGAGTTTCTGACTGATAGTTGCGATCACTCATTCGCACTTGACGGGCAGCGTGATGAGATTGCCGTTATACTGTAGTCGACCCTGACGCAGTCATGGCTGTTGCAAAAGGGATCTGCGTTGGCATCTTCCGACTTGTACTACTCGTAGCTGATGGCAACAAGTCCTGCGTGCTGTGAGGGCGCAGAACCTGGCGTTCAAAGGGCTCGTATAGTACCGGCACCGTCATGATAAGTCAACGTCGGGCCGCCAAAGATCTGGCCCCAGGAAATTGGGCTTGAATAGGCACAGTTCGGGCACAGAGATTTATAAAGGTCATCGGCTATAGATAACTGGTAAGCGTATCTCTGAAGCCAGAACTATAAATACACCGCTGATACACGTCAAAGGTGCCGACTCCATGAGGCTAAAAGGAAACTGGCGAAATTAATAATCACGCACGGTTTAAGAAGTAATCGCTCGTAATAGTCCTCGAAGTATCGCTAAATTTACTGTAAACTTTGCACGACAGGGCCGCGTTTTTAAAGGTTATGTTAAACCCGCCATGGTAAAGCGGTATTGGTAACGGTCGTGACACTGGCGCTACTTATCGTACTTGTAACAACATATTCAGCATTCACGTTTTGCTCCGACACGTAGTGCAGTCGTTGATGCACGAATCTGAATCGGTTGAACGCTTGTCTATATATAATAATTGTACCACCAGTACCAGTACCACAAGCACCACCAGAAACCTGTACCATTACCTAGAATTTGATATCTGTACTAGTACAGTACATCTGCACTGAGCGCACAGGTGCCACTATTAAGGCTAAAATGTCTGTCGCCTCGAAGCTCTTTCCGTAATAATTTTCCAATTCCACAGATCCACTTAATTCTATTTACTAGTGGTACTGAAAAATCGCGCTCAATGCAAATGCTGTGGTGAATAATTACATGGTACTAGTGAACAATCAAAAATTTAATCCGGATACATAATCGACTGCGCTGCGGAAAAATGGCCGGCAAGATGTTAACAATCATTGATGGTCTGCAAACTCTGCACAGATTTCTTCAGCCGTTCCGCAGTACGCAGACTGCCGTTGTAGTGTACTGGTCAGCAGCATCCGTTGTTCGATGACCCGCCGTTACCGGATGCACTGGCTAAGAACGGCCACCGCGGTGACCACTGATTCGGCACTGGCTGTCTTCGGTCCTCGCTTCAACGGTGCGACAAAGTATATTTGACCATTTGGTTGTGGTTTTTCAATAACTGCTTCTACTATGTACTAATTCATAATCGTTACCTTTAGTCCAATTCTGGTCATAAGAATGGACGCGGTAATCTATAATGTTGGTGATACATCCACCTCATACAGTTATGATCCCAAGAGCGATTTTCTGGGTGAAGGCCAGTTTGGCAATGTGTACCGCGCCCGGCCGCTGGATGGCGTTCATCAAGGGGTTCAGTTAGCTTTAAAAATCGCGAAGGACACCCCGGATGGTACTCCAACACCCGGACAAATGGCCCACTTTTCCAGGCTGGTACAACTGCGCCATGCCAACGTAGCAAAGATTTACCATGTGTTTGTCATTCAAACCGGCAGGGGCAAATCGGTGCTGCATACTGCCATGGAGCTATGCTGTGGTGAGTTTGAGAAAATCATTGGCAACAGTATTTTTGGGTCCTAGCTTGATTGAATGGAACGTTGGATTCGGGCGCCGTTGTGCGTGACCTGACGCTTTTACAGTATTTTATCGGAATTACTATTGCTGTTGTGAAAGTTCCGATTATGCTGACACAGGTGAATCTGATGCTGCATCTGGACATTAAGCCAAGTAATGTCCTGATGGCAATGGGTGACGATCAAGACGAGCGGATGTTACTTGGCGATGTCGACGACATACGCAGCATGAGGGATCATCATACTACGTCACAGGACGTGACTTCGATGTGCGGTACAGTTGGTTTCATAAGTCCTGAAATTCTTCGCCGCGATATGCAACTGCCCACCACCAACCCCGGGCGACCGTCTGATCTGTGGAGCACTGGCTGCCTGTTTCTGAAGATTGCTGCCCATGTTACCGGAGATCACACAGAAGTGATTGGCCGTGGCGAGGACAGGCAGCCAGTGGCAGCGATAGCGCCGGCTCGCCGTCTCATGCTAATGGCTGACGGTTATGTTCCGCTGACGCCAGCCGTCGTCCCGGAAGAAATCGCTGCGATTATCCGCCGTTGCTTAGTCGTTGATTCAACCGGCAGGATTTCAGCGCGGGAGCTGTTTAGCGTAGTGTCCAGGTAATGTATATCCGTTGTACGTTACTAGGAACTCTAGGATAGATTTTATAAGTTCAGCGAGGATACACTGGACGCAGTTTCATCATAACGCTCCAGTTTTATATTCATGTAGATGTTTTTTTCTGGGGCACTACAATGTTGTGGGCTCGTGTCCACAGCTTTATAATAATCTGTGTGTTACTTGCAGTTGTCATCGGGAAGTCGAAACCACAGAGAACCGTGATAAGCAGACGGCGGAAGTACGTACTTACTTGGCAGACCGGAAATAATTATACTGTCATACGTACATACTGTATGCGTCCGTGCGACATTTACACTTTTATTGCGTTGTATGCTACGATATGATACTTTCTACTTAAAAAGAACTAATCATAACTATTTTGCAGACGAATCGGAACAACGATGTTACGGAGAGTTTTATCGACATGCGGCTTAAGCAAGATCTGCTGCGCGGCGTCTCCTCCTATGGTTTCAAGACGCCTTCGGCCATTCAACGACTAGCGATTGTGCCCTGTTTGAAAGGTATGCGTATACTGGTCGATCCGTGTTGGTTTGGTGATTTGATCTACTGTGATCTGATTTGATCTACGTCGCTGCAGGCCGGGATGTGATCGCGCAATCCCTTTCCGAGACCGGGAAAACCGCCACCTTCGCTGTATCTGTTCTCCAGATCATTGACACGGCTAGTTTTGAATGCCAGGCTCTAGTGTTGGCGCCTACAAGGGGGATGGCTGAACAGGTCAGTGTACAAGTGTCATTTTCAAACAAATTACTTCGTGAATACCAGTATGCAATGTCCACGACTCATTCAATGCTGTATCGCGTTACATTATTCGATTACTGACGTGCTGGCACTGTCTTCCAGGTTAAAACGATGCTACTGGGATTAGGCCGCTATCTGGATGTGCGGTGCTACGTGTGCGTAAACAGTCAGCACGGCGTGGTCAAGCTGGACCAGTGCCCGCACGTGGTGGTCGGCACACCGGATCATGTCCACGATTTAATTTCCCAGAGAGCTGTGTGTAAGTGCACTGGGTCATTCTGATTACCATAGTTAGTGTCTCTTATTTTGGCTTTTATGAATCCACAGCCGTTAACGCTCTGAAGATGTTCGTACTGGATGAAGCAGAGAAAACATTGGCGCTTGGTTTCAAGGAGCACATTTATGACATCTTCAAGATCCTTCCCGCAGCCATTCAGGTACAGAAAGCTTTTCGAAAGGCTTTTTCGACGTGTTCAATGACTGGCAGGAATCTTCCACTTTAGATGGTGCTGCTGAGTGCCACGATGACCCCAGATGTACTGGAAGTGGCGGAGAAGGTCATGCGCGATCCCATTCGGATTTCGGCTAAGACTGATGAGTTGGCGCTGGAGGGAATCCATCAGTTTTTCGTCGATGTCCATCGCGAGGTGCGCTTTTATTTTCAGCATTCTGTTTATTCGTGCAAGAAATTTCGAAATTACGTTTTAGCGGTAAAAATTGGCATATTTGGTAGCTTCTTGCTGAAGCCGTCATACGGCGCTTGCTCTTCACCGTGAAGTTATTTGAGCAAACGGTTAAAATTCCTGGGTATTTGTAGGATTGGAAGTTCGAAACACTGTGTGATTTGTATTCCACAGTATGGATTTCACAGAGTATTATCTTTTGTAATACCCACGAAAAGGCTGAATCCCTCACCAGTCAGATGCAGGCCGACAGTCATACAGTCAGCAGCATGGTAAGAAAGCCGCGTCTAGTAAATCCTTTGTTGAGCAATCAAAACAGTGTGGCCGTTTGTGATCGGCAGTACGGGGAGGTGAGCAAAGAGGAGCGCGAAGTGATTATGCGAGAGTTCCGTAGCGGAATGAGCCGCGTCCTCATCACAACGGATCGGCTGACTCGCGGCATCGATGTCCAGTCAGTTAACTTAATTATCAACTATGATCTGCCCAATAAATGCGAGGACTACATACACCGGTGAGCAGCTGTTTCCTTCTAGCGACCTTCACTGCGTAATATTATGTACCTTTGTATCGACGTTGTATGCGTTGCAGTGTAGGGCACGGTGGCCGCATTGGACGTACCGGTAAAAGCTGTGCTGTCAGTTTTGTGACCAGAGAGGACGTTCGCCATTTGAAGGAAATTGAGCAGTACTACAACACCAAGATCGAGGAGATGCCCAGTAATATCGCCGACCTATTGTGATCTGAATTCTGGAATGAGATGACGTGGAGGCGCCCTGATGATACAGGGCAGAGTGACTACAGACTTATGCGTAGCGTAGTGTGCTGGGTTTTGGCGGGGAGCAAAGTACCTGACTGTGTATCACACCGGCAATAATTTGTTACTTCTCTGTAATTATATTTTTCACTGAGTGGCTAGTGTCAACTTGCACTTAACACAATTTTTTGCACAGATTTGTGACTTATTATTAAGAGTCACGATATTTTTTGTCCAGTGTTTATTACTTATTATCAATGTGAAACTGAAAAAGGTAAGAATGCAAATTCGCAGGCAGCTGTTTACAGTTTTGTCTAAGCTTTTGTAGCAGTAGTGTACTCGTTAAGAAACAAATTAAAACAAACTTTACTCTTGTTATCACAAACTCCTCCGGCAAGAAGAGCGTTCCTGTATCCGCAAGTAGTCAGTCTACTGCGTAGATATGATTAGTGGGTTAGGGAGATGGATTAGTGGGAATTAATTCGAGTTTAATGCTGCACAGGCGGAAGACAAGAAAAGCCGATTATACGCGTATCTAAAAAACACATACTCATATTATATTTTTGCGACCCTGGCTTTCGGACACGGGCCTCAAGGGAACTCGGCAACTGCCTTAGTGAAAGGAATCGGCAAGCGGCTGAAGCAACACACCGGTGAACCTCGCTTGTAAATGCAAAGCCTGCGGCAACGTCTTTCGTTAGCAGTCCAGTGAGGCAACGCCCTCCCCATGCTCGGGACCCTGGATGGAGCCAGTCGTTTAAAGGAACTGTTTATGTTATAATTTCATCGTATTTCGTTTAAAAAATCTTCACAAGCTTTTGTTCTGGAAACAATGAAAAGGTCCGCGCCGAGGATTAAGAACAGTCGGTTTTTCAGCTTGAATGGAACCAGAAGGCCTGATCCCTGAAACATCAGAAACGACCGCATCGCCGGTTGTAATCTTGTAATCACAGTGGTCCTGTGAGAAAGCGGGAAACTGTGGCTGTTACCTACGGAGTAACATTTACTAATCGCAATTACGTCACAAACTGTAGCCGCTGCAGAGTAGACCGGAAATGGACATCGACGAAGCACAGCTGGCTGCAGCCACGATACCAGCTCGTACCGGCTGAAATTTGCATATTGTCCTTTTAATTTTACAGACTTTAAAATTTACAGAATTTCTTACAGACTGAAAAAACTTATTTTCTTAGAGACTTTCTTAAACTTTCTTACAGACAGAGGGCTGAAATGTACAGATTTTTAAATTTACATAATCTTTTTTTACCGGCTGAAATTTACTTACCTTTGGGAGACTGTACCAAAAATCAGGTGGGCAAGGTCGAAAGCCATAACTGGCCAGTGCGCCACTGCCGCCGGTCCGAAACGCGTAAAAAGTTTTGTGCAGCGGTTGTTCGTTCAACGCACCAAGGGAATGCGATTAAGATTAACCGTGCGTAATGGGCACGATTTCCTAGCAAGGTGGCATAGAAGAGGTATTTCTGTTGCGAAATTTAATGTCTTATTTGATTATTTTTGAAGTCTTATAATATCAACTGTCCAAGTCCAAACTGCGCTCGATGTGGACTGTCTTCCGAATAATTCCGATGTGGTTGGCCGTTGGTGCATGTAAAACTGTAAAATGTACTGTAATGATGATATCGCGTACGTGCATCTACTATCTATACCCTGTACGGTATTCAATATAAATTTTTTATTAATTTTGTTGGTAGCCGGTAGGCCTAGGTAAACGTACATTTTATTGGATTACTGACTGTACGAGTTACTTGCTAGTTACCGACAATCAGCAGTGAGATGAGCTGTAGCGCCTGCTGGCACACTACTGACATACATTTAATACTGATGAGTCAATACTCTGTTAGTGTAGACTCAGTGAGTAGTACGTAACTTACGATCGTTAGTACAGCGGGCATGTGCAAGGCCATGTGCTGCACGTTTGATTTCCCGTGTACGCATCGAAGTGGGAAATCTCAGCGAACGCGAAGTTATGTGGGCTTAACGTCGAATATCCAATACATACAGTACTTATTAAATAAGTATTTTTCCTTTTGCTACGTACTCTGATACTTTTACGTTTTTAATCTGTTGCTGCATTCGACAATGGCAGTGCTGTAATCGGCAGCAAAATTCGAAGAGCCGAAATCTGTGGAACGCATACATCCTTTTCTTCAAATGCTTGGCTGTCAGCATCTGTTAACATCATGAAACCCGCACAAATTGGTAGGACTTGCCAGCATCACTGGGATGGAAAAACAGGCCGCATTGGGAATGGTTTTTTTGGCGAAGTTTTTACGGCGAGAATTACTGAGCGCGGAGATTACACCGGACAAGATGTTGTGGTTGTCAAGAGGGTGTACATGAAGCATACGCAGTTTCTGGAGGATACGAACAATTTTGCCAGATATCAGCAGAGACTGCAAGCCATCTTTTGTCTTACTCATGACAACTTGATGAAATACCATAAAGTCTCCGTATACCCACAACTTGTCGGTGCCACATTCGAGTTTATGATGGACTACTATCCCTGTATGTATCGCTACATTATCACATTTAAGTGCAGTCTGTGCGCCAGTTAAACACGCATTCACCTCCGAATAGCAGTTATGGTTGTAAACTGTCCGGTTTGGTATTTAGATGGGAATCTTAGAGCTAGACTGGATATGATGAAGAATACCAGAACACTCTTGGATCCCGCTAAGGCTGTCCGGTATTCCGTCGATCTCGCGAGCGGCTTGTCATTTCTCCACCAAAACAACCTTACGCACGGCGATCTGAAGCCGGAGAATGTCCTGATCGACTGCGCGGACGGTCGACCAGAAAAACTGCTCATCTCGGACTTGGACGGCATTGTCACCATTTTGCGCGGCGCTATCAGCTCGTTGTCCAACGGGCACTGGCGCACCAGTATGCGCTACATGTCCCCGGAGATGCTGGATGCCTTTACGCCGGCCGCCCAGCATGACGTCTGGTCGGCCATTCCCGCGGCGAAGACCGATGTGTGGAGTGCGGGCTGTATCGCGCTGGACCTGATACGCTGCATCACCGGCGACCATCAGGAGCTTCTGCGCAATCCCGTCACCGGCCAAGTTATGGGCCAGGAGCGCCGGCTGAGTACGATGGCCTTCCTCGTCGCCGTGAGTGTTCATCACTGTATTCCCGTAATTAATGCTCCCCCGCCGGTTCCTCCGTTGTTGGCTGAGTGTGTACGACGCTGCTTGCAAGTCGATATTAACGACCGATTGTCGGCCGAGACGTTGCTCAAGGAGCTCTTGTCCATGAAGCTCAACTGATCTAAATGTTGTGACGGTTTTATAACTCTTTTAAACTGCGGCCTAATGCTTTGTTAGTGCGCAAATTTAGTTTTTGTCAGGAGGTTTCGCGAAGCACAAGACGGAAACCGAAGATTAAGTATTACGCCTCTATGGTATTACCAGTTTTGTACACCATCACTAGAACTTTCGTTTTGTGCGCAGCCTCGGATACTTCTTTTGCTTCTGGTTTAGGTCATTCCGTCGGCTGGTATAGGCAAATTAAAGTGGACAAACATTATGTTAGACGCACCGTAGTCCACCGAAAGTCAGTTATTATCCGATTTTCTAGAAATTTTACTATGACGATGAATCTGATCGAACTAAAACCAGTCTCATGGCAATTTTTTTCGATTTTGGTAAAATAATATCAGTTTTTGAGAATGTCAGGAAAATGTTGTAAACCTAATTCTGAACGTCACTTTTAAAAGGAATAAAAAGTATTCCCTCATACAAAGTAGGGCTTGTGCGTAGAATTTATTTGCAGCATCCTGAACTAAAAAATACAAAGCCCGGTGAACAAGGGAATTAAGTAGTGCACCACAACTACGTACGTGATGCTAAGGCAGACATCATCATATACCAAGAGCGAGGTTTTCCGCGCCAGGATAGCCCCAAGACGGAGCAACACGCGCGAATCAAACAAGTCCACCATGTCACACCGACATTCTGCATGTTGTCCCGTTCATCCAGAACGCATGCCCGGTCCAGGAGGATGATCTACTCAATCAACGGCCCGCGCCAGCGAAATCCACGCCTGCATTTCCAATTTTCCGCGTGATCGGCTTGTTCCACAAACAATTCTGCCAATTCTCGTTCGTGTATGCACGAATATTATAAACATACGATTATAATACACCGGTGAATTAATTAGAAAATAAGTACTGTAATATAAATAAATTCACGAAATTAACTACTCCGTAGTATGCATTAATGACCCGCAAGGTGAAGAAAAAATAAGTTAAATTAGTTAGAAAGAATACTTGTTATAATAAATTGGAAATGCAGGCGTGGATTTCGCTGGCGCGAAATCCACGCCTGCATTTCCAATTTTCCGCGTGATCGGCTTGTTCCACAAACAATTCTGCCAATTCTCGTTCGTGTATGCACGAATATTATAAACATACGATTATAATACACCGGTGAATTAATTAGAAAATAAGTACTGTAATATAAATAAATTCACGAAATTAACTACTCCGTAGTATGCATTAATGACCCGCAAGGTGAAGAAAAAATAAGTTAAATTAGTTAGAAAGAATACTTGTAGTATAAATTAAATTGAAAAAAAACCAACAAAAATAATTAAATGTAAGTACAAACAACCTAATCAAATAATAAATAACATGGGCAAATAAAAATACGAATGCTCAATCAAGCTGATAAGCGACCCGCAAGATTAATTGGAAATAAATTCAACTGAAGATAATAGAGATTCGATCCGCACCGGTACGTAACTGACAACTGAAAATAGTTTTGAAATTCTTTACGCAGCGTTTCTCAAGAATACGCTGCTAATTGAACGGGATTAAAGAAAACTTAATGAAAACTTCTCTTCACCATCAGTAATAACACTGCATGCATGGCTGCTATAAACAGGCAGATCACTTCTTAATGATTATAATTTTTACATAATCCCACATCCGCACCAACCCCATCCGCGTGCATTACCAGTTCTTAATTTTCAAAAGTAAGTATAGTGTTGCCGGTATCTGTACACGCACCGGCACATGTGCAGGATCTGGCCGAGCAATCAAGCAGCAGTTGCATTACGCAATTAAGCCGCACCACCAACAATGAGCGCGGCTCCATAACCACATGACTATTCTCAATTTCTCACTTCGGAATACATTTGTAGGAGTGAATACCCACCACTATAAACACATCAACAGGTGCCTTTACGAAACCAAATCCGGTGAGCGATGATACTTGGCAGTGTTGGCGTTAGATAATCCCAGCAATTACCACTGTGTATGAGAACTCTCACTTTTCTCATCAAAACGCCAGAACCGCCAGCGAATACCGGCGATTATGCAGCACACGTGGATCATGTATCAATCAAAGAAAAACCGTACTGGCTATATATACCAACCAGTATCCACGAGAGAAATCATTCATTTTCGCTGCACGGAATATTTTTCAACAGAAAATTACGCTGATTTTCTTTGTTGATAATAACAATCGTTATTCAGTGCGGGACAGAGGCGACGCTGCAGCTGCTTTAATTATCGATTGGGACGCTGGTCGTCTGGGCTGCAGTCTCTGTGTAACTGGGTCACGTCGCTCTTCAGACTTTCACTTTTAATTACCAAATCCGGCTGTCCTGATTTTTTTTAAAGTTATTTATATTTTTCTGTTATTAACCATGGATTTATGGGATTTGTTTTCGTTCCGCGTGTGCTTGGCGGTGATTTTGTTTTTAATTTTTGTCCGGGAAGGTTTTTGTGCGGCGTCGACGCGGAAGATTGACGGGCGCAGTACAACGGTCAAGGTTGACGATGTCGACGAACAGAATCTTATAACACCGCCATCCGCATCTGTCAAAAAAGCCGGTAAGCGCAGATTACTGTTAATTTTAAATCGCCCAATGATGCAGAGGTTCCCATGACTTTTTCCTAAACCTAAAATGAATTTAAGATTTTCTTTAATTCTTTAATCGCTTAATTTTTAAGCGGATTGACTTTTGGTTTTACTGTTATCGATCTCGTTCGCACGAAACTAATTATACCAGATTATTTCAAATATATTATCAAAAGTTTGTTGATAATTTCTTAAACTATTTTTTATTGTTGTTGTTCAATGTAATTTCAGATATATCTGCATTATTTTGATTCAAATGAAAACTGACTCAATAGGGAGGAATTTTAAAGAAATTACTCCGGACAAATATAAAACGAAAAATTCTGCTAAAAATTAGAACACTGAAATTTAAAAATTAAAAATTAATTTAAAAATTAGCAACATTGAGATTTAAAAGCGACTGGGCGGTCTCCATTAAAATGGTGTTTAGTAAATACTAATTTTAAATTTTATTTTTCTAGCATTAAGGCGACTGCAACCCATCAAACTGGCCAACCTAACCATCACTACCTTTAACAAAACCGCCGTCCTGCAGCCGCGGGACCTCGACGACACCAACACCACCACCTCCAACGCCCGCTCCGGCGCCCTGGCCCAACCGCGCACCTCCATGGACGACTTCGATGCCCTGCCCATCTCCCCGCTGGGTGGCTTCAAATCCTACCAGAAGAGCTATGTTAACATGCCCGGCTACCAGATGGCCAAGGAAAAAGTCCAAGGGGGTGGCCTCCAGCCATCCCTGATCCCCGGACCCGGCGCGGAACTGGTGGGAGTCGGCGTGGGACCTCCAACGCCGATTGTCGGTGGAATCGGTGGTCCGGTGCCGCTGCAAGCAGGTACGGTTACGAAATCGAAAGTGGTTGCGAAGTTATGGCGTTCCGGTTGAAGATGCCAAGTCGCAGTTATGATTTTTGTTGTGGCGCCCGCGGCGCTTCGAATTAGCGGTAAAATGGTGTAGTTTGTGTAAGATGTCATGTCATATATTGTCATCTATGAATCGCAAGCCAAGCGCATCAGCGCCGGGTGACTGGCATTTGCCGCAGTTAAGGGCTAAAAATGCCGTTGCATAATTAACGATTATATTAATTGCACCTAAAAGGATTATGAAAAGCTTGGCACTATTTTACTACAATTTAGATTTTATTAAACTATTATTTAATAATTTCCAGCCAAAACTGTTAATGCACTATGGAAAATGAGTTAAAAAATTAGTATTATTAACGGAGAAACGATTAACAAAATGTAAAACAAGTTGAATAAAAATTATATATAAAATATAAAAATAACTGTATACAAATATAAAAATAACTGTATATAAAAATAACTGTATACAAAATAACGTTTTGTATCGGTAAGAGACTGGACTTTGTGTAATGTGTTGAAATGGTGAACTGCGTAATTTGCTGTTAACCTATGTTAATGTGAATAACCCAATAAACTTTGTTTACTGTATACATATACCGAAGTCATTTTGTTAACTTCGGCGATATCTATATTTCAGGTCCAGTTCTGGAACCGGGTTTAGCGCAATACATCGCCATGATGCGCGGTAACCGCCGCCCCGTCCCACCTTTCTACGGCGCCGGGCCACGCCCCCTGCCACCCCACTGCACCTGCGCCCCACTGGCCGACTGCCGCGACGTTTCCGCCTTAGCCCGCGACTACGGCGACGACGCCTACAACGGCAACTGCCTTCCCGGGCAGGTGGTCTGCTGCAACCAGGACCTCCTCGACCAGATGAACACCGCCGACCACCCGGTCGGGCCCCTGACCGCCGGACCGGCCTACGGACCCCGTCCGGTGCCCCAGCCCGTCCCGGTAGCCGCAGCCGTGCCCCGCCCCGTCCCGGTGGTCCCTCTCGGTCCCGCGGTGTCCGTGCCGGCGCCAGTGGTCAGACTGCCGCCGCCAACCAACTACAATCCCCCGATTATAGGACGCCCAAAGCCGGTGGCGGTGATCGACGCGGTGCCGGTGCCGCCGCTGTACGGCGCCGGTGTCGGGTCGGGTCCGGTATTGTGCGGGAAGAAGGGCCGGAATCCGTTGGCGCGGGTGTACGATGGGGATGATAAGATGTCGGATTCGGAGTTCGGGGAGTTCCCGTGGATGGCCGCGGTGCTGCTGGCGCCGGAGCTAACGTACCAGTGCGGCGGGGCGCTGATTGCACCGAGATTTGTGCTGACGGCCGCTCACTGCGTTGCACGGTAAGAAACGTGTTTGTTTTATCTGTTTTTAAAAAAAAAATTATTTTCACTTACTATTTTTTGTTGTTTAGTACGCAAAACATTTTTTATATAATGTTGTAATATCTAAAAGGGTATAAATAACTAATGCAGTTTAAAAAACTTTTGGCGTAGTTGTCGTAGTAGTCGTATTAGTCGTTGTCGTAGTTGACACTTTTAAATTCTTTGATAAACAAAATTGACATAGAAGTTTGTTTTACGTTTTTGTTGCGTTTATGAGAGTGTAATTTTAAAAGAATAATTTAAAAATCATGATAACATTTTATATTTTTAAATTATAGAAACAAACACCGCAACTTAATCGTGCGCCTGGGCGAGTACGATGTGACTAACACCGAGGAGCCGCCGTATCAAGACATCAAAGTGACGGACGTGGTCATGCACGCCGGCTACCACAGCGGCACCCTCAAGAACGACATTGCCCTTCTCGTCCTGGACACACCCGCCATCTTCAACGAGTACATTTCGCCGGTGTGTCTGCCGGAATATGCACCGGAAACCGGCGGTGTTTGTACCGTCACCGGTTGGGGCAAGGACACCATCTCCCGTGAGTACCAGAATCCAGGTCAGCATTTGTTAGACAAGAAAAATATAACGTATGTGACCTTCAGATGGCAAGTGGGCTAACCGGCTGAAATCGGTGGATGTGCCGCTGGTTAGCAATGAATTCTGTGAAGCTTCCTACCGCAAATCGCCGCAGCTGGGCCCGTACTTCAATCTGCATGATAGTTTCGTGTGTGCTGGTGCCCCGGGCAAGGACGCTTGTTATGTAAGTTGACAGGAAAAATTATACCAATTAATTATTTGTTATTTATCATTTTTTTAAAATATTATTTTTCACTCCCCCTTTTCTTGTTTTCGACATGCACAGTACAGTTATGGTAAAAAATTAAACCAAAGAAGTTTAAATTCCAAAAATAATAAATATTTTAAATTATTTAAAAATTAAAAAAAACGTATCAAAATGTACGCGTAATTAAATTTTATTATTTACTGCTTATCAATGTTTATTACTGACAGTTGTGGCAGTTAAGCCGGTTTTATCAATGCAAACATTTTTGTATTTTTTATCAGGGTGACGGCGGCAGTCCGATGGTGTGTTCGCGCGACCCGGCCAGCGAGCGCGGCTACCAGCTGATGGGGCTGGTCAGTTGGGGCATCGACTGCGGCCAGTATCCCGGAGCGTACACGCGTGTACAAAAGTTCGTACCCTGGATACACGATGTCATGAACAAGTTTCCCAACTAATCGCTGTCGACTGATTTTCTGATCTGTGCCGCTTTTTTTGCCAAAAGTCTTTGTTTTTTTTATTATGTGCCTAAAAGTTGAACTTTTATTATTTCGCTGTGCGAAGACAGTTATAAAACAAACAATACTCTCTGTGCATGTACTGTACTTTTAACTGAAATACAGAGAACTGTTAACAGTTATACGCAAACATTTATTTAAAATACGCGTTCACTATGAATGATTCATGCATTCGTAAGCCCCAGGGTACAGAGTATTCTGTAGACTACAGAGGCACATGCCGCAAAACAACTAGCAGGAAACTGGAAAACCATGAAATCGGCGACTTGTGGATACAGAATTGCTCTGAATTTGTGACCTTTTGGGAACACTTAGCTATCATGATAATAACATGGATAAAATTAGCATTTTTGATATTTTAATAATACCTTAATTTATAGGAAATGGCTATTGTCACCCCCCTGCACCCCCTTTTGACTATTATCACCCTCTCGCGCCCCTTTTGACTATTGTCACCCCCTTTATTTTAATGAAATAAACACCCCCTTTGACTATTGTCACTCCTTACAACACGCCCTTTTGGCTGTTGCCACCACCTCTCAATTTATTCTTATAATTTTTCCACCAGCGGTTCTTTTTCAACTCTGTGCCTGTCACCACCGGCAGGCCTAGGGGAAAGGCGCCAAGCGAAGGTTACTGACACTTAACATATATACATCGCTAAGATGCGGCGTCATTTTTTTTAATATTAAACTTAACAGCTTCAAGGGTTGTTTTCTGATGAGCTCCGCAGCGAATGCGATCGCAAAAAGTCCACAGTTATAACTATCCCATTGATGTTGTATGCAAGGAAAGAAAACTTCGGTGTACTCGCTTCCGATTGATCTCAACACTTTCTTAATCACTGGTGCCGACGCCGGTGGTACAGTCATAAACAAACGGCTGCCCCTCTTTCCGCGCTAACAGCACTCAGTGGTCGCTGGCACTTTTGTACCTTTCCGGTAGTTTAAAATCTTACTTAAGTTAGCTGAAAGGCCAAGCTAGCAACAACGTATTTTTTATAAGAAATGGCCAAGGAGTTGCAATAGTCAAAGGGGGTGAGAAAGGTGGTGACTATAGCCTAAGGGGGTGTTCACTTTATTTAAAAAAAAGGGGTGACAATTGTCAAACGGGGGTGCAAGGGGGTGACAATAGCCAAAAGGGGGTGCAAGGGGGTGACAATAGTCGCACCCTAATTTATAATCAAAATCGTTGAGGATAAAAAAGTCTGTACACTTCTGTTAATACTCGTACAGTAATGAATTTCAAAATAATTCAAAATCGTATACTTTTAATTCATAATTCTACCAAAGTCTGGTATATTTTTTAATATATTTCTAGTATACGAGTAGAGGAATAGATATCTATATACCATACTTATAGTATCGTTTAATGAATGTACAATTACAGTGCGTCAGTTTGCTGGACGGTATCTAGATCCGAGAAAATCCGTTGTCGACGAGAACATCGAAACAAAAGACCGAAAAAAATGCCTGACGATAACTTCGTGCATTCGAAGAAAAAAGGCTATAATATCGGCTTAGAAAAACACAGCGCCGCACACGGGAAACAAATAACAAAACGCAACCACAGTGGAAGGGATAGCCGATAAATCCGGCAGTTCCGGCTTCCGCTGCAGCTACCGTTTGGCAACGTACTATATGCGCGTTGACCGGTGCATCTCACTTGCATTTTCAGCATGGCGTGATCATTTTTTACAGCGACAGTTATTTCACTATGCATTTATTTTACATTTTTCTAATTACATTTTTACTGAATTCTGAATTTAATTCCTTTGCTGGATTTTTAACTTGTTGGGTTGGTTAGCAAACTGCGGCGGTGACTAACAACAAGGAGAATGTCGGGTCGTAATCTGTCCTTATTCCGGTACCTATACCTGCAAGCCCGCGACAACATTCTGGAGCCCTACCCGATGGAGTGCGAATGCGACCGGTGCCCCCACTGGGCGCCGCTTCCGGGGGTTGAGCCCCTGAGCTGCCGGAAGTGCCAGTGCGTTCTGTGGCGCCATCGGCCCGTCTCTGAACTCCGCGCCGGCACCCCACCGCTGCCCTTCAACTGGATCTGGATGAGCGCGCCACCGCCGCCTCCGTCGCCAGGGCAAAGTAATCCTCTTTGGACGCCACGGGCACCAGGGGAAAATATCACCGTCGCGACACCACGGGCACCCCTTTCCCAGCGTCCCCAGCGGGCGATCACGAGGAAGGCGATCCCGCCAGATCCTCGGCCGAAAAAACGCAGGCAACCGGGAAAGCGCCGAGCTAATCGTCAGCGAGGACTTCAGGCGGCGCCCCCTACGCTGATGACCGCCGTCCCACCGCCCGTTCCGCAGATGACGCCCCGTCCGACGCACTGCGACCAGTGTCCACGAATCTTCCGGAAGCGCGGCGAAGAGGCGGAACACCGGAAAGGTCACGAGAGCACCGATGCGACACTGCCGGCGTGTTCGGTATGCGGCTTCCGCTGCCGCCCGCAGGGAATGGGCTCCCACTCGGCCATGCACCTGCGCGTCAAGCCCACGTGACCGGCGATCAGATCCCGTGCTGATCCGGATTTATTGGACGGATAGGGTAAAGCAGTGAATTAATGCTACTGTTACTTTACATTAATGACTGTTAAAGCTGATTGTTGGTAACTCAGTGATGTTACGTTCATTGCGGATTTGACTGTTTTCCGTGCACACGTCTCCACACACACAACGTTGTGCGTGTTGTTATTATTTTTGCACTGGAAATTTCATTGGTATGTACTTTCCCTGTATTAGGCTTTGTTAGCTTTGTTGAATTGTTATCGAATTTCTATCGTCATGTCGGTGTTAACTGTTATGGAGATTATTATCGCGCACAGGTATGTTGACCTGTGCCCTGCCTGAATATTTCGTTGAACGTGTACGATCCACGTCGATAATAAAGAAACGCAGATAGTGCCAGCGAAAATTAATCTGAAACGATCCAAATTAAAAACTGAATGCGTATTTTATACTGCACTTTATACTGTTAGATTGTGTGTATCATTATACGGTATCTACAGATACGAAACATTCTATACACGACCGGTGAAAATTGTTGATGCCGCTTGGAAGTGATACCGCGTACAACAGGGAGGAATTGAGTAAAAATAAGCTCGTGCTTAATGGTTTTACCTTTACCAAAGTAGGAGCAGGTGCTCAGCCAATATCAACGCGTTTCTCGTATTGGATAAAGTATATTTAAATATATCTTACAATATAATTTTGTTTATTAGCTCGCTGGTGCATGTTCTCGCTGGTCACAGTAGACTCTAATACTACAATAATTGTGACCTTTACTGAAATTGCTAATATTTCATACAGTTATTACAATCATCTATGCATTTTAATCATCTGTGATTTTGTAGAGTTTTAAAACCTTTCTGATTATTTACATTTTTTTACAAGCAGTGAGCTTGACCGATATAAGCGAATTGTCCAGCAGTATAACCGCCCGATAGTCACCTGCAGGGTGACTGCAAAACGTACTCTTTCTGGAGGAAACCGTTAGCGATGGGCGCTTGCAGCGAACATACAGCACAGCAGACAAAGACCCTGGAGAACATGCGGACACAGACTTCGACAGCTGCAATAAGTCAGATAACAGGAACGGTTGCAAAATATCGTTTGTGTGTAACTTTTAAATGGAAAGCAGGCATCAAAGACTTGTGGAACGCCGATGATTTTAATAAATTTAAAGAAAAATGTGACTGATGAGACATACAACGCAAACGCTCTACCCGTTTTGTATTAATTATGTAATACAACAAATCTTAAAAAAAACCACAAGCGATTATGTAATTCAATAATTCGTGCACAGGCAGCACTTGCATTATTGATTAATGCATTTAAAATTAAAATAATTAATACAGTATGTTGGACATTACTGTATTTGAATCGAGAAAATCCGTTATCCGCAAGACCCACGAACAACTCACCACACAAAACAGACTGAAAAAATGCCAAACGATAAATTCGCTGCATAGCAAGAAAAAAGCTGTAATACCGAGAAAAGGAAAAGCACAACGGCCGAACACACTTTGCCTGCATTAGGCTGCAGTTTTGTAATAAATTCGTTCATTTCGTAGAGCTGGCCAGTGACCACAATGGAAGGCATAGCCGTAAATCCGGGTTTTGCGACTACCGTACCATATGCTGTACTCTGCATGTCCCTTGCATTTTCGCCATGCCGTGATCATTTCTCACAGCGACGGCTACTTCGCTGCGCACACCATACTTTTTAGTATTTTTCTGTATTACGGAATCTTTATAAATTTGCTTACTTAATTTCGACTGTAATTTTCAGTCAATTTTGGCTGTTATTGATCAGGAGAATGCCAGTTAGTCCAAGGTCGCCCCCTTCACGGGGAGATGCATGACCGAGTGCGAGTGCATTCCTGCTGGACGGCAACGGAAGCCGCAGTCCGGGCACGCCGGCAGTGTCGCATCCGTGCTCTCGTGACCTTTCCGGTGTTCCACCTCGTCGCCGCGATTGCGGAAGATCCGTGGGCATTTGTCGCACTGATTCGGACGGGGCGTCTGCGGAATGGGCGGTGGAACGGCGGTCAGGCGCCAATCCCACGTGACCGCCGATCGGTAATGTGGACGCTGATCAGTTTGTGCTGTTACGGATTTGACTGTTTTCCTTGCCCACTGATTGTGCTGTTATTGCTTTTGTACTGAAGTGTCGTACCGAAATTTTCCTTGTCATTTTCCCAATCTGATGATCTGCTAGCTTGGTTAAAGTGTTATCGAATAGTGATGGCCGTCTCGCTGTTAACCAATCATTAGCGCGCACAATCTTGTAAACCTTTATGCTGCCGGGATATTTCGTTGCATGTGCATACTGATGCACGTGCTTAGCAATAAAGGACACAGATGCAGCTGGCGGACACATTATTTTGTAATTACCGCAATTAACAATTAGACGTCGCATTCAGTACGCATTTAATTCGCTTTAAGACATACGTAAAATTAGCGCGTAGCATATAATCGGAAACGCTAGCGTTATTTTTTTATGAAATTAAGTCGTGAGCGAACCGAAGTCACCAGCAATTGATAATGTGGAAAACAATTTTATGGGTGCTGTAGTCAGTATATTGTACTGCACCGTCTCAGACGATTTCGATAGCTGGAAGGCAGCATGGCATCTGGGGCATACTACATAGTATTCCAAATACTTGTTATAATATTGTTCTAAGTTTTATTCGCAGTATGCACATAGGCTAATATCGCTCACAAAAACACGATCAAACGTTAAACTTAAACAGTAATAATACATGCCCATCGTATAATCGCTGATATCATGTAACTATATCGATACATCATACGTTTTCCCAATAATGGTTTGTATGATTTTATATCCCATAAGCCGATGTGCATTATTCTGAAATTTTCCATGCATGGAAATAAGTACGTAGTATAATACATACATAATCCAGCAATGAGCTTTGTACAATTTACGTTAAAAGCATCTGCACAAGCTTGTCCGCGGTAATTTCCTACGTAAAGGTACAGACAGCAAACATTTAGCGCGCAGTTTGCGCTATGTCGATTGCCATTACACTACGTCGTGAATTTTGACATTTGGCTGTCAGAAATTTCCGGACAATCCTTTACACGAACTCTACACCTTAACAACTTACTGCATGTGTCGTAATTAAGTATTACTCTGAAGTATGTACTAACAGGCGTTATATCGGCAATGCAGACCGGCAAGCAAGCAGTTCCGGTTGCTGGATATTCTTACTTACATGATTCTATTATTGCTGCGCTAGTGCGTGTTTCACAATTCACTAAGGTAGTGCGAATAATCGTGACCTTTATTGAAATAACCAATATTTCATACAGGTTGTACAGTGAACTATGTATTTAATTTATTACTAATACTGTATACTGTATAAGTCTGTATGATCCTTAAACTACTGTATTCCGAAAAATTATTTACATCCAATTAGCTTTAATACTGACATAAATAAATTGTCCAACAGCATAACCGTCGAAAAATCCGCTGCAGCATCAGTTGCTAACCGTACTCTTTCTGGAAGAAACCGTTAGTGATGGACGGTGGCAGTAATAACAGTAAACACCTAGCACAGCCGACAACGATCCCGAAGAACATACCGACACTGATTTGTTACAATAAGTTAGGCAGAAAACTGTCGTTTGCGTATGACTTTAAATAGCAAGCAGAAAAAAACTTGTGGAACACCGTTTATAATTCATTTAACAAATTTAAAGAAAAATGACTGATGCTAATAGCGCTAACTCGATGTTTGCTCGTTTTGTAATAATTATGTAACACAGTACGCACACAGTTCTAAAACAATTACTATCACTTGGATTATCGTTTAATGCATTTACAATCGAAATAATCAATTCAATTTGTTGGACATTATTTGAACTGGCAAAATCCGCTAGCCACAAGAACCAGGAGCTGCTGGAACAGAAAATAGCCCGAGCAAATACCTGACGATAAATTCACTGCATACGAAGGGAAAAAGCTGTAGTACCGGCTTAATTGCAGAAGGAACAGCACAGCGGCCGAGCACTGGTTTGCATGGCTGCAGTTTCGCAGTATATCCGTTCATTCGGTATAGGTGGCCATAGACCACTATGGAAGATATAGCCGTAAATCCGGGTCTATAACTGCAGCTACCATTGCGCAAAGCGATGCATATATGCCCGTTGAGCGGTAGTGCCGTGATCACTTCTCTACTTCACGGTGCACAGAGCGCTTTTTAACATTTTTACTGAATTTTACCTTTTTTTACCGAGCTTTCATCAATTGACTGTTTTTGTTATTGAGTGGAATGCCGGGTCGTCCATTCGCATTATTCCGGAACCTATTCCTGCAAGCTAAAGGTTTGTGGACCGGAACGGCCGCACCAGCGCCGCCTCCTCCGTTGCCAGTAGAAGACACTCCCGTCGCGACGCCACCGACACCAGAAGGAGATATTCCCGTTGGGACGCCAGCGGCACCAGAAGATGCTTTTATTGGGACGCCATCGGCGCCCCGCGTCCTGCATCCCCGGCGAGCGGTTGCGAAGACGACGGCCCCGGCAGCGCCCCGGACAAAACGCCTGCAAACGGTGAAGCGCTCAGTGAATCGTCAGCGAGGACGTCCAGTGGCGCCCCCTACGCTGGTGACCGCCGCCCCATCACCCGTTCCGCAGATGACGCGCCACCCAGCGCACTGCGACAAATGCCCGCGGAAATTTCACAGGCGCGGCGACGAAGTGGAACACCGGAAAGGTCACGAGAGCATCGATGCGACACTGCCGGCGTGTTCGCTGTGCGGCTTCCGCTGCCGTCCAGAGGGACTGCGCTCGCACTCGGCCATGCACCTCCGCGCCACTCCCACGTGACCGGCCACCAGATCCCGTGCTGATCCGGCTTTTACTGGATGGATAGGTAAAGCAGCGGAATTACTGTTACTTTACATTAAAGTCTGTTGAAATTTGGAGCTGATTGTTGGTAACTCGGTGATTTTATGTTCATTATGGATTTGATTGCTTTCCGTGCGCGTGTGTTGTTATTATTTTTGTACAGGAGAGCAGTACCGAGATTTCCCTTAGTTATTTTTTCGCAGCCTCATGATTGATTCCATTGGTTAAATTGTTATCAAACATCGAGTCGCCATGTATTAACCGATCATTAATGCGCACATTCGTGTTGACCTTTGTGCTCGCGGAATATTTCGTTGCATGTGCGTAATGATGCAAAGTGCTACAATAAAGGAACGCAGATACAGCTGGCGCGGAAACTGATCCGTAATTACCGCATTAATTTTAATAAACGGAAGTTGCATTTATTGCTTAATTTTTCACTGTATGGTATACGTAATATTGACGTGAAAAATGTAATCGGAAATGGAAGCAGTACTTTTGTGAAATTAGGTCGTGAGAGAACCGACGTCACCCACAAATGATAATGTCGAAAACAATCTTATTTTGTGTACTCGTATGCTGTATATCGTATCCGACAATTTAACAGCTGGAAGGCAGTTGGGCATGTGGAGCGTATTTTCAAATAATATATTATTCTAAGCGTCACTCACTATAAATCACGGTCAAGCGAAAAACTTACAAAAGTGGTAATGCATACCCAGCGTATACTTGCTGATATCATGTAAAAATCTATACATTATCTGTTTCATAAATTTTTGTAACAAACTTTTATATTCCATATTTATGCCGAAGTACGCTGTATGCCGAAATCGTCCATGCATGGAAATAAGTACAATACGTAATGCATAATCCTACAACGAGCAGTGCACACTTTAAAAGCATCTGTACACGAATTGTTAATTGATTTATAACTTAAATATTTATTGCAGGTGTCGTAATTAAGCATTGAACGGAAGTAGAGCCTAGCGCTCTACGGATCGGCAATGCAAACCGTTAATATATATAATTAGCCGTTGGAGGTGGCGTTAGTGGACGCGGCGGTCTGTTTGGTGCTGGACGTTATTCCGCTCATTCGCAGCAGTTCCGGTTGCTGGATCTTCTTACCCAGCACACTGGTCAGCTTTTCTTTACCTAGACGCAGCTGTGCGCGGTAATCCTTGCTGACAATTAAATATATCACCTAAAAAGTGCGCTTATAAAAACCTGGATTAAAAATTGATTCCTTAGAAAAAATTTTAGCTCTGAAATAATTTTATCAGACGTTTTGCGATGTAATTACAATGTATACCAGAGAAAACTAATTTTGCACGCAACCCAGAATTTTCTCGAATTCCCCTGCACTACGATTATTGCCAAAATTATCCGTCAGTATAGCCTACTTAGTAATTAGCAAAAGCAGTTTCATAATTTTAATTATAAGCCGCGTTGGCGCGTGCATTTCGCAGGAGGACTAAAAATTATTGTAATAATCGCGACTTTTCGTTGAAATGGTTAATATTTCATATAATAATTGAATTAATTATATATCGAACGTTATTAGTGATTTTATGCAATTAAACTGTTTTGAATACTAATTATTTACACGTAATTCGCTGTACCGGTATGAGCGCATTGCCCAGCAGCATAACCGCCCGGAAAATCAGCTGCAACATGGGCTGCGAGCTGTACTCTTTCTGGAAGAAACCATTCGCAATGGGCGGCGGCAGCAGACACCCGGCATAGCAGACAAAGACCCCGAAGAACATGCGGACACTGCGGTAGCGCTTCTGCGTACGCCGCGTGGCCTCTCCCATCCCCACCGGCGCCACGGGGACGCGGAAGTGGCGGTAGAGGACCACGGCGAAGATGGTCAGGTACAGCAGGAAAGTGGAGCTGACCGGCAGGCCGATGCCCAACATGACAAAGACCAGCGACCACGTGGCGTTGTAGTAGAAGACACCGCAAGATTCCCAGGAGGTGAAGCGGCGGAATTCGCCGCCGATGCCGAATTGCGGCAGCAGGGCGATGCCTAGACCGATCAGCCACGGAGCCACTACCATGGAGTACAGCCTGCATGGATGTAAAAAAATTATATGTGATGTTAACAATTTATAATTATTATTGCGTAAGGTGCTCCAAATGTATCTTATATAAATACACGCGTATTTGGTATGCTTAATAAACGCTTATGCTAAACGCTAAAACGCTAAAATAATTACAATTTTTACTGAAAAAGTCTTGTACTCTGTATCTCTACGATGCCTAAAGTGCGGCACATGAACTATGGCAAAACTGTAATGTTATAACATTAAACTGCATAATTATGCAATAATCCTGTGGTGCATTATCAATGAATTTCAATAGTTCGATCATTGCCAATCGTTCGTTAATGGATCTATCGCTATGAACACCGGAATTAGCCAGTTAATCCTTTTCATCCTGTAATTACGCAATAAATTGTTTAGGCTAATACTCTTGCAAATGAATATCAGATCTGCCATGGTTGCAAAATGAAAGTAAAACTAAAAAAGTATTTTTATAAGTTGATAAAACCGGTAAAACGCTTGGTATTAGGACAATAATACGTCCTTCTGTTGGCTTCTCTAATCGCAGAACATCAACGTGCAGGTTTATAAACGGAGCGTTGATACCCTATAGTTCGAATAGTCCTGAAGAGAGTATAATATATCGCAGAGTTTGTATAGATAGCAATTATTCAGGGATATTAGTGCCATTTTTCTATAACTCCCTTATAAAAAATACAATGCCCACCTGAATCCTCGCGTCCATTGCGGATACTTATGCGGCAAACACACGGCAATAAAGCGATTGACGGCGATCATCAGATCCGTCCAGTCGACACAGTGCACAATGATGAAGTAGAAGATAAAGGTGCGCCGACACAGCTCCTTATCTCCGGCCAGACTAAAGGGTACACCCTGATAGGACTGCACCAGCAGCGGCATCCCCACCCCGCACTGCAGCGCCACCTGCAGCAGCAGATTCAGAAACAGCGCGCTTGAACGGGTACGCAGTTTCTTGGACAGCGCAATCAGTAACAGAAGAAGGATGGACAGCGTGCATCCGGTGGTACTGAGAAAGGTCATGATACTGTACCACACCGTCACCTCCAGACGGAAACGATGGTATACCGGCGGTGTGGAATTGCTAACGTTCATGACCTTCGCAAATTACTAGTTATATAATTCTATAATATTATAGAAAACTAGGCACGCAACAGACGTGATCTTTAATAGGCAGGACAACCGAAGTACCACCCGATCATAGGGTTTTGCAAATGGATGCATGCAACGGATTTCCAGGTCGTTAAAATATGGTTATTAATGCGATGCTGTATGAAATATAGGTGCAGTACAGCACATGATACATAGTATGGTTATAGAAGCCCCGTAATTTACCGGCGGCATTTCGACCTACTATGAGTCTCGCGGGAATCGCCAACGGGATTCACGGAGATGCTTATGGTGATCAGGTTAATTAAACACGGGATTACGCGGCGACCTTCATGTCGAAAAAAACCGCCATTCACGGTTTTGTTGATATTTTGACGTGAACTACTTCGGAGTAGATCAGCTTGATTATGCCTGGATAAGTGTCACGGAAAAGAGGAGCATGGTATCCCGTGGGGAAATATTCATAGTAAAACCGTTGTATCGGGTTTATATAGCTGATTATCCAAAAGATGTTTCGCACGATTTCCCGTGTTGCTTCTCGATTTCATCAATTAGCTATATATGTCATCGATTTCAAGAACACCATGATATTCTCTAGATTTGGGAAGGCTGGTAATTATTGGAAAACATACATCCTGCACACAGATTTCTTACGTACGCGCCGGCGAAAGCTCTGCGCGCCCATTAGGTGTAATAAATACAACAATACAATTCAAATTTTGAAATATTCAGAAGACATTCAGGTACCTACGTATATCTACAAGAATAGAAACAGGAACGCGGCAAGAACAGGTCAATTGTATCTGACCGGCGCCGAGAATAACATCTTATAATTAGAAGGCGTTCTTCTCATTCCTTTCGCAATAAAGTTGTCCTTTCGCAACAAAGTTGAAAAACGTACAGCAAATCAGATTAAAACGATGTTTTGATATCTGTAGAGTAATACATGTTCTATTAGTCTTAACATTTGTACATCTTACTCTAAATTAAATTGTTAGATTATTGACTTTCTTGCGCTCTGCCGATGAGGCTAATGGTAAAGTAGTTTCTGTATTATGTAAAATGTGAAGATCTTCGAGCTCGCATTATACGCGATAAATACATTGTAATTTGTCATGTAAAAATTATGTAAATTTGTAGTTTTAATTTCGACTTTTCCCCTGCTTTATGTTGATTTAGACTGCTGCTTAAATACTGACTGCTAAATCAGTCAAGCTACATTACTGGCTCTAAGTACATACCTGTAAATTTGACTAACTTTAGTGTTATCTACTGGTACCCTGCGTCAGGTTGGAGTTCCCATGATAGATCGTCATCCTAGGCAGCAGAGTGATAGATAGTATACTGTAGTATCTACCTGTTGTCTAAAGAAATACCTATATTAAAGAAAATAACGGTGCATTCGTATTTGTGCGGTCATGTACCGCTTTTCATTCTCTGTACGCCATAGAGTAGATGTTGTACATCTTTCATTGCTTTCTTCAGTGCTTGAATGAAAAATTTTTTTGTGCTATAAGATGGCGCTTTCTATCGAGCCGGTTTGCGTTTTGATTTTTTTTTAAAATTGCATTATGTAATAAGTTTCTTTAGAAAAAATGTCAATTCCTGTGTAAAAACAACAGTATAATAGCTAGTAATAACTAACGTAGGAAGTTATGCACAAAAGTTTTCGTTGTAACATGAATTGAACGGAACTGAATGAAGTACAGCGGCGCTACGGTTTCCTGCACTGTTCCGCCCCATTACCGACCACCACGACCCACCCGGTCAAAGTGTACGGCCCATCGGCAACGGTTTCCTTTAATAATATTGCACTGTATTTTGCAACATTTATTCAATCTGCACCGTCTTGACTCTTGACTCATCGTACGAGTACATGTCGCCGCACCACACCATATTAGGAAAGTGCAGAGAGCAAAGTGCGCGGTACATGTTACACTTGCCAAGTGTATCACTTGGCTGTTGTACACACGGCTACAACCAACGCCGCGGCATACACTCATAATATTATTAATCTCTGCCGCCGGAAACGCTACATAACGCCGGCTTCCATTAAATTTTAAGATGCGTTTCTTGCAGGTATCGCCAGACACATTTTCCGTGCCGTGTATATATGCGAGTGTGTGTGGTGCACGTCGGCGTAACGGTGCTTTCCCACAGTAATTCGTTTGTTTGCTCTAATTATGCGACGCCGATTGAATCAGACTGCGATACTGTCACTGAAAAACACAATGATGATTAATAAACAAAGTCGGAATAAATTTAACCGGCATGATTCATTCGGTTCAGCAGTTTTGTGAATTTGCTTCAATACTGATAAAAGCAAAAAAGGACATTACGGCAAAAATATCAAATTTTTTACCTTAAATATTGTTGTTATTTAAATACTATTATTTATGTTATTATAAATTTTGAATACTTCTTCATTTGGAAAATATCTGCAAATACAAGTATTATGAATATTTCCTCATTTAATACTCGAAAGAATGCGAAAGTTTCGAAAGAGTAGCAAGGAAATATGAAAAAGCTGTTTTTATTACGGAGAAAATTGCTGTTTTTTCTCTAAGGCGCGTGACCTTTGCGGTAACCTCTGGCCTCCGCCACACTCTTGGAGACGCGGGGCGCCACTGCGCTCACTTGATTCCACTTTACAGTCCGTGCATAATTTTTCCATTGAGCAACTGTTAGACATTTGTTTCAGCAGCAATAAATGTATCTCCAAGTGGTCCGGACCCACCGCAAGAGAGCGCAATACGAAAATCCGCCTCCGCTGGCTCCACGCTCACGCAGCGCGCCGGGGCCGGTTGAGCGCGGTGATTTTTGTTGAGGTAAACACTAAGTGGCGCACTCCATCTCAATGGGCCCCAAGAGTCACTGCCAAATGGCCGGAAATGCGCCGCTACAACTGTATGCGCCGATGCCGGTGCGCCGGTTTTTCGATGAGTTCGGGCTAAACAAAATGGTGCCGCGGTACCACGTCTAAGTGCGCACTTTTGCGATCGATACAACTGCAAAATTTCTAATAAACCGAATTGCAGTTTTTTTAGAAACCCCTAAGCGTTGAAAACGGCCGGCAATTTGTAGCTTACAGAAAAAAAATACCTCTAGAATAAAATATAGAAAGAATAAAATATAAAGACATGTACAGAATAAAACATAAAAAATTGTTATAGAAAAGTGGTAAAATATGAAATAAAAAGTTTAATTTAAAAAAAGAATTGATTTGAAAAAAGTGCAATCGAACCAAAAAATATCACCAATTTGCAAAAATAAAAATTCAGATAACGAATTTTAAAATAAAAATACAAAAATCGTCTTCGGGTTCAAATTTCGTGTTCATAACATACGCAGTAAATTGTGGTTCAGTCGACTATCGATTGCATAAATTATTTAGCTTTTAATACCGGGAAATTCGTTAAAAAATTAGAAGGCACTTTCCCAGCACGTAAATATCAAGGATGATCTTAAAAAAGATGCGCGTTAACGAAGCAGCGAAAATAGAAATCGCAGCGAAGGTGAAAGTTGTTAGCGTACAGATCAGCGCGGCGGCAACAGTGGCCTACTTCCAACTGTGTTTGCTTGTTGACCAAAAAACCGTTCTCTGGCAATCTGTTGAGCCGTAGTGGATGAATGATTGATTAGCGTTATTCCAGCGACAGGCCGGCTGTCAGAAGGCTGCTGCCGTTAGTCACTGCGCCGGCTGCCGCTGTTGCTCCCGTACCGCTGAAATATGCCGGCTGCACATGCTTTTTTCGCATATATATGCATATCGGAAAACAGATCAGGGAAGTGGCGCGTTTACCATCGGTCAACACTGGCCAGTCATCCGCTCACTCGGCGCTGGACAGTCCAAACGGAAGTTGCGCGCCGGTTAAATGGCTTAATCAAATACGAGCCATATTTACCGGGTTTTCAAAAAAATTCTGCGGCCGATTGTATATGTATTTGGATTAAGCGGATTTTTTCCTGTGCTAAGGCAAATAATTGGACAATTGTGTCAATAATTTTTTTCAGCATGGATTTGTTATACGATGAATAAAAATTGAGTTGAATCCACAAAGGAAAAACAGATGCGGTCAAAACGGCCGTTAAAAGATGTCCGGGGGTTTTCATCGCTTTGTAAAACGTCCAGAAAAACGTTCCATGAGTTTTCATCGGTTAGCGTATTTTTCTAAAAAATCCAGAAAATACCGGGTGAAATTGTGAAACCAGCGAGCAGCGTTGTTGATGTGTGAAAAATGCGTAAAACTGGCTGCGTTGATGCCTGGTGGTTTTCAGTGCTGATTAGGAAACATTTCCATTCGCAGTCGGAAAAAGCAGGCAGCTCCGCGCGGCGTTGTGTGGCGAGTTTGTCAGAGCTAATTATAAGTTATTTTGGCGCTTAACTGGTCAGCCTGTGCTAACGCGTCAAGAATTGCATATTATATAGATGCGGCCGGCAAAAATGACCAGAGCAGTTAGTAGTGCATTTGCCCGCACTGACACCGCGGTTAAACGTTGAAGGGTGAGAACGAGAGAATCGTAACACACCGCGACGCCTAAATAATTTGTACTAACCATCAAACATTTCCACGCCGGTTTAAAGCAAATTGCTTGTTCAACCCCAAAAATATCCATGTCGGTATGGATTACAAATGGCCTGTGAATTCTTGTGATAACACTTCAAAAACGCGAAAAACGCGCTTTCCCAATCAATCATGTACGGTTTTAACCAATGCTGCAATTAATCGCGCCCCGAAAAACAAAAGCCATTTTTTCGTTTATTCTGTTCGAGTTTCAGTACTTTTAAAATAAAAAAATTTAACTTAACCCGCCTTCTTTTAAATAACAAAAAAAAATAAATTTAAATTCTGACGTGTTCGCTGTTAAAGAATGCGAAAGATAAGAAACTCAAGAAATATAAAAAAACCTATTGACCCAGTGAAGCTTTTCCACGGATTACGCAACCCCTAAACATAAATACGTTGGTGGGAATGCCCGTTATAGGCGGAGGTCAACCGCCTTATTAGCACCGCACAACCAGTAACCACCACGCCGTGGCGCGCTGTTGTCCCTCCGAATCAGTGCAGCGCGGCGTGAAATTAATATTTGATTGTGCCGGTGCGAGTGATCCTGTTCGATTGGGTAATGGTGCGCGACCTGCGCCACATGGGCCCACTTTATATTATACACATCGATGCCTTGTACCGGGTATTCAAGGCCACTGGCTGAATGGTGCTACTACACCCGGGGGCGCGTTAGGAGTGGACAAACATCCCGACGCATATACATGCCAACCGCCCGGTTAGTGAGTGAATATATTCGGTAAACCGTGTTGCCGAAGTACTTGATTAGCAAGAGCTGCGGTTTTTGTGCAAAGTACGGGTCAAGTTTCGGTATAAATTGCGCGAAAGTTAAACTCTGAGGCTCTTAGTTCAATTTTCTTAGTTTTCTTAGACTATTTTTTAAAATAAGTTACTCTTTAACAGCTTAATTTAAAATATAAAAATTTATTTCAAAATGTGATAAAAAATCTTAATGACAAACAAACAGACTAAAAAAAAGCGGAAAACCGGCTAGGCAAAAACATATCGCTTGTGTAAAGTAGCCAAAAATGTTTCATACAAGGTTTTTCAATTTTAAAAACCTTGGCAGCTACGAAAAATCTAAATTGAAAGTAATGGAGTATAATGTATCAGTTTCCGGCGAGATTTCGCTAACCAACAAGTTGCCGCAGCTGTACAACGCAGAGTGCACACGTACGACTCACCTGCGCGCACTTGTACGTACAGCTCCACTCTGATTCATCCGCGCAGCGCAGCGTACAACCGTCGCCAGCGGAATCGCAGCCCAGGTAAAATCGCCACCGTCTACGAGAGTGGAAAAATATGTAACTGTAGCCACCATAATATTCTTACACACTCATCATCATACCGCTCGTTCAAGGCGCATATTCCCGCTAATATCCATTTTGTCCCATTTAATCAGCGTACACTGTACAGTGCAGCGGCCACACATCTGGCGCTGGATGTTTGTTTTTCCGCTCAGCTGATTCCTGTCATGCCAGCTTGAATCCTGCACTGTGTAGGCATATATACTCGCATCCGAATCTGCGTGTTATGTGGATGGTGGATATTCTTTTTTAAGCGATCTGTATTATAGGCGCTTGCGCGTTCGCGGTTGCCGCATCTATATTCGCAGCAGCTTATTTATTTCCAGCGCGCGCTGAATCAGAGACTACTGCGGCGTGATTAAAAAGAAAACATCCCATCCGCGGCCGGGGCAATATTGTTCAAATCTCTTCTGTCCACAACACACAATAATGTCATCACGCTGCACCTTCCTACCTGACTAATCGCCACGCTAAATTTAAGTTGCCGTTTTTTTTCTCCTAGCGATCGCTTGTTTTATTCATCGCGCATCGCTCTGTTTAATTTATTTGGAGGTGACTGTTTTTTTCCGTCGCGGTGATATGTGTGCCATTTGTTGCCGGATTAGATAGAAACCCGTGATCACAATTTATATTGCCAAAAAATGCGTAAAAGAAGGGACAGGGAGGTGCCGGTGTGCTGCGACGTGCCAGTTATCCAGAGGATTACGATGGATTATAGCTGTTGTGTGTATTTTGTACTGCTCTGTGCTTTCCTCATCCCCACCGCAACAGGTGAGAGAAAAATATGCCGGAAATTTTTCACTACCGTAGTTCAAGCTTTTGCTCAGTTTAATCGCTGTGAGAATTACAAAGTGGACAGTGCGCGTGGGATGCAGATTAAATTCCCGTGGTCACGGTTTTTCCGCCGCAGTGGTCAGACGGCCAGCAGCACACAATGAACCGTTGAACTTTTGGCAAAATGATTAATACCGGTTCTTACATGGACTTTTATGGCCCGAAATAAAAATGCTGCATGCGCCGTATGTCTGCGGCTGCAGTAGTGCGCGCAACAATAATAACAAACATGTATAAATGGCCCCTCTTTCACATTTGCTGCACAGCAGTATGTCATCGCAACCGACTATTGATATCCAGTGTATAAAATACCCGAAACGATACTGTTTATTTTCCGTGCGCCTCTGTGTACGTCGGACAGCAGCGACGAAACCGGTGCCGAAAAAATCATAACATATTTTTTGGAATTTTTTTCAAAAAAACGAATAATCGAATGCTGAAATTTCTCGCTGGAAAGAAGTAATTACTATAATTATTTGCTTACAAGAAGGTATTTTCTTAATTATGTAGCTTGCATTTTTAATAGACTTTTTATTTAGTAGAAACGTGACGGTTTCTTTTGCCGATACGATTTAGATGCACTGCAAATTGACAGTTTATTACCGCCTCTAACCGGCATTTTTGCCAGGGATGTTCTGATTGTTTTCCTAATGTTTTTCTTCCGACAATGCCACTTATGATTGAGTGTAGTTTAGCGGCGCGCGAGATTTCTTCTGCACACTAGGGACAGTTTATCTGACAGTTGGCTCCATTGTCACAGGAGACAATCAGCCACTGAATAGGGCCTGCTTGAAGAATTAATGATACCCCTCCATTCGATACCGGCAGATTTAATAGCCGGCTCGCTGGTGACCTACCTAGACTGGACGTTAATTGAGGCCCGTCACTTTCTCTTGAATACGTTCTTCACCACAGTAGAGACCGAGGGCCACATGTATACTTAACCCCGGAACACTGGATACACCGCTCTGCACTCTGATCCATTCATTGGGCACGCTGTGCACTTGGAGTGGGGAGATGGAGTGTTTGTTGTTGTATCCATCCGCACCGCTACAACCTCTGCGCCGAGCGCCTTTTGACCTTCTCGCGTCGGGCTTTTGCCAGCCACGGCGGAGTAAACATGCGCCGCGCAGTATTTCACCTGTCAGGAAATGCTGTCCTGATAACGGTCAAATATTTTCCATTCCTCTTTGCAGAAATGTTTAAGAGAATAGAGGTGCCATAATCTTTTGACACACCGAATTGCCGGCCTGTCATAGAAGAGAATTTTAAGTGGGACAGGTATTTTGCAAATAACTCTGTTTCCCCAAATTCTTCTCGGCTTTCGGATGTGTTTGCATAATGCGGAATTAATTCAACGACGTTTACTAATTTCGCGTTGGATTAAAATGAGAATACGTGGGTGGGTATTCCTAATTTCCATCATCTGTTTTTAATGGTTTTTGCTTAATTCGATGACAGTTGTAAACAGCTGGAGCAGAAATAGTTTGCTTTTTAAATTTCATATTTTTCTTTCGGGAAGTTTTCGTCGGATACAATTTTTGGCGCAAGGCAGTAACAGAAAAAATTTAGTACTGATGAATTTTTTGAAGCGGTCCTTTTGGCGGACTTTCGAGTTTTCGGCTAGCGAGATCAGGATTATGGCCTCCATTTTTGATCGCTGTGTAAATTTTTTGGAATATTTCTTGAAATTTTTCTTGACACGCGGATTAACGAGGCAGTCAAATTCTATGTTTTTTCGCATTAGTATATCCACAGCCATGTCATTCTCCCGCGCAACTTTGATCTGCCAGTGCACCAGCACAGGCAGCCCCCGCGCGCGCATTTCCGCCGGCCAGCGTCTCGCGTCCGGCGGATTATCTTTCAGCGCGAGACGGACGTCGATCGGCGCGGATACGGGAAGAAATTTTTATCTGTCTCGTAAAGTGAGATGAACGGGCTCTGCTGGCTTATAAGTTGATCCTTCCCGCGCGACGATGATTTCTGTTGTCATTTGTCCACACAGACACGCATCGGTGTGCCGCAAAACCTAAAAATACCCCACCTCTGCCGCGTTCCCCAAATACACATGTAACATTTGCGATCCAGCGCGCTGCGGCTGGTGATTTCCATGCAGGGTGATACGGAGCAAATGACGACGTCTGTTGCGGTTTTGTCCACTGTTGCACATCGACAAAATGCCCATAATTCATTAGTGCTCTGATTGCGCTGCAGCACCAAACCGCGGTGGCGCGCCGAACTGGCCAAAACAGGGATTTATTTTCGGCCGTGTTTATGTTGTGTTAACTCAGCGTCTGTACACGTGATGCCGGGTTCTTTTTTTACACGAACGACGCGATTACATGCTGCGCAAACACAACAAGCACGGTGCTGTCGCGATGCCGACGTGGCCATTTATGGATCAGGGACTGCTTGTAAAGAGGGTCACGTTCCGGATTAATTGGACAGTCCACCACCGACAACGTGTCAAATTACGCAACCGGGCAAACTATGCACCGGCGTGTCGAGCATTCCTCGGGAGGTTATTTGATGGACGGTAGACAGTCGTGACAGGAGAATTTGTTCCTGTTATAAAGAACTGATTTAGTAAAAAAGCGACGCAAGTAGTGGTATTTCAACGCGCAATGGTTTTCCCCTGATTCTCGGTGTACCACAGAGTTTAAGTGTTTGCCGAGGGATTTTGCAGTAATTTAGCGAAGTGATTGTTGGTGGGCCGATTACACTTGGCACTTTATACGACGTCCGACATAAAACACGGACATAAAAATATATTGTTGAAACGATTATTTGCCGGCCAGATTACTTGTCGGCTTTTCTTCAATTTATTTCGGCTACCGAGTGGGGCCTTTTAGTCATTTAACGCAGTCGGTCTATTGAGCAACGCGCAGGCATATATTTCACTCGGAACCGGTTGCACTGAGGCTGTGATTGATCAGATTGCGCGTTTTGTGTGTTCCCGTTGGCCACAAAAATGAATAAGTAATCAAAAGGAAAGTGAGCCGGTAGTTTTATAAAGTAGCGCTCTTCGCTCAACGACAAAACGCTGGGCAAACACACTCGCCAACTCATTCCAAAGCTTTACAATGATGCTCATTCTGTGCGATCTCGATTGCGGGATGGAAAAAATGTCAAGAATTACCTTTTCAACTGCGCAGCACAGTGCACACAGGATTGTACGTATTCAGGTAGAATGAGTGGTGCACCGCAAGGCTGCTCACAGTGACTCACAGTCTCACACCGTGCTGAGTGACCACAAATAGCCGAGACGTACCGAGTGGCCAGCCACAGTGCAGAGAGAGAGCTGGTAGAAGAGAGCGACAGAGAAGAATGCCCGTTGGTCAGTCAGAGCGCAGAGAGAGGATGACGGCTACAGAGAGAAAGGCCCGTATGTACACTAATCGCTCAATCGGCGAGTTAATCCGATTGCTTATTATCGCGGAAAGTGATCTGCCCGGTAAACAATAGCTGGCACCGAATGACCTCTTCACTCCTTTGTCCGGCGGGCAAAATGGGGAATGAACTGCCGGAGCACGCTGACAATGGCGTGATGGATTTATTGGCCGTTTTGCTATAATTAACTTTCCCGTAATGAGCTGCTCCATTTGGCTACTGGTCTGCGTACAGCGCCACGATGCCTTGCGCCGCGTTTCGCTGACGCTCATGAATCATCCGTGTTTTGCAATTCAGAAAAACCGTAATTGTTTGTTGCGTCAATATTTGAATGGCGGGGCCCATTTAGCCTCCATGATTAACGAGTGATTAAGACGTGCAGTGTCGCCGTTTAAAAACACACCCGCCGGTAATGTGCATTCCCAATTTAGCGCCGGGGCGCGAGCGCATCAGAATTGCTGATGAGCAATTGTTGCGCGCCGGTTTAAATGGTTATTTACAGAGACAAACAGTCCAGGCACCGGCGCGTTGCACGTTCTGACATGTTTATGGGTCTGTGTGTGTGTCTGTGTGAATTGTGGGTGTGTGAAAGATGATCCTTTGATGGGGGCTAATTATGCACCGTGCAGATGCGGATGGCACGGCATGCTGCCAGCGGGAGGTGGTCAGGGGAGGAAACGGGAAATTTGTCATGACGCGGCCGAAAGGCAACAGGGCGGGCGCACCGGGACTCCGGTCCGGCTTCACCTGCTCGCATTGCAAAGTTTTAAGAACCATAAAAATCTTTGCATTTCTCGGGCTGCCTGAAACCGAACCACAAAAATAAACTGACAAAATTTAAATGTGGTCACAACAAAAATTTATAAAATATCGTGAGCGCTTCCCACGGACGGTTGGTCAGAGGTCTGCAGCTTATTTTTCTGTCTTTGCTATGTTTTTCGTTGAATTTATTCGGAATTTAATTACCTTTTGGTCGAAATTTGTTTTTAGCCGATCGAGTGTTGAGCTAGTGATTTGTTTTCTACTTCATTGGGTCTTTTATTGACAAATTTTAGCAGTGTTTTTTACTGTTAATAATAGGCCATTTGGGCAATTGCGCGAGTGGTAGCCGGCAATTTCGGTAGAATTTATTAGGGTAGCGTAAAATGGTTCGATTTGTTATGGTGTTAGTAAAAGCTGTAAAGCGCCATTATGTGGGCTCTTGCGCCGTCGTGAGTTTGCTCAACAAAATGCGCAATTTGTCCATCTGAACGCCTTCCGTAACTGGTTCACTTGCCACATTCTCCGCTACTGACAGCATATCGCGAGAAATGTGCCGTGGAAAACAGGTGAAACGAGTTGGCGGTTTTCTTCTCTCGGCAAGCAGCGGCAGGAAAGGACCGTACGGGGCTATTTTGTCAGACGCGCGATAATCACCGCGCGCGGTATTAGAATGGTACTGGTCAGGCGGGAATTATTCGCCCATGAATCAGTTGTGTTGTCCGTGCGCCTCGCTGAACATTCTTAATGCACGGAAGCTGTCTGATTTATTATTCATGTTCTTTTTGCTAGCTAAGGAGTATTCGGAAAGTTTCGGCTTTTATGCTGACATCACGTTAAAAATGCATTTATCAAAATAAAGTACCACGTTGTATAAAAATAATAAATTAAATACAAGATTATTATTACAAAAACATTGGCAAGGTAGAGAAAAGCATGAATCATGTTGACTAAGAAAAATTCTTTGTTAAAAAATTAGAATTATTTTATAAAGAAAATATTTCTAAAAATATTTTATATTATATATACTGTAAGTGGCTTATATACATTTTTATATATGCTCACAAAAGGTCTTTTTCATTTACAGTAATTTTTTTAAAAATAATATTTAGAAAAGAAGTGTGGAGACGTTTGGCACAAGTGTTTTTGACAAGAGTTTCGCTAAGTATTTTTATTGACGCAAGAAAATCTGTAACTGACAGAACAACATTCGTGGTTGCGCAATGCGGCGTTGGAATGGACGATTTCGTCCATTCGGCATTCCGACTGCCGGCACCCGGCTAATTAAATGACGGGCCGGCCTGAATCAGGCGGCGGAAAAATCTCTCCACTTTGCACACTACTCGTGCAGCGCTGAAGATCTGTCGTCAAAAAACACTTAATTGGCTGTTATGCCACGGCACTCTGTAATCAACTGGCTATAAGTAATGATCATCGTCAGATCGGTTAATCGCCGGGAAAAATCAACAAGCTGTGACGATGAAGCATAATTCACGAATCACAGCTGTTGAGAATTCCGAGTAGTGCTTTTACTGCAGTAAATACTGTTTTGGGCGGGTAAGCGGATTGATTTGAGCGAGTAGGGTGTTCGCCATCGAGGGGCAGCTACGTAATGTACATAATAAATGTACCTTTTATGAACGAAAAAATGCAAAATAATTTGAATGGATAAACGTAAATTTCTAAAGATAATTGTTAATGTTTAGACCAGTTCGAAAATGCGAGAACGTAAACATAAAAATTTTAAAATTTATTTTACACAATTTTCTTTAACTATATGGTCATTGCCAAAATATTGATTTAGTTTTTGGTACGCAAATTAAAAAAAAATTCGAAATACATTTATTTTCATGCTGCATTTTTTTTATTAATTTTCCTCAATGATTTTTGGGATCTTTTTCGCTGTGATTTATAGCGGTGTTAATTAAGGTCTTCTCGCGCCGTCTTAACAATAGCGCGTATTTGAGCAGAGTGGCCGGTGTCGGTGACAATTGAGAGACTGTCACACGGGGTTCCCGGCAGCCATATGTTGGCGAAAAATCTCAATTACAAGTCGTGTATTTTAAACGGTTACGCATTGTCTTTGGCAGTCAGTCGGGTTGTGAATCTTGTGATACATGTCGCTGGCTGCATGGCGCTAATATTAATGGTGCGAATTGTCCATTACAAATGTCACGGACTTAATCAAATGCGCCTGCTGACCTCGCCGCTGATTGACCATTCGCGGTGTGTGCCGATCACACAGCAACGCTTTCTGTTTTAATTATTCATCGACATAGTTTTAATTTATGTCCACCTCCTCGCGACATGAATTCCGTACAGAGAAAAACGCAATTTCCCTCGGCTGCTGTAAAATGCGCGAAATGTAGCACCGGAAACGCCGGTTGTCTTATCTATGTGGTCCATCGGTTTCTACAAAGATGTATTGCGTCGTAAATAATGTTTTACGCGCATGTTTGTACGAAATATTAGTACGAACAAGCAAATATTAGTTCCGTCAAAAAATTAAAGTACGAATTCCGCTGGCATTCGAAAAACAAAAAAAAAAGCAGTAATGATAAATAGCCGATTTTACGTGCACCGACAGGGTCTTCTATGATTCATTCATTTCGGTGTTTTTGGTTTTCGTTTTATGAAAAATGAGGGCGCAAGACAATAAAGAGCGAAAGACATTAAAAAATTAGTATTCCACTTAAGCCTCTTTTATAGTCGTACATTATTTTAATTTTGTTTTTTTTTTCAGGTGATTGTATGTACAAAGGCCAAAGGATACGGGTAAGTGACCTAAATCAACGCAAAATATTTACTATTTAAATTAAAATTTAAAAGGTTTATAAATATAAATTTTTTAATATTTCTGGGATAGTTTGATCCAAGGCAGTTTCGATTTGCGCTATAAAGAACAATTTTGAATAATTCACTCAAAATTACTCCGTTAGAAAGTGAATGACAGGCAGCACGCAAAAGGTCACGTTTTCAGGTGAATGAGTGTTGATTGTTTGTTGGTATTTGTGTTGGTGACGATGATGTATCCGAAATGTGTCAAGCTGGCCTATTGATGGCGGATAATTGAGCCGAGTGGCGGGCATTGTTCGGGGTTTTATGTGCGTTTATCGAGGCGATTGTTGGGTTGCATAAAAGCCGATTATGTCAGTGAAAGAGGCAGCTATATATCGTTTCGATTATGATGAGAAATGAAAAATTCCTCCGTATACGAATGCGCGATTGTCAGGGGCGTTTGATGGATGCTGCACTAATACCGGCTACTTACATATCAATACGCAGTACACCAAATACATACTTTGGCCACTCGACGCGTGCGCTCACCCAACGCCGGCAGTGCAGTGGAAAATTATTCTTTTCTTAATGGTCAACAAGAAAAAGCTAGTATAGCACTTTGGGCTGCGGCCATTTGGGCCATTTCTTGCTGATCATTTTTCTCTTAACGGCCAATAAATTCTTGCCTTCCCGATAATAAATTTGGCTTTTAAGAATGCTACTGTGCACATTTTTCATGATGAATGAAATTTCTAATGTGTTGAGATCGCATGTGCCAGTTTCGAAATTTCTGCTAATTCGCTTCAGTTACAGAAAATTCGTTTACAATTTTAGAGAAAATACCGAATTTTTGTAATGCATAGACGACGTAAAATTTCTTGCTGTGTGGGTGTATTACTAATATAAAAATTAAAAATGCATACAGCATACATGTACATGTGTTTTCGTTATTATTAATCGTAAATGCACCAACGAAATCTTGAAATTTTGTAGTACCTGTTGCGCTGAATTTTGGCAAATGTTTTTATACACAATCTTGGTTGTATTCTGTTGCAAAACTTCTTTTTAAAAAAAATGAAAGAAGAAAAGAACAGAAAATATTTGTTCAAGCAATATAAAAAGTGCCAACCTATTAAAAATTTTATTTAAAAAAATTTATGTGAAGAATGAATTACGATTACTTTAGTTATTAAAAAATGTCTTTTTTTAAAAATGTTAAAAAAACTATAGATGTTTTATATCTGATGTATTTGAGGAAGATATGGGTTGGAATGCGTTCGGCACGTCTGTTTATGCGCCATAAACAGTGATAATCCGTGGCCATTTCGTAATATTTAGCTTTCAATAAAGATAAATGGCCGATAATACATCAGTGCAGGTTCACTGGAAACGAGAACAGTCGTTTACATAAAAAGCCCATTTACAAGCGGATAATAAAATGTCCACACCGGCGCACATGCGCGCGTACAGAAACTGTATCTGTATGTGTCGTAAAACGGGATTAGATTTTTAACGGTTAGAACTTTTAATTAACCGGCAGCTGCTGGTCGAGCCGTGTTTACTCAACACGGCTTTATGTCAGTACTTGGGCTCAATCCGCCGGAACAGCCGCGCGCTGACGGCACAATAACGCCCCGTGATGCCAAATCTGTCCTGTTTTATTTTGATAAACAGTCTTTTCAGCGGGACTGACAGAATATAACCGGTCACGCTGTCCAGGATAATTTATTTAATTTCGAAGCCTGAATGACCCACAATCTACCGGGACGCTTTATTACCGGATTTAGAGATATATCGCTAAAATTTTTAATATTTAAAATATGTCATAAAGATGAGCAACAAAATTTAAAAATAATTTATAAACAAATAAATAAAAATAGCCGGAACAGTAATTTATAAGTTCGTAGCCGTGATTGTATTTACTTTCCAGTTTTCTTGTAATAAATTATGTTCATAAATATTTTTTATTTATTTTAAACTTACTTGTACCGTGTTTATTTTTATTTTTGCGATGTTGTAGTAATTCATAATTTATTCATAATTTATTTTTCATTTATTTTTCAAATTTTATTTTTGCAAATTCTTTTATATTACTTTGTTAAAAATCTGCCAAATTAAATATAAAAAATAATTTTTCGAGAGTGACCTTAGCGTATCATGTAGCCGGCACTGTTGTTGCGGGAAAAACAAGTTGCGCCATGGTCCATTAGTCGTATAGTGCCGGCCTGGTCCGTGTTGGACCGGTACAGCAGCGACACCCTTGAAGGTGCATTAATAATTGTTCATTAAATATTTCTGCCGGCGTGGCACTACTACCCCGGCTACACTGGTCAGCGGCGTGCTGGGCGCTTGATGAATGACATCGAGCCACACCGGTTGATCGATGGATTACACGTTTATCCAGTGTTCGTAGCCATCGGAAGGCTCGACCGTAACAAAAACGCTACAAAACTGGTGTCAACTAGAAGAAATCATCGAAAATTATACCGGCATTCCTGCAACTAAAAACATCCATCATTCTCCGTCAGGGTTGCGTGTACATATAGCTTGTTCCAGTTTCGTGATTTTCGTTTACTGCTACAGTCACCGTTTACGCTCCAGCTATTTAAATAAACAGTAAAATATTCAGATTTTTTTAACATTCAAATATGGTTCTTAACCATTATAGTTATAAAAAAACTGATTACGTCACATATTTTAGATAAAGATGCCTGAATTTATCTGAAAATTTTTCACCTGTAACTGGGAACAGACACGCTAGTTTTATATTTGCTTGCCGAACTTGCAGCCAGTTAACTACAGTTTCTCAGGAAATTTTTGTCTTCGGTATAGATTGATCCAGTTTATCTTGTTTCGTTAACTAAGTATTGTCCGTTCGGTACCGTTTTTTTATTACCAGTAACCTTTGTGTTTATAGTCCGAGACGGTGCTATCGATAGACGACTGTACGGTGTGCGTCTGCCCGGCGGCGAAGCTCAAACAGGAAGTGAAATGCACGGCCCTGGGAGAATGCGTCCGCCAGAGTTTCCTCCCCGACGGCATGGACCCGCGCCACACCACCGGCGAGATGCAGGCCGACCAGGGCCCCTTCACCTTCAACTTCCTCCCCTCGCGCTCCGACTCCGTCAACATCCCCATGGTCCGCGAGACCGGCATAACGGTAAAGGTCACCGACAGTGTTTCACCAATTCGAGAAAGTGTTTAGTAGTTTTCGGGTGTAGGTTACCCAAGATGAAAAGGTCACCCTCTCACCGGCGGACTTTTTGCTGCGCGGTGCCAACGTGGCCGAGCGGAAGATTCTCTTCAAGATCACGGAGCCCTTGCCCGAGGGCCAGGGCAAACTGGAGCGGACGGACCGTCTCGGGGAGACGGTGCAGACGTTCACGCTGGATGATCTCAATGCCAAGCGCATCACCTACACGGCGCCCATGGAGAAGGCCATCGGGACGATTATGGATGCCAATGGGGTCATCTTCAGCTTCGCCTTTCAAGGTAAATAGTCCCCAGTTCACGATACATACATCTTCCATCGAGCTGTGGTAATATTCGGATGATCACCATTTTCGGTTAAATCTTTTATTCGGTTCAATTATTTCGTTAATTTTACAAAATTATCAATATTAGACTATATATTTTTTATAGTACTATATTTTATATTTTATTATATTTATTTTTTTTAATTATTTCACGAGTATTGCCAGCTCACAACATTTCGAGATAGCACTCCTTATGATGAGTATCAATGACGGAAAATTTGTTGTCCACAAAACTTAATCAAATTCGTCTGGTTACTGTGTCGCGCCGTGGGAATCAAAAAGCAAGAAAAAAGTTTTTCTCAGCATTAAATTAATGTTCGCATGAAATTTTCGCCAATTTTACTTTAAACAATACTGCAATTTTTTAATGTCTGGAATTTTGGTGTATTCAGTGATCGACCAGCAAAGCCAGCGCGGCGACACCTCCCCCGACCAGAAATTCTACATCCGCGTGTTGTCTTCCAACCTGGCGCCGCCCTACTTCGTGCACCACGAGAAGATCGTCAACATCACGGTGCACCGCGGCCAGAGCGCGCCCATCCCCCCGGAATACCTGCAGGTCATGGATCCCGACACGGACCTGCGCGACATCAAGTACCGCATGACGGTGGCGCCGCACGAGGGCCAGCTGATCAGCATCAGCGAGGGATTGCCGGTGGTGGTGCAGGAGGGGGTGGATGAGCCGCACGATAACTTCCGCAGTAAAGCCTACCGCTACCAGCACCACGGCGCCAATATCGACGACGACTGGGCCGAGTTCCAGGCGTCCGACGGCAAGCAGTTCGGGAAGGTGCGGATTAACATCAAGGTGCTGGAGGTGGATATGAATGCGCCGGAGCTGGATGGCGGCACGATGAATATGGAATTACCCGAAGGTAAGTTACCGTTTATATACAATTTGTACTTCCTATGTATTTCCGTTACTGGCAAATTTCCTATGTATTTCCGTTACTATGTATTTCCGTTACTGGCAAATTTTCGATGAGTGTTTAGTATATTATACGAGTACCAAAAATTTTTTTTACGTTATGCGGCACAACTTGTAGCGTAAATGCCCATATATATTGTTCATAAATGCTCAAATGCTCCTATACACATACACTGAACATATTGTGTATGAGCATTTGAGCATTTAAGAACAATTTATGAGCATTTACGCTACAAGTTCTACCGCATAACGTAAAAAAATGTTTTCTACAAGTCCGTTGTCGTAAAATGCATGCACGTTTTTGTCTTTTGTATGCGGAGCGATACCGCACTATATATTCAGAGAAGTGGGATTGACCGTAGAGCAACGGCTGAAATTTCCCGGCTTTGACAGTCAGCTTCCTAGTTCCTACTATGAAAAGAACAGAATTCTCTGCTAGATTAAATTATGTTAAAAACGTTTGTTTTTCCACAAATTGTTTAGTGTTGAATTTCAGAAGAAAGGAGAGTCAAATAAATTTTTAAACATTGGTTTACGTACATTTGAATCTCGCACTTCATGGTTAAATTTATGAGCTTTTCAAATTTGTTACTGCGTTAAATGGGTTGCTGATTTTTCTAAAATTTTGCGGCAACAAAAACAATTTTAATTTTGTCTATAATGTTTTCTTTTTATGCATGATCTTTTTTAGTCGCTTTCATGGCGCTCTCGGCGCTCGTGTGGATTAAGAACGCAAAATTGAAAAGTTCGAACAACTGCGGAATAATAGAAAAGCCCGAAAGAAAGCTAGTTAACGTACACATCTTTAACAACGAATTCTTTGCAATACAAACGCACTACTGTCTGCATCTCACTATAAGTATCCGATTACAGGAACCACCGAGCCGGTAACGGAGCGCATCATCAAGTACAAAGACAACAATTCCACCGCCGAGAACATCTGCTTCCGGCTGAAACAGGTCCCGGAAGAGGGCATCCTCTTCCGCGGTGCCCCCAACGAGGACATCAAGCAGATCCTGAAGCCGGGCATGGAGTTCTGCCAGTCCGACGTCAACAACGGCTTCATCACGTAACTATCACCTCCTCCTTCTTCCCGACGATTCCCTCGATAAACTTCATTGTGACCTTTACAGGTACCAGGCCCCCGACGAGATAGGCGTCCGGCCCAAGCCCTTCCTGGTGGTGTTCGACGTGGCGGACGGGAACAACAACACCCTGCAGGACCAGAGCGTCACCATCACGGTGACGCCGCTGAATAATCTGCCGCCGGTGGTGCAGGTGCACGGGCCCCTGGAGGTCACCGAGGGCGGACGGGAGCGTATCCCGCCCGAGCTGATTACCGTCACGGATCCCGATACGCCGGTCAATGAGCTCATGTTCGTCATTGACTCGCCGCCGGAGTTCGGGATTCTGGAGAATCAAAAACGACGTAAGTTATGACCCACAAATCAGCATTTGATATCTTTCGATATTAAAATAATATTGGTTAAAAAATTATTGTACCTTTTTCAGATCGCCAGTAATCATTTACGTGGTACTTTATTAAAGCAGAAATTCACATATAAGCGATCCCAAAAGAGGGGTAAATTTTTTTAAAAATCCAACACAATCGGTTACGCTATAATAACTTTTTTAAGAAAATGTTTGACCTTTTTGTATTGTATCGATATCTAATGATCAAGCGGTTCTGAAATATTAAAAAGATAAACTAACATAAAGAAATAAGAAAACTCAAAAATAAAATACTGCAAAGGAAAAACAATAACGCTATAAAAAATGTTATAGAAAATAATATAAATAAAAAACGCTGAAATAGTTATAAACAGAAAGAAATTTTCTACAACTAAAACTTTTGATGGTTTTAGCGGGTCAGCCGGTGACCTCATTCCCGGTACAGGACTTCAACACCGGAAACATTGTCTACATCAACACGCCGAAGGAGAACGAAGAGCCGACTAAGGACCGTTTCCTCTTCCACGTGACGGACGGAAAGAACGAGAGCCCGATGAATGTCTTCAACATCACCATCATCGTAAGTCAATCGCCCGTTTAATATGCGGTATCACTATGATATCCAGGTTAATGGCAGCATAAACGACGTGGAGGATGATTTTATACGGTTTTATTGGTGTTATTAGCCGGTTAACGACGAGAAGCCCGTCGTCACCACGGAGGTGCTGTACCTCCGTCAGGGCGGCAGTGAGGACATTAAGAATCGCACGCTCTATGTCACCGACCTCGACACCCAGCCGCCCGATCTCGTCTTCACGCTCTCCACGCCGCCGCAGCACGGTGAGTTCCCACGGTGCTGTGCATCTTGGGAAAAACACCCGCCATATAATCCATCAGTGGTCTTCGCAAAATTTTATGCATGCATGTTTATTACTTCCTTTGTTTAATGTGTCTTTGACCTTTTAAAATATTTAATTCATTTTTGACGAAATAAATTACGTAAAATAAGATATCGCTAAAATTTTAAGTATTAAATTTTCCGGTACGGTGTAAGTCGTGGCCAAAAACACTGGTTTAAAAAATGGACATAAATTTTAAAAATGGTAAAGTAATTTTAATAAAGCAATGTTGATTTTTAAAATTCTGGAGTAGTTTATGCACTACGTTTATGTATATAAACAAACTTTTAGTGGTTGGAAAAAAGTAGTTAAAAAAATTCGCAAAATCAAATTTTAAAACAAAAACTGAAATTTTAGACTTCGTACGTTTGAGTTCCACTATATTAAAATAATTTCAGAATTGTTGATTTTTTCTGCAAAACATAGCGATGTCGGTTTGTTGATGTTTTACATAACTCACTGGCCTTATTTTGTTGGCGGCGTATGATTTTATCTCACTGTTCTGTATTTTTAACATCCGGTATAACCAATGTTTTGTACGGCGTATAGGTCAAATCTTCATTCGTGACGACCCCGCCAGGAAGCCCGGTGAGGGCAAACCGATCCACCCGGGCGACCAGTTCACCTACCAGGACGTGCTGAAAGGCCTGCTGTCCTACACCCACGACGACAGCAAGACGAGGGAAGACAACATTGACCTGCGCCTGACGGACGGCCTGCACGAAGTGCCGGCCACCATCGAGGTGCGGATCGAGCCCGAGGGCACCTTGACCCCGCGCATCATCGTCAACATCGGGGCGCAGGTGCCTAAAGGGTCCGCGGTGCCTATCGACAAGAACGTCCTGCAGGCCACCGATGACGACTCCGATATTCCCTCGCTCAAGTTCACCATTACGGAGGATGTCGATCATGGCCGGTTGCTGCTGACCCGACCTACCGGCGAAACTGTCGGTACGTCATATGATAACGAAAGGTCACCGGCACTACAGTATTCGCTGGTTTGCATAATTTTTGAACGGATTTTTTGAAAGGATTATTGATTAGCTGTGTGTTATTAAGAAACAAGAATCGCTGGAATTTTCTTTCGCTTTCAAGAAAAGTTTAAGGAAATAATTATCAATTATTACGGAATTGAAAAATGAGAATAAATTGCTTTCTTAAATAACATAAAAGAAACTGTAAACACCATCCAAGCACTGTAATATGTAATTCATTTGAAATAAATTTTTAATACCCAATTCTAATGAATAACTAAGACATATGCACATTCTACCGGCTTTCTTCATTTTAATTTTTTTTTAAAATTATTTTAAAATCTTTTGATCATTTTTTTTAAAAATTTGGATAAATTAGTCTTGCGTACAATACTAAAAAGAAATCTGGTCTGGAAGTTTCTTTTAGCAAATGCAAAGTTTTTAACCATTTTCCTATTTTGTGCGTGAAAGGTGTTTTCCAGAACGTAAATGTGTTTTCCAGAACTCCGCGCCGGAACCCCGAATAACTTCTTCATCCAGGACGACCTGGACAACGGCCGTCTGCGCTACTCGCACAACTACGCCGACCCGGCCTCCGTCGTCCACTTCATCTTCGACCTGTCGGACCCCGAAGGCAACACCCTGCACAACCAGAACTTCCGCATCACCGTCCTCGAAGACCGCATCCCTCCAGAAAAACTGAAGAACGAGGGCCTCGTCGTCAAGGAAAAACACCACGAACCCATCACCAACCACGAACTGGAGTACACCGACAGCAACAGCCCGCCGGAGCGCCTGAAATACACGGTGACCAGCGGTCCGGACCAGGGCCGCCTGGAGCGGGTGGGCCAGCCCGGCATCCCCATCACCGAGTTCCGGCAAGCGGATCTGAACAACGGCGCGATATTATACAACCACACCTCGGACTCCAAGATCTTCCTGGACGCCTTCAACTTCCGGATCAGTGACGGGACCAACGAGCCGGAGGACCGGTTCCGGATTACGATTATCCCGTTGAACGACAGCGCCCCGGTGGCGACATACACGTCCCTGACCGTCGACCAGGGCGAGAAGGGCACCATCACCCCGGATCAGTTGCGCGGGGAGGACGCCGACACCGAAGACCGCTTCCTGGTGTTCGACATCACCGAGGTGCCGCGCCATGGACAGTTGTTGCTGCGGCAGGATAACGGGTACGAGACGGCCACCCGCTCCTTCACCATGATGGACATCTGGCGCAACCGGGTCATCTACGACCACGACGGCGGACCCTCCACCCAGGACAGCTTCAAGTTCGTCCTGCGCGACGGGACGCATAATTTCTTCTTCGTCAACGAGCACGGCACGAAACGCGGTCCCCTGGAGGATCCCGAGGAGTTCCCCATCAACATCCGGGCGACGACCAACGCCCCACCCTCGGTCAAGAACCGCGGACTGCAGTACCTGACCCACGATGAACGGGAAAACAAACCGATTGGTCCGATTACCAACCAGGAACTGGAGGCCACGGACCCGGACACCCGACCCAACGAATTGAAATGGATCATCGTGACCTCACCGAAGCACGGACACGTCGAGACCCGGGACCGTCCCGGCCAGCCCATCTCCGAGTTCACCCAGGAGGACCTCAACCGAGGGGTCATCCGTTACGTCCTCGATGATCTGAACACCCCCGACACCTCGGACTTTTTTATCGCCCGGCTCCAGGACAACAACCAGCCGCATCCCAACGTCATCGACGGGATCAAGTTCAACATCCAGTGGGCGTGGATCTCCTTCGGGCAGACGGAGTACACGGTGCAGGAGAACGCCGGCATGGTCCGCCTGAACATCCGGAAGGAGGGGAACTTGAACCAGTACTCCCTGGTGCAGTGCGCCACCTCCCCCGGGACCGCCACCGACGCCCCGGGAGGTGACTTCCAACGGGTGGAAGAGCAGATTCAGTTCGAGGAGAATGTCAACCAGAAGGTGTGCACGGTGACCATCCGCGACGACCAGGTCCGGGAGGGTCCCGAAGACTTCACGGTCCACCTGAGTAAACCGCTTTACGCACTGCTCCGCGAGCCGAAACGCGCGCGGGTGGTCATCACCGACGACGAGGACCTCGGCGGGATCCGGTTCGACCGGCCGGCGTACTACACCAACGAACGGGTCGGGGTGCTCCAGGCGCCGCTGCTTCGCTCCGGAGACATCTCCACCGCGGCGTCCGTGGCCTGCATCACCCGCCCGGGAACCGCCCGCGACCGCCAGGATTTCGTCCCCTTGACGCCGGCTAACCGCGTTACCTTTGCCCCGGGGCAGGACCGCGCCACCTGCGACGTCCAGATCATCGACGACGGGATCCAGGAGAACGAGGAGGAGTTCGAGCTCATCCTGCAGCAACCCTCAGAGAACACCCAGCTCGGGGTTATGAGCCGGGCCCGGGTCATCATCCAGGGCCCGAACGACGGCGGGGCCGTGGTACGGTTCGCCCAGCATCACTGTCTGGTGCGGGAGGTGTCCGGGCGCTACCAGTTCGAGGTCATTCGGGAGGGTTCGGACCTATCGCAACCGGCGTCGGTGGTGTGCAGTACCGAGGCGATGGTACCGGTGTCGGCCACGCCCAACGAGGACTACGTCCACACGTCCGAGCGGATCCAGTTCGCGCCGGGACAACGGCGGGCGATGTGCTCGGTCCAGATAATCGATGATTCGTATTTCGAAGGGAACGAATCGTTCCATCTGGTGCTGTCGCAGCCGCAAGGGGCGACGCTGGGGCAACCGTCCAAGTCGACCGTTACTATCTTCGACACGGACTCTGAAGGTACGGAATCCCATAGACCATATGCGTAAAAGCAGTTATTCATTAATTACTACTGCAAGGCCGCGAAACTGTTCAAATAAACAGGAAACTCTTGAAGTGATCTTAATTCCATTCAATCCAACGCCGACACAATAATGCAGAAGCACCGCGCTGTCTGCGTTAGAGTGGAAGGAGATAAGATTCGGCAACACAGATTGTGCATCGTGGCAATTGTGCATCGTGGCAATTTTGCAAGCTACTGCGTATGTATCATGTGTATATGGCAGATGCGGCGTCGATGACAGTAAAATGCAACAGAAAATCAGCGTTTACGTTAGTATGCTCAGTGCCCGTCCTATTCAAAACTCAGTCGAGAACTGAAAAGCCAAAACCGTTAACAACTAAATAAACGTTCTACATATACATATATACAAGGAAATCCGCAGTTAACCGCTTACGAGAAAAGGAAGACCCATACATACTTCCTAATGCTGACGGACAGCTTGACATGCCTGAAAACCCACTCACATGTCCTCAGAAAAAGTTGAGAAACGATGCTAAAATGCAGAGTGCAGACATAAAAATCCGAATTAAAAAGCATTAAATAGTGATTAATGGCGCAGTTCACGGTTTTACAGATACATAGACTTTTAGACGTAACTAGATGGGAGCTTGTACTTGATACACATATTCTGAAAGACGTAGGGGAAAAACGTCACAATCGATCATAGTTAAAATGCTTCGGATGCAGTTCACTTCCGGTGCATTACGTATTGCACATAATTATAGTACAGTACTCCCTGTATGCATACTGCAGTACTCGGAGAGAACGGCTTTACAGTAGTACAACAAATATTAATTTTTGTGTGATGTCCATCTGAAATAATTCAATTAGTTTGCCCGAACTACGATATCGTACAGCGAGATGCATAACGTGGCATCGCGCTGATAAATGCCATCCGGTAAGATAGAGCTTTTGTGCATTAGTGCCGACCATCCAGTTTGAGCGGATCGAGATCACCGTGGAGGAGACGGCCGGCCGTATCGACCTGCCCATCATCCGCACCGGCAACGTGGACGTGGAGTCGACGGTGCGCTGCTTCACCATGTCGCGCAGCGCCCAGCCCAGCACCGACTACATGGACCGGCCCAACACCGACCAGTCCATCGTCGTGTTCCGCCGCGGCGAACGAGTACGTGGGGATTGCATAAACTATTATATATTTCGCAGAATATCCAGTGAATAAAATGAGTGTTTGTATAGCGGCAAATCTGTACCGTGTACATCATCGAAGACAACATGTACGAAGCGGACGAGCAGTTCTACGTGGTCCTCGGCAGTCCGCAGCATTCCCGCATCGGCCCACAGGATAAAGTGGTCGTTACGCTGACCAATCGAGAAGACTGTAAGCATATTTAGTTCCGTTAAAGTATGTAAGAATTTAATACCCTAATAGCTTAAAAAGTTGCATTAAAATTATTAAAATATATACACATACGTCGCCTACTAATCCTGCCGGTTTCGTGTGCTGTACTGAATATCAAAGAGGCTTTGCTTTTTTTTGAAACTCTTATCAGAAGTTTTTTTATCTAATTAAAGGCAAATCTGACCTTTCCAGGAACAGTTTTTCAACTGATTGTTTTTGCCTAAATTGTCAAAATGTGCAGAATATTTGGAAGAAAAAAAGAAATTAAATACGCGCTGACGGAGAAAGAGGGCGAAGTGGTTGTAATCCGAATCTTCTTCGCAGGTCCGAAGGTGTATTTCGAGCAGACCAACTACGAAGTGGAAGAGCCACAGCGCGCCGGCAGCATGTCCACCGTGCTGCTGACCGTGCTGCGCAGCGGCGACGCCAGCCGGCAGTCGGAAGTGCGGGTGACCACGCGCGACGGCACGGCCATCGCCGGACGCGACTACCACTCCAAGAGCACCATGCTTGTCTTCCGACCAGGTACGGAATGATTCCCATTAGCCGCGTAAATTCTGTACACCTCACACGCAATTCCAACGTCCAGTAACAAAAATATCTCTTTCAAATGGAAGAAACATAGAACCTGATATATTTTTAGAAATTTAATAGCGATGATTTTGAGTACCGTCTACTGTTTGTGCAGGTGAGACGGCCAAGCGCTTCGCCGTGGAGATCCTGTACGACAATGAGCGCGAGGTCACGGAGACGTTCACCGTGCACTTGGGCCCGGATCAGCCGGTGAACGCGGAGATTTCGCAGCCGTCCATCGCCACGGTCTGCATCACCGACCGGCCGCCCGAACCCATGCCCATCCTCCCGTCCCCGCCCATCGTGATTTCCCTGACCTACTACGAGAACGTCCAGATCGGCATGAACCAACCGCCGCCGCCGGGATATCCGCTTATGTGTCTAACGGTAAAAAATGTCCAGACTTCTTCAGCCAATAAATTTACCAAAGCAGTACCTTCGAAATTTCATTAAAAATTACCTTTATAAACCTCCTTCAAAAATCCGTAATCCCCACTTACTGCATTTGAATCAGAAATTAGCGACATCTAATTATGCTCACTATTTTTGATTTAAGTCATCTGTATATCCAAAATAAAAACAATTACTTTTGTTATTTGTTTCTCATGTATTAAATCAGACCGTACGGATACTTTTTTATGAAATTTAGAAAGGTTATACTTTATGTGTGGTTAAAAAGCCGCCAGAATTACTAAAGGTCACACTTTAATATTAATTTAATATACACATGAATTCAGTATTACTTTTATTTTAATCTGGGAAAAGCCGCTTCAGAAAACATAAAGCGGCGCTGTAGCCGGCAAAACTTAAAATGGGTGAAACTCCAATCACTAATTTGCGGGTGCATTCCAGCCCTGTGATCCCCGCCACCCGCGCCCCCAGGTGACCCCCACGTGCCAGGACCGCGTGTCCTACCGTTGGGAGATGGCCACCGACACGGACCGCGACGGCAACCGCATCTACTCCACCATCGCCGACACCACGCCCTTCACCTCGGCCCAGACGCCCGTCCTCGACTCCATCTACTTCGCGCCCAACTGCATCCTGCGCTGCGCCGTCGACCAGGGCGGCGGCCAGATGGCCTACAGCTCCGAGGTGACCATCAGCCGCGAAGGGGCCTGCGCCAACCCCCGCACCCCTGAAACGAAAGGTCATCAGCGCTCCCTGTCCACCGACATTCAGTATAACGAGCCGGGCAGTGCGCACTACGCCAACACTGTCCACATCACCGTGACCATCCCGCATCGGGACGGTATCCTCCCGGTCATCTCCACCTTCCCCATCCACAACCCGAAGCTGTTGTTGACGGATCAAGGATACCGGCAGCAGCATGTGTGTTCCAACTTTGTCCCCAATCAGGACGGGAAGATTAAGGGCTTCCTGGATGGCAGCGGCGGGAACGCGGTGTTCCCCACGCAGGCTGGGATGCTGGACTCCACGATCCGCGGGAACATGACGGTATGTTACTATAAAAGGTGGCTACATAGCCACCGGGATGTCAGGGAGTTTTGATGGAGATGACCAGCTACTCGTTACAAAACTGCAGCTAATGGCGAGCCTTTAAAGAGAGTACATTTTAACGGAACAGTTTTAAAAGTGATACTTAGGATTACTATATAGGCAGTAGGCACACTCAGCTTTAAATAATAAAAACATGTTATCAGAATTTTTTTGAATGTAACTGCAAGGCCTAAAGCGCTTGAGCGCAATGTTTGCTTTGATATGTACATACCATTGTATGTATCTGTCTCGCCTCAGCCTGACTGTGCCATCGTACTACGTTTGCTTACATGAAAGTCCAAGCGAACAAAGCGCACTTTAGGCAGCATTGCTGCGCTGTGGTTAACATCAAGCATCACGGACATTAGGTTAAATCATATCATAAAAGCAATGAAGTGGCATAAGCGAAGTATAACAAATATTCTGAGCGTTATTAAACAATAGGGTGCGTAAGCCGACACTGTACTTATAAGGATGTGACAGTCGTTAGCTGGCGCTTATTACGCCAAGTCTAATCGAATGGTACAATATTAACGGATAAAGCCGGCCATTATCTACTGGCAAATCACAGTTATACTTTTAACAGGTGCAGTTGTACACCCATCTTAACATGGAGACCTGCACATGGAAATTCGACGCCAACTACGACATGACGACCCTGGTGGACCGCTGCGGCGGCACCGTCAACACCAACGCCAACGCCCGCAGCAACCAGTTCGGCCAGCGCGCCGTCACCGTCACCGTGCCGCTCTACGTCTCCTACATCTACGCCGTGCCCCCCAACAACTGGGGCTCCATCGACCACCGCACCACGCTGGAGATCAGCTTCAACTACGACACGGCGCTGAGCAACGACCGCGTGCGCACCACCAACGACAACGTCGACGCCAAGATCAACGTGGTCCGCGTCCGTTTAACCGACGCCGGGAATCTCTGCATCACCATCAAGACGCAGACCAAGTTCCGCGGGACCTTCGTCTTGTCACATCCCCGCCTCCCGGGGCAGCAGTCTAACTTGATCCCGCCGAGTAACCTCCCGGTGAAGTTTAATTTAATGCTGGAATGGCAGCAGGAGACGTACGATTATCCCATGCAGACGTGGCAGGCGACGAGTGACCTTTCGTTGCGAGATTACACCGGGGATTATACGCTGGAGATGATCCCATGTATGGCCACGCGGCCGGAGTTCTCGATGGACCACCATAATTGTGAGCCGAGGAGTCCCAAGCAGTTTATCCTCCCGATTCAGTTCAACCAGGGCAACCGCCCGCCACCGCTGGTGTATTCGCTAAACACGGACTTCCAGTTGGCGCATGGGGATCAGGTGTTCCAGGCGGATGCCAGTGCCGTCGTGGAGACCACACCGGCGCAGATTCCCGATGAAGCCTTCGGCAAAGGTCAGAACCGTTTGCATAAACTTTTCCAGAAATTATTGGAATAATTATTATATATACAATTTATCACGAGAAATACTTTCGCCCATAATCTTAATAAATTTTAATAAACATTTTATTTTGCCAAAAAGGAAATGAATATTTGAGTTGTACGATAATATTTTAAAACAAGAATAAGCTTTCCATGGTAATAAAAATATTTTATCGAATTTTATCATTCATTTGGTTGTGCCTCAGCTTTGGACGTGGTCAGAGTACTGGGCCCCGTTGACCAGCTTTCATAGTACAACGACTAATGTTCCGGTATACATTCTCTCTCTCTGCATATCAGAAATCGAATGCATGGAAACGCGTACAACGAAACCCAGCGTAAAATTTATCATAATTTTTGAACTTTCTGTTATTTTTTCGAATAAGTCTATCACTGTCTATGTATTAGTAGGTTTAGGTGTCGTCTATGCTTGGATAAATCGTTAAAGGATGTATGTACTTTACTTGTATTAATTCGCCGGCACATGCACTGATGCACATATACGATTAATAAATTAATATGGCTGTGTCTGCGTTAATGGACACAAATTCAAGTGATTTAAATTATTTGAAATTCGTAAATTAACCGGCATTGCTTATGTTATCCGTAATCGTTAAGTGATACCATTCTCTACGATATCCCTTCCAGGTGAAACGATCCACGGCTGCGTAATGTGGAACCCGGTGCAGGATCTGAAGGACGCTTACAAACTGGAGATCCAACGGCTGTATGTCTGCTGCGGCAAGAGCGGATACACGCCGGTGTACGATCCCCGCATCACGCTGCAGGGGGAGCCGCAGTACGGCTGCATGCAACCCAGCCGCAATCTCCGCCATCGATATCTTTTACTGGTAAGTCAAACTGGGAAATTACACCGCAGACACTGGACAGTACTTCACTGTACTTGTAATGCAGCCGGCTTATTACCGGCAATTCTTTCACGTGGTGAATTTCTGCAGGATCGCAATGACCCCAGTCATGTTGACCGGCAAGTACAGGGTATCGATTTCCAAGCCGATTTCATCGACAAACATCCGAAGCTCAAGAGTCTCAAGCGACGCTCCGGCACCGATGGATTCGTCTTTAAAACTGACCCGCTTTATGAAGTACGTGAAAGAGCCTATCAATTTCTGTCGTGTAAAGGTCAAATAAATGCATCGGTTTAACTTAAATTAAAATAAGAAAAAAATGAGTAAACTTAGGGAAACGCCCTGTGTTACAGTTGGGACCAGGTCGGCAGTGGTACCTGCAAGTCCTCTACGTCATCACCACCGCCGACGACGGCAGCCGTATCCGGCGCTCGGCCATCATCCCGGCCAAGTACCGCAACGGGACCAACATGCGCCACGTCGAGCTGAAATCCTCCGATTTCTCCGGCGAATTCCCCGGCGGCACCGCGGCCGGACAGGTCTCCTCCCTGACCACCATCATCGGGGCTTCCGTCGGCGTCCTCTCCCTCCTACTGGTGGCGGCCTCCATCACGGCCTGCGTCGTCGTCAAGAAACGCCGGTCGCGGATGCGCTCGGGCTGGTCCGGCAGCCGGACGGGCGGCTACCGCCCCGGGTACCAGATGGCGGCGCGCGGCGGACCCCCGGCCGCTCGGGTGCGCAGTGTCCCGCCGCAGCGGGGCGGTTACGTCCTGGCCAAGGGGACGGAAGTGTGAGAGAACGAACTTCTCTAATCCACGTCGTGTTTTTGTGCCTTTTTGTTTTGTGATGTTCCGTGCGCGGCTTTTCTGGCTTTTTTACAAATGTTGTTTCTCGTGGTCTTTGATTAACTTGGGAAATAGTTGTAGTTGACGCGGAACGCGGTCAGTTAGTCAAGATAGCATTTACGCAGGTGTTTTTTGGGTACTTCGGTGATGTGATGGAATTGCCTAGACTAAGTGGTTCTTCACCGCAGAGATGCTACAGTGGTTTTTTGACGGTTATTTGCATTTTTGTCATAGCATTGCATTTCTTCTTGCGCATTTCTATTTGTTAAGATAGTAATTAATAAAATACTGCGAATAAATAAATAAGAAAATAATCTGCTTAACCCTGGTTATATTATCAGCCGTCCAATATCGGTACTCGTAATAACGTTTCGGTTACGAATTAAGAAAGGTTAAGAGCGTTTGTAAGCAATATTACTTTCTTCCTTCATAATCAATCTTTGTAGTTCTTTGTTTATTTTCTTATAAATCACCATTCGTTAGCGAAAAACCGTTTCTCAGTGTGGCTTATTCAGAAAATATGCATACAACTGCAACACCCTTGTCGTTCAGTAATCATGTTGATACAGAAACTGGCCGTGATAATTACATATTAGTACTGGGATTAAAAGCCATAACCTTTACGATGTTGATGAGCAGTATACTGCACGCAGGCTGCAATCCGATCCGTGGTTTACTAAGTTGGTTTGCTGGTTTAGTGTACAAAGCAATAAAAATATTACTCGTATTTTGTAGACAAAGGTTGGATGACGAAAGTGTTCCGTTCCCGATGCACCTTTTGAGCCCACCGTTGTAGTCAGATAAAGGGCATCAAATACGGAAAACTTACTAGTGATGTGCAAATTGACTGGTATGGGTATTTTATTTGGCGGTATACAAAACTCACACTATTTTTCTATCATAATAAAGATGTACTTAATCCACAGCCTCAACCGACAACAGAAACAGACGGTCTAATTACACAGAACATCTCATCTAAATTAGCCGATGCTGGTGCTGTTCCCATGACGGAGGCCGCATTCCCGCGTTGAATTTCAATACTGAACCGCTGGCGCAGATACTCAATCGCCCGTATCTCGCCCGTTTCTTCGCGTATCATCTGCCCGAGCTCGGTGACCATGCGAGAGGCGTCTGGTCCCAAAGGTCCGAGTGTTTCGACGCCTACTGCACGGAACAGGTAATCCGGTGTGATGTCGGGATACTTCTCCACTTTATCCTGCTCTGCGCGTGCCGCGGCTGCTCCCGCTTGTTTCGATGTTGCCGCGATGTGCGACAAAGCTACTGTGCACACACATGTAGCATCCCAGGTCAACATCTTTCCTCTTTCCCACGGTACCAACGTCACTCCGTCGGGGCGCTTACCATTGGCCAGGAAGATACCGGGTGGTTCCAGTTCCGTTTCAATACCTGCTGAAGCGAAGGCGCGCTTTAAGGTGGCATTGAGGCAGCTGTGTCTGGACTTCCGGCCCCGGCTTTTTTTGCAACTGAGACCATGATATCCTCGTGAGTCTACCCATTCACCGCAGTTGCAACGGTGTGGTGTGGTGATCGGTACTCCGAGACGCAGGCCGACTGCGATTCTAAGTGTGGTATCGTTCAGGAAATTCCCCAGTGATGCCGCTGGGAGCGCTTCCAGCCATGCCCCGTTTTCTTTGCTGCTCACGCCTCGGAGACGGGCTTCACTGGACATGTCTGACTGGGCGGCCGCCAGTCAGACATGTCGGCCAAACGGTCGATCGGCCAGGCAGCACTAGAAGCCAGGAATTTGAAATACCGCAAGATTGCTGATTTAAGCTTGCAGCAGCAGCAACTCAGAACTAAGTAAGTAGCCAAATCCGACTACAGCGACTAGTACTGGTCGGTCACCGGTCGAGCCGGTGACCGACCAGCCGGTCGGTTGAACCGGTCGAGCCACGTTGTCAACCCGAAACCGCAAGCCACTGGATAAGTTATTAAAGAAAGCGAAAAGTAGAAAAACTCGCGAGAAAAGCGATAATAATGGTTGTGTCATGTTACGCCGGTATACGCATAGCGGTCATTTGAAAGGCGACTCTGCTTATGAGCTTTATTGCTAAACTTGTGTTTGTGCATGATGCGTTTTATTACAGCTTGTTTAACTGCGTATGTGTGTGCATGGATGAGCATTGAGCACGTTATGGCTTAGGCCATAACGCTGGACAATCTAAGAGATTTTTCTCATGTTTATTGTCCTCATGAAAGTTACCGAACTTTCTAGAATTGTTGCAACACGGTTGCACTGAGATACAAGGTTTTGCTTTGCTGTGTATGATATCGATCATTCCAGCGATCGGTCTACCATTACCTGTTGCTTCCATCTCATTGTTATTCTTGCTTGTTGAGTGATTAAAGTTATAGTTAAGAACTATTACTTTCACTTTCCGTCAGCACAGTATATGAGTATATTACGCAGTCATATACGGCATTGGCCCCTTTTAGTCATTAAATTAGTTTTTCGTAAAGTCGTTTAGCAACCGGTGCATATTTTGCGTTATTCTTTAGCAACCAGGTTCGATAGTAGTTATTTTCGATAGCAGTCTAGGAATTAATTTGATTCAGTTAATGCAGCCCCCTTATCATATAAACGCTCGCATTGTTACATTCAACGGTGGCAACGGCAACAACAGAAGCCACTCTTACTTACGGCAGCGACCACCGCGACGGACCTACCATTGTGGCCGGATGGGCCACATTCAGAGGTACGCTGCTACGAAGCCGGCAACGAGATACTGCGACGCAAATCTCACCCACCAACCATTCCACCTGAGCCACCCAAAGAGGCAGCGCGCCAGTGCAGGCTCCGGTGGTGGAGGCTGCAATTCAGGCTGGTGCATGAGCCCCTGCCGGTGGCAGAACTAGCAGACGCAGTAGGTGAAATCCAACTTGATGATGATTATTATTACGATGATATGAAGAACAGGATGGAGAGGCGGAGATGGTTGTCGACAAATAAATGATTATTATAATTATTATTATTGTCGTATTCTTAATATTACACTTTATTTGCTTTCTCTTCAAGACGACAACTCTTCAACTGACAATTATTCACGTTGTTAGGTTCATAGAAGAAACAGTATTTATTGCTAAGCAGGAAACAATCGACATAATTATTATAAATAATAATATTATTTATAATATTATTATAATCTCGAGATTACTGTAACAACTTGTATCAACTCGTATTGTTGTACGTACTTCACAATTATTATTATTATTGTCACGTATCAAAGGAGCGTACTACGCTCCTTTGACGCTCCTGCGAGGCGTTCTGTGAACTTCTGCTAAATTCGGCTGAATAAGCTCTAAAATTGTTTTCCCATTTTTTCATAAAGAAAAAAGTGCAGTGTACGTACCTAGCAATCCAGTGTTTACTGCGTCTTTTTCCTAAAGGTAATTAGTCCACCACCGTCCGTCCGTTTAAGTTTCAGCCACCGTCCTAGAAGCTACATAGATGTTAATTTTAAATTATTTGCTTGCTAAACAGCGATGGGTCGACGAAGAATTAAAAACCCAAGGCAAAACATACTCAGCTTGGCAACAGCGAAACCATCTGGCCGTTTGACTACGGGTAGGTGTAGTCACGTTCAATTAACAATGTTCCTTTTTCTTTAACTGTTTTACTCGGGTTTTCGAGCGCCGCACCTTTCTACGGAGATTCGATTGAAAGACACCAAACTGAAAAGATGGACTGCTGACGCTGTTAAGCAGCAACAAATATCAAATCAGGTTCCATTGCCGTAACTCAAGTCTGCTTTTTTTCCCGGCCACCAAAATCTATTTTTAACGCACACTGATTTTATACTCGTATTAATTATGGTTTGGAAAGGTATCGCTTCGACGACATAATAATACATCGCAAGACTTGATGGCTTCTTTTTCATTTTGTGGTGAAAGCGCATACTACAAAAATCGAACCTAACTGCGAATGTTTACTATGTCTTCTGACCTCCTGGTCCTATACCGGCAGTTGTATATATGTCTGTTCCATCTTTCATTTCCACGACAAATACGATACCTCACAAGTTGCAGTATTCGTGAAGAAGAAAACGAGAAAAGGTGTGCCTGAAAATTCCCACGATGGCCCATTTCTTAAGAACATGGATGGTGGTAGGTACAATAATATAATAATCTATGTCGGTCCAATAGCCAGTAAACAAGACAATCTTCAAACGCTTATCGTAAGGCTAAAACTTTTAGCCTTGGTGAATTGCACTGCGCAGTAAAAATCGATCATTTTATCCAATACAATATGCGAGAAACATAAACAAAATTTAGGCTGATATTAGTATTTTTGGACCGATGCGTATTCAAAGAGCATCGAACTACTTACAAACGTAATAACTATTTCTTGTACATAAATCTTTGGAATAGCACGATCATTCTGGGCGTTGCACGTACTTTTCGGCATTTAAAAACGCCCGATATGGTTCAGTGTAGATAGTTTTCAGGAATATTCCGATAATGTTGATATTTGTCCTTTTCTTGAATTATGCGAAAATTAACACGATGTTTGTCCATCACATATCACCTTGTCTACTTTCTTGAGGGTTGTTTTAGGAGTACAAATGGCGAATTTGACCGACCGAGTTAACGGCTTCACACCGCCACGGCTTAGAAGCCAACATACACAAAAACGGATTCATTGTGCAGTCCAGTGAGAACAGATAATTGACAATAGCCAGCGTCCTCACATCCAAAAAGCTTGCGGTCATCATGAAGGAATAAATGACATGCCCCGGAGTCCAGAAGAGAAGCGAATTGATAAAAAGGATGGTCAGAACCGTAAAATGGCGATTTCTTTTTTGCCACCCGCTTCCTTCGGGAATATGTGGTTGTTTTTTAGAATTATCTGCCACAACAGTGATATCCACGGCCCGTGTTACGGAATGCGAGTTATACTGTTCGGCCTTTTGGATGGGTTGCATAACCATATCATCCCGTGTTTTTCGTAAAATCTTCACTTTCCAAAAGACGATGGGATAGATGATTGTGACAAGCATTTGAGGGATCAGATGAGTCAGATAGCCATACAGGCCACGATATAGTGTATCGTAGCCTAAGTTATAAATGCAAAGATGTGCAAGTCCGGGAGTACGGGAGCGGCAGTCGTGATCGAGGAAAACCGGGAGGGATAGCGCGTTAAGGACAACGACCACCGCGATAATTAAACCAGCGGCTAGTTTACGCGTGTGCCGCGTTCGGTAGGAAAACGGAAAGGTCACGGCCCACAGACGGTTAAGGCTGATTAGCACGTGTATGGTAACAATGCAAGCGCTTGTTATTTGTGCGCAGTATAAATTGAGCAGGCACATAAATTCGCCGAAAACCCAGCGGAATCTTAGATAGTTGCTGATATTGTTAACGCTGCTGGTGCTCGACTTAATGAGATCCAATAAAGATAAAGTTAAAAGATAGCTGTTGAATGGAGTTCGGAGTTGCGGCGACCGGGCATAAACCAGAACGATAAAACTGTTACTCATATAACTAAATATGGCTAAGGCCATATACAAGTAAGCCACAAAAAGCGTACTGGGCTGAACTCTTGGTGAAGCCACCAAGGATGCGTTGGACAAAGTGCTCTCGTTAGCGTAGAAATTTCCGTTCAGGGACAAATTGTACAGATACATCATATGCGCCATAGCGCCGGTCACGAAGAAATTTTTTATAACAAATATCTTGGATTTCTAAATGGTAAACGCAGTGTAACGTAGGGTAATAGTGAGTCGGCGAAGTCCGCCTGGGCAGGCGACCGGGCGCCGTAAAACGCATTAAATTTAATCAAGGGTGCAGACAGAAATTCGTTAGACACACGCTCTGTCTAACTCTGTACTCTTGATTAAAAGCGGTGCCCGTTTTACGGTTTACGGCGAACTTCGCCGACTCACTAATAGTCACGCAATACGCGCAAGTACGACGAAATAGTTTCACTCGCTTTGTATCAGAGACGTAACATAGGTTAATTTAGCTGATCTTGACCTCGGACTCAAAACGACAGCTAAGAAGGTTGCAGCGGAAATGATGCCCGCTACGCGGGGTGTCAAAAAGTAACTGGGCTGCAAAATAAAACAATTTTTTAAACAGAGTAAGATGTGGTATGTTCCCGATGCTTTTACTATTGCGATGTAAGAGGCTGAAAGATCTTGGGAAATAATGAACCACGTCTTGATCGACATAGAACTACAACAATCTTTTGATAAAGATGGATCTCTGCTGCGCCTGGAGTCTCTGCTATATGCCTGACGTTGTCCCAAAGGGATATGTGGGACGGATTTTTAATCTGCTTAGAATCCTTGCTCGTGATTACGCAGATTCTGGGAAGGCAGAGCAGCTGCCGGTATTATCGTACAAACAACATCGGTATCACTTGCTCCCTCAGCTAAGGCGCCAAGGGGATCTCTTTTTACAATTTGCTGAAGACAGTGATGCGCGATTGTAATAACCGAATGTAGCACATGTCCTTGACCTTCGCAGAGGTTCTACAATTCTTTGGACGCAGAGACTCGAGGTGCGTCAACATAAATCTCTGCGGATATCTTGAAGACGGTTACGCCGACTTTGAACAGTAAATGCACATGGCAGTAAATTACTGTACTTACATGAATGGCGACTTGAGTATTGTGTAAACGGTGAATGGTGTGCACGTCAAGCAGGGATTGTACTTAGAGGATTTCCCTCCCGGAATACTTACGGAATTTGTGAATAACACGCAGGTTCACGTCATCCGAGTTTGATATTATACTTAATTTAAATGATTATTAAACGCCCTGAATGATTCTTCCGCCTAATTCGCCAAAACCTTACCGAACCTTGATATGTTTGTGGGCTTAATTCGCAGTAGTAGTATAAGCTGTGGATCGGTAGATTTATGAATCTGGGCTACGTATTTCTTTAATGAAATACACCTGCTGGCTCAATTAAAGGTTAACAAGTAGCATTTACAGTAAGTAATTAACAGAAAATTTGATGAAGAAAGTGAATGAATGTAGAAAAGCCTACAGATTCTACTAAGACTGTCAACTCTAGGCACTCGTAGGCAGTGCCATGCAATTTTGTCGTTTTGCTCGGTACTGGCGGGTCGGCCGATGCACGTAATCCTGCATTCTACTAATCGCTAAGCAATATTCAACTAACTACAAAGTACAAACAGTCGGTATACTGGTCGCGCACATCAAAACTAGCTGGCAGCGCTACACGGAGGCTGGAACGAGCCGATCCTACGTGGGGATCTTTTTCGGCAAATTCGTTTTTGGAAATTATGGTGCCACACCGACTTTTCAATTCATCAATTCATCATGTTCCATGCTGATGAACTCGTTCTCCGCCGACTCCCATTCGGCGCCGCGTTGCTGCTTCTTAAAATGCTCCTTGTCTTTCCTAATTGAAGAATACGATATTTTAAAGTGTTTGTAGAGATGCACGGGAGAACCGGCCTTACTGGATGGTATCGCGATGCACATACCTACATACTTTGTTCAGCTTCGCACCTCTTTATCCATAAAGCGCAAAAAATCTCCTATTTTCAACCCGCCTAATTGGAAAATTGCTGCAGACAAAGTATCTGCTTTTGTCAATGATTTGGGATCAGTTAACTGGAATGAGCAATTTCAAAATGCTGATACGAATAAACGTGTAGAAACATTTAACTTTTATTCTTGTCCATTGCAAAGCGTTATTTTGTTTACGGTCAAGCGAAACGTAAGGGTGCCACCATCTACCCTGGTAACGTAAAAAGAGCTATCAGAAAAAGAAATGCTGCTTTTGAAAAATATCGAAATTTAATAAAAAATAATAATCCCATTCTTGCTCAAAATTATAAAGTACACTGGAAAAATCTGTGTAAGCATGCGGAAAAGTTGTTACGTAATTTCGAAAATTATCAGATTACCGAAGCCGCAACTGCAGCACGTAAAAACCCGCGTAAATTTTGGCAGCATGTTAGGTCATCGGATGACCGGATTGGAATGGCCTGTACTGAAAATGGATGACGGTGCAGTTCTTTCTAAAGATTCCGAAAAAGCAAACGCTTTGAACGAGATGTTTGCAGATTCTCAAGGCCCATGTGATCGTCATTGTTGTAGCTCTGATATCGATATGTGCGCAAATAATTCAGCTGAACCTTTTAATCGTATGGGAGTACCTAGCCAATATCACTCCACATTATCACAGAAAGCATCAACATTCCTTTGTACGAGTATCGCAGCTAGAGAAGGAATGTTAATTCATCTGTGCTAATGTTAAGCGGTATTGATTCGGTTCCCAGATTGTCCATGCATTAACAATTTAACAGGTGTGAGTGATATACAGTACAAGAAAGCCCGTTTAGGGAAATTATCCGTGTAGCGTAGTAAGTGTCCTGATGTGGATGCCGTGAAATAAATTATAAATATAATCAGGACTCGCAGTTTGTCATGCACCGACTTGTTATTTACGAGTCCGTGTACGGAATATAAATCAACACACCATGCTTTTAATCTGAACAGTTGCATAATCAATATTTTTCCATGTTCACATTTTTTCGTTGGCAACTTCGCAGTGATCCCAGCTCTGTTTCAGCGTTAGCGCATAATAAGGACGTGAAAATCTGTTACCCGGCATTCGCTGTATTCGCACTCTGGCCGGTGGCTCTACTCGTGCCAGTTTCTGTACTGCCTGGCGCTGTACCAGTCAACTAAGAGCATGACCATAAATTTACGATTTACGGAAACTTCTCGGGAGAGATCGTTTTGGCAGCTGGTAAAAATGAGTCGCTCTGCAATTCCCAGTCGATTAATTTTATTTAAACAGAATTTACGAAAAGCCATACGAAGTATGGCTTGGAAGTATGGTTTTGTAAAATCTGTTTAAACAATCGAGTGGGAGATGCATGGGAGATGACTATTGCATCTCCCACTAGGGGATTTGGCGGGAGAATCTCTAATCTTTCTGTTAGGAAGTTAGACGAAAGAACTTAGAATAATACTCCAATAGATACATATACGTATAACGGCGATCTCACGTACGTTGAACTGTGAGACTGACGGCAGTATCATTGATGAAAATGCGAAAATATAGCAATCCAGTTGGATTGCGTCCGGCGTACATCGTATTTTCATCCCTAATACTGCAATCGGTCTTCGGGCTTTCCGACATCGCGTCACCGTCCACCATCAAGCCCGACCATAATTCTCTCTGTAGAAGAGTATCTGTGGAAGTGTACTCCGGCTAATTAGCGGGAAAATACGCTTTCAAACCAGCTTTTCCCAAAATGCATCCTTATAAGGATGCTTCCGACATTTCTTGTCTCAGAATTTTCGTGGTTGGGCTTGTACTGCAGATGAAACGCTGAATCCGCGTAGGATTTCTCCAGATCTGGGGCTACTCCTGCCCCAGAGATATACAACGTGATATATAGTGATGTACAACGGAATAACACTTGGTGCCCCACCCACTGCGCAACATCACGAGGACGAATTCCCCCTTTGCTGTCTGGCCATCGAGAGAAACTTATTTGCACGTGACGTGCTTTCATTATATTACCTCAAAACGTGATAGGTAAGAACATGAAAGATTATCTACTGCACAATGCACGACTACGTAAAGTATGCACTTATTGTACTGTATTAATAGTACCGTGCGCATCTCGATAACTTTTAAACCGTTTTTTGGCGGCTATCGGTAAAGAACAGCATGAGATGCAATTATGTCATTGCTTTGATATTTTACTCATTGGTCAAAATTTTGTGTTTTCGGTTTTCTCATGTATATTTGTTTCATGTGAATCAGTCGTTTTTTATTCGTTGGTTTTACCATTATTTTATAGGCTTTCAAAAAATTTATCATAACTTACTAATATAAGTGCACGGTAAAATGTTTTAGAAACGTTTCGTAAATCATTTCTTAGCCCATTTCTGCTTTTCTTTTGAAAAATAGAAGTACAATGTAGGACTAAATGGTCGCATAGCCCCATACCCAGCAACTCTGTACGCAAGCGGTGCAGTGCACTTGTAAGAAACGGATATTTTGAACTCAGTCGTACAGTGCACTGCGCTGCATTCGTACTGAATGTGGAGATGTTGGGTATGCGATATGCGACCATTTTGTTCTAAGCTGTATGCATAAGTTCGGCATTTCGCACATTGTGGCCCATCGCATCTTTAGCGAATCTCTCAACGATGGCATGTAGCGTTGTTAATTTCTCAGCAAGAAACGGTTACGCAGCAGTTTTCTCTTAATGACTAATCATTATTATAAAAGGGCAAGCACTCCCTGTATGTACTTACTGCCGTCACCCGGCTGCATGGTGTTTTATTTTGCGGCTCAACATGATGCTTATGCACCGCGCCTGATTGAACCATAATATGTACACTGTACAGCCGCACCTTCAGACAGCCCGTGTGACGACAGCAAGTACAGGAAACCATGGACACTGTGACAACTCCTTTTATGTACTTTCTCAGACCAAAGTTGTCGTGCTGTTGTTGCGACCTGTTAATTTGTTGTACACAAAGCAAACGATGCGCGACTATAGTCGCCGATCGTTTGTTTTGTGTACATAATTTATTTTGGTTAATGGTTTTGATTTTTGAATGGTGATTAATTTCCATACAAAGTTTATTGGTTTCCTTTGTGTTCAACAACAATGGTTAGACACTACGGTTAGAAGTTCCAGAAACAACCAAAATCATTCCCTTCCCCAAATTTACTTCTGCCCGACAAAGTGCCTAAAATAGCGGCAGCGTTTCCCTTCATTATCGCTAGACTGATGCGTTGTTTCAAGAAGGCGGTCGATCGGCTTTCTCCTGTCTTTCCCCGAATTAGGCGTCCAACGAAGCTGACTGTATCTTTCGCGGCTTTCCAAGCACGCCAAGCGTTTCCACCGCAAATGGATAGAGCAGATACTGTTCTCCGAGGGAACGGTACTTTTGTCGCTTCCGACTTTCCGCTTGCCGAGCTGCTGCGCCAGCCGCTTTTGCAGTTCCTTTAAGGTACGATGGTGCCATTGTATCTGCGCAAGTGGCATCCCATGCCAGCTGTTTTCCATCACGGACGGGTACCAGAGTAACTCCATCCGGCCGCATGCCATTGTCTCCCGACATTCCCTTGGGCTCTAGTTCACTAGGAATACCGGCCGTAAAACATCCACGGTGAAAAATGCTGTTTAACTCAGAATGTAAGCTCCATCTGCCCTTGTTGTACAAACAAGACAAACCATGGTGACCGTCCGGGGTTACCGGAAACGAGCATGCTTGGCAGTCGTGATTAGCGACCACAGGTAAGTCAAACCTCAGTCCGATGGCGATTCTTACTTGATCATCGGAAAGTAGGGTGCCCAAACTAGCCGCCGGCAATGCATACAGCCATGCTGCAGATTCCTTTTCTGAAGCAGCCAGCAAGAGTGCCATTTCCTTGTCGCTTCCGCTTTCCATGGTTTTCAACTATCCATCTCGAGTAAGACAAATCCACCACTGGCCAGTCCCAGCTTTTCTGAGATTTCCGAGCATGATCCACTGGCAGTTCAAAATGGTAAGTATCAGTCCATAATGTTATGGCTTCATTGAGACCCGACAACTGACAGTTAGGGAGCAAATCTGAGAAGATAGACTGTACCGAGGTAGCCAAAGCGATGAACGCTGACAGTGCTAGCTCCTCCGTGCGCCGTATACCCAGTCCTCCTCGACCTACTGGCCTACCGGCATGGCTACTGTGTCCACTGAGATTCGTTGATATCCGCATTGGCGATTGAAGTAGTACCTTTCCTCATCAAACTGTCAAACTCGCGTAAAATATCCGGGCACGTATATGTTTGGCTTGTTCTTAAAACGTACAGCAGTTTCGGTGTACTTAGGCAGTTTCGCAACAAATACAGTGCTTGCTGAGATGGTAGTAATTTTAGCTTTTCCACCAACCTTTCGATTTCAGATATCTTGGAGCGTAGGAAAGACGGAACTGCAAAAACGGTAACCGGTGCGCCCAGGAAATACAAATTCTCATTCTCGCGAACTTCCCAATCTGGCCATTGCCATAGGAAGCGATGTTTGTCCGCTGCACGTTCTTCTTCTGTTCCACCAGAAAAGTGTACTTCGCACTTTTCACGGTTTAGAACCAAACCGATCTTATTTCCCTCTTCTTCAATCTTTTGGATGTCTGCCATGACGGCTTCCCTTTTTCCGGCCAACGTTACATGATCTAAGAAACCTAACTTCAATTCACTCTGAGGCCCGTTCAGCAGTGGCAACGTCCCCAGGCAATATCCCAGGGGGCCAGCGTTATCTCCTTGCTGAACTCCCCATTCGGAAGCGATCACGTCGGTCCTTTCACGTGTAAAAAATTTTTTTTTTTATGATAAGTCCTCTCCACATACCAGGTGAGAAACTGGAGCATACGATTGGTGGAAGTAGGGGTAATATTGTGGTATATCAGAGCGGACGGCTTCCAAAACGGCAGTCCTGCTGGTCGTATTAAAAGCATTCTTGAAATCTAGTTTCACCATGACGCGTGCCTCGACATGTTTCGTCTCCAGATAACTTCGCGCTGCATGTACGGCAGCTTCGGCGCCTCCTTTCGTACCATATCCTAACTGGACTGGTCGAAGTTTTCTGCCCATTTCTTCCTGACATCTTGCACTGATAATCTTAGATGCTGATCTGCGCAATACTTCTCCCACTGAGATTGGACGAATTCCACCAGATGGCTTTTTCAGGGCTACTAAATTTGCACCAAACAAAAAGGGACGTACGTCAACAGGAACTTTACCATTGACAATAACATCCAACAAACTGGTCATAGCTACACACAAGTCTCCTTCCATGGCATCTCTCCGCTCCAGCATATCTTTGAGATGCTGCGGTTTCATTCCCATAAATCCGCCGACAGAGCCCGCTGGCATATTAAAAACAGCATCCAGCAGCTCCGCGGTGATTAATTTTGCATTTTTTTTAAAAGCTGGTGTATTGCTCTAATTGTAAGTCGATGCATTAACTAAGACCAACACGGGGAAAGTTGAGTTGTGTGTGATTAATATAATGATTTCTGCAGCGGTGTTGAATAAAATAATGAGAATAGCGAAGTATGGCACGTTCAACATGCTCGTGTTGCAATAGTATGTGTTTCAGTTTTATACAACACCGTGCCGCCTCAAATAAATGGCCCAGTTAGGTAATCATCCACTACAGCAATCACGAAACCGAAACATCAGCGTAAAAATGCATATTATTAATAGTAAGTAATTTGGGGGATTCGGTTACTTATACAACACATATGACGTACCGCCGGACGGCAGCGGTATAACTCTATTCTGTTACCATCAAGAGCGGTTTTCGTCTTCGTACAGTTCATCGCGGATGATCTATTGACCGATGTGGATCGTGGATTTCTTGGTTTAGTATCCCTAGGTGCAATTGACGTTATTGCTCCATCAATTGCAGTTAACAGATAAATTACGAGTTGAATCTAAATTTGTTGCAAAGTTCCTACTTTGTCCTTTATGATTCGTCGTTACTCAGTAACCATATTTAAACTTTAAAGGTGATCCCTCCGTACACCTTTCGCTGCCTCTTACTCCACATCTGTACATTTACATCACCTTTATTTAAATTTTATTCGTTAATAATACCGCTATCGATTAAACATAAGAAAAGAGAAGCATCGCATAGCATCAACAAACAGTGGAAACAGGCGCCCGAATCACAGCCTTTCTGCGCTACCTTTCATTCGCTACATTATCTTTTTGAGCACCACCTTTGACTCCGTCCATACAACTCCGTAGACTGGTGAGATGTAAAAGCATGTTGATAAAGTTCAGAAAATGCTTTTTGATGTGGGATTGGGCTCTTTCAAGGACTTCGTGCCTAACTGCCTATTATAAAGCATGGAGTGCTTCTCAGAAATCAGCCTGATCTAACTGCCGCAGCAAATGAAGAATAATTATGTAACGCGTTTGTAGATGAAAAATGTTATTTTACAAGGTCTAAGTTGAATACTGTGGAGATCTGTTTTCAGTGCATCTGATATACAGAGGTTGCCCATCTACGTTCAACCTCACCGTCAACCGAGGGTCGGTGGAGGAGAGCGACCAGATCCCCGCACAACCGGCGGCCCCTTTATTGAAGCAACGCGAAGTCGCATCTGTAGTTGTACTTGTACAGATATATAGCACATGTAGGCTGATGTAGCTTAATCGTACCTCAGTACGTTCAATAAAAAAAAAATACCATGTCACCAAAATTTATGAACGAATGGATGATTGTCCATGAAAGCATATGCAAAACAGAAACAGCAGGAATTCAATGCAAATAATAACAGTTATCATCTTAGTGGATTGCGTTACTTATACCACATACATATTACATACCGGACCGGCACCGGTATGTAATATGTTTGCGGTTTTGCGGAATGTAGTACTTAGTACTGGTATCATCGGCGGTATGTAATATGTAGGATCTCATGATTCTTATAATAACGGCGGTAAAATACGCAGCTTTAGTATTTTTTTTAAACTTACACTGTCTTGAGTACGGTACTGATGCAGCTTACACGTGTTGAATTTGCAAGAATTACTTTTTACAACGCTTTGTACACCGTGCGGTGTATGTACTGTATATACACCTGAACTATTTGCACAAGTGTATCTACGGATCTTACAGCTAGGGTGCAGTGAAATGAGTTTGGGAACGCCGTGCTCGTACTACTGCTCTCAGGGAGCGCACTTCCGTTGTGCTTGGAAGGCATTACATCAAACAATCGATTTTCTTCAATATGCCGTCATGCGGCCTACCTGTATATCCTGGTTTCCGTACCCGAAGTCGAAGCCATAAATGCATGATGTATCGCTGTGTATTAGACCTTTCTAACGCTCATTTTCAAAGAAATATTTTTGTTCCCGTGCATATTAACGGCTTACGTAGATTCTGAGAATAATAATATCGCAGTTTGCTGTATTATCTTTAACTAGTAGTAATATCGCAATTTGCTGTATTATCTTTAAGTAATTTTTAACATCACCGAAGTTCATTATTTCATCCGGAATCATAATCAGATTCATGCAAAGGCTGCGATTTGGATGTGATTTACTTAAATAAGGAAACCATCGCGTCGTCTATGTGGGATCTTTTTTGCCGCCATTGAATTTTCGTATGTCCACTTTGCTGTTGGAGCAATACTCGTAAATTGCATCATGGACGCCTTGTCGTCATCATATGTTAGAAAACCTGGACCCAGCCGACAGCCGGACGCTCCACCGTCATACAAAGATGTGATGCAACCGGCGGATGCTAAGGAGATGATACCACTCACAGCGCACCCGGAACCTATCGTAACCCAGCCGTCGACGGATAGTACCGATGTTATCTTAAAGATCGACCCTCCTGGTGCTCCGGGTGACATGGATCCCGCTGATCAGGAGAGGTGTTGCGCATTTCGCTCGATTTTCGTGGTATTAATAGTTGTGGGCGTCGGGTTATGTGCGTGGGACACCGATTATCGCCGGTATCGCGGGAGTGACGAGTTCATACCGGATAAAATAACTGAGGCCCGGGACAAGGAGGCTTATCAACGGACGGGGGTCGGTGGGATTCTGCTGGGAATCGGTATGCTTGGCTATCTCATTGATGCTATGGCGACCAACTGTGCGAAAATTATATTCTGCGGTCCCAAGCGCTTGGAGCAGCAGTTGAAAAAGGTTGAACAAGGTACGACACAATAATTATACTTAACAGTCAAGGGAATCAAACCTGCGCTAACGAGCCCTCGCGAAACTGTGCGAAATAAGGCCAAGTATTTCGAATATTGTCTCGGACTGTGTAAATTTCGTACAGCGATTCCTTGTCTTTGCAACAAGCTAGAGACAGTTAAACCTAAGCCTAAACGAAAACAGTTGTTTTAGAGGCGCTCGTTTAAACGCAGCATCATAAAAAAAATTCGTGTTGTCTTTAAACCCCTTTGTTGAATTTTCGAAAAATATATTGGTTTTTTATTGGTCCAGTTTTTGGAATTTTTCAGTTAATGCGCATAGTCATCTACTTTAAATGTTGTCCAGCATTTCGCTGTCCGTCGTAGCGCAGATAGAAATTTTGAAGCTTTCCTAATCTTATAACCGATTATAAAATGACAGATGTACATTTAGCACAACGCCAGTGGCGCCGCTTTTTAGATGTTGCTAATTTTGCTTGAACTTAGGCAAACCGAAACTTACGTGGCAAATAAAATGCTTCCATCGAGATATTAAAACCCGGGTTATTGACGACCCGGAAACCGGCCCACGAACCGAAACCCGGACCAAAATTTTCACGACCTGGAGTGGCACCCGGGAATTCCAGTTCAATTCCTGGTCAGATGAAACACCCGACCAAACCGGCCAACTCAGCGGCATCTGCCATATTCGTTTCCAGAAGAACTTCGTCTTAGCGGATGCGGGAACCAAGGAAGCGTTTAATGCTCAGAAGCAGGCATTCATCAATGCCAACAAAGACCGCGATAAGGAGTACACCATCCAGGACATCTTTGAGATCGAGGGCTATCTGCATAAACTGACTGTGCGGACAACGCGTGGAGGATGGTGGTGCTGCACGTATCTGTTCTTGGTAGCGTCATTCCTCCTGTATCCCTGGTTATGCTGCTGGTCGCGTTGCTGGAATCCCGTGGAGTACACTCTTACTAAAAAATTATCAGTGTAGCATATATATTGCGCAGTGGTATTTTTATAATGTTTGTTCTTTTTGGCGAGTTCGGGTCCGATGTTTACTTACTACATTCCCTCTTTGTACTTTATTGCCAGTGGCTATATTTATGCCCGGATGGTGACATATGGTTACTTAACTGCTTTATTTCTGCGATAATCTTCGACTAGAGTTATTGATAATGTGTTACATATCATTAAATGTTAATTTACAATTATTTAAAATTGTATTGCTTCTACTTAAACGCGGCAAAAAATGCTTACAGAGGTTTTCTATCATTTAACAATTAGTTTTCCCCCATACGCGGACAGCTTTGCCGGCATACGTTTGGAATTGTACGCTGCACGCCGCACGGTGTCTAGGGAAGCAGCAGGAACACGGCAGCGCCCAGCAGACATTTTTGTTGTTTCTCTTCAACACGATCGCTAGAATGCAGTTTCTTGGCTAGAATGGTGAAATCACTAACACGAAAGCCCTGTAGAAAAAGCCAATGGTAATGGGTGACCTTTCTGATACTTCGATTAGTGTCGCCTCCGCCTCTGCCTAACTAGTTTGACATAATTGGAGAATTAATCAGGGATAATTCCCATAAAGCCCTAAAAATTCTTTCATGTGAAAAATAGTGTTGCCGAAATAATAGCGCATGCTTCCTGTCTTGAAAACAGTAGTGTCTGATTTCCAACGTGTAAGAACATGACATTGGGATTGTTAGTTTAACTTGGTACGATTATTGCAGAATGCTTAGAGTAGTTCAGCAAAGCCGTCTGCCTGCCAGCACACCGTATTAAGGAGCAGCGGCCGGTTTTCCGGTTGCATGCGTGCTGGTATTTCCGCTTAGATGCGTAATGCTGCTCCGTTCAAATTAGCTTAATCTGCGCTAGCCCCCGCAGTAACTTAGATTCATCACATAGGTATTCCTGTTATGCTTCAGCCATGCAGTACCCGCAAAAAGCGATTGCACTTTACTAGTTAATTGCAATTTATATTATTACTATTATTATCGGTTTTGTAAGTGCTTAACTGCAATTTATTTTGGTAGTTCCTAGGTACTGCACTTAAGGAGAATTTGTACTATGGTCGCAAGATGGAAAACGAGATTTTCGAAATTCTACAGTTGTAATAGGAAGGGTTATATCTATTACTGGGCGGAGGTTGAGTAAAATTACCTTGCAACGAAAAAAGTTATTCAAGTTTTTTGGTTGACGATCAGGAGCAATTTGGCGGGCTGGGGTATTTTTCTACACTACTGCCACCTGTGGTCAAAATCAGTGAAAGAAAGATTGCTTCGAGAAGATGCCTTGTGGTTGTTATGCACCATGCCAGATTGCAAGTGTGACAGAAACAGACAAGATTCATGTTTACACATTGAGGACACAGAAAGCATGACAAAGTGCGCTAGACAATGGAAAGACATAGCGCTATCCTGTGAGTGCACATGAAAGAGTGGCCAAAGTCCACTCATCGGTGTGCACACAACCAGTGCGGCGGCACTGCAAGCGCAGAATCGGTAAGACCAAAGGAAAGCGCAGTACAAAAGAAGGTTCTTCGTCCCATCCTGAACAATTTTTGAAAAACAACTTCTAAAATCAATAACAATTCGCAACGATTTCAGAAAATTTCACACTTTGATAAGACTAAAGAAAAATCATTTTCAAAAAGAATTGTGAAGCGTTTTTGTGGAAAAAGTTTATGTACTCTTTAGAAAAGAAAATAAAGTAACTTTGGGTGTAAAAAAGTTTGTTTTTTTCAATACTTTTTTTTTGAAAAATCGCTCCACAATACTTTAGCCATTCTAACGGAACACACTGCTGTTCTTAAATGAAAAATTAAAAATCTGCTTGAGTTGTTATTGCGTCCGCAAAATAACGACCTTAAATCAGTAACTTTTACACTTTAAAACAACCAAACCGAGTTCAGACTTCTAATATACGTAGTGAAAACATCATAGTGTTGGGTGCAGTGCATAGTTATCATGCAGCACAAAGACACGCATTGCGCCAGCGAGAACAGTCAAAAGAGGTCGAAATCAGTAGAATCTCTACTTAATCGTATGTGAGAATCAAGCAACTGCCGCTCCACATTAGCACAGAAAGCATGAGCATTCGTTTCTTTTAGCTAAAGGCGATCTATTTGTTTTGCTTCATTCCTAGAAAAGTTACAGTAACTACATTTTATAGAATAGAAAAAAATGCTCTTTAAAATGAGAGATCTTTTGAAAAGCATGGAAACTGAACAGAAACAGAAATCTGTCTGACACCAAAAAGTACCGGGGGTCTAAAATGACGCACGGGTGCAGCAGCACGATTCGATTCACGTAGCTGCCACCACATTTCGAATCAAAATGTATCCAACCGCACGCGGGCTGCGTGTCTGCGTAGCGCTATAACCGTGCGCAGGCTGCGATTTCATGAACGCCATGCGCAGCCTGCAGGTAGCGTGGTTGTCTCCTCAAAGTCGTGCACCGATGCAGCGGACCATTTTCGAAACACGAAGACCCTAATTTACTAGGAATAACGTTTGGACAGTTCTACGCGTTTTGTATTCCATTGCCGCAATGGAATTGGATGTTCTTGGTACCATTGGAAACAGAAAATTATTCTACATACTGGGTTTTCTTGGTTTTGCGATAGAATCTTTCGAACTCCAACGCTCAGTGGTTTTATCGGTAAGAACAATTAGTTCTATGTTTAAAAATTCACATCTTTTTAGCTTTTCATTCAAAGTTTTTTTCAAATAAACCCAGTATGTAAAATAATTTTAAGTTTCAACTGAAAACATCAAACCTGAAGATGTTCCATTTACTGCTTGGATGGGATTTTTTAAGGGCAAACACAACATAAAAATTTTTCTAACATTTGTGCTTTTAGCGCTGCTTTTGAAAATCTATCTGTTGAAAAGCGCGATTTTTGAGCTTTCTAATGAGCCTATACACTTCTAAAGCGGACCAAAACAAGGCACAAAAAAAATTTTCAAAGTAGCCATAAATATTGGCATGTTTCAAACAAGTATATCCCGTAAAGAAGGAATGCTCATATTATGTGCAAATATAGAGCGGCATTAATGATTCGCCTCACAGCCTGTCCATACATTAGCAGGTGTTAGTGCAATATGAGAAAGCCCGCACAGGAAGAATATCCGTATACCGTAGTAAACATCCTGATGTGGATGCCGTGCAATAAATTATATTTGCGACTGGCAACTTGATATGCAGCGACTTGTGATTTACGAGTCTGAGTAGGAAGTGTAAAAAAATGCGCATTGCGCACCATGCCCTTAATCCTGATAGTTGCATAATCAATATGTTCCATGTTCGACAATTTCAACCGGCAACGTCGCTGTGATCCGGACATTGTTTCATCGTTCTGAACAACGCTGTTGTTCAAAAAATAACCAGATTGGCCATGTTAACACTGGTGCTAAAATGACATAAGGAAGTGAAAATGTGTTTCCTGTCATCCTCTTTACTCGCACTCTCTGGCCGATGGGCCCAACTCGTGCCAGCCTCGATACTGCCTGGCGCTGTGACAGTCAACTAAAAGCAACCATAAGGTTACCCCTATTTTGGCTTTTACCGTTCGCGAATGTAGAGATCCTACGATATCCACTCAAAACTCAGTCTTGACCATTCTAAAGTGTTTCTTAGTTAAAATCAGGAAAAATTCAACCCCCGTAACCAGTATCATAGGTTCAACAGTAAACTTTAAAATTCAACATTTGGTAATTCCGCTTAAAAATTAACTAGTCTGACTAGATTGAACTGAGATTTTTTTTTACCCGCCTATAAAATGTTAAACGCGATTCTCCAGCACCTTGCGAGAGCTTTCTTGAAAAAAGTCCATTTTAAAGTTGCAACTTGCAAAAAACACTTCGTCGGTTGCTTGATTCGACAATAACTCGAGCAGAATCAACTTTTTTCAGAATCGCCCTCGCAATTAAACTTTTACGATATCCATACATCCACTGTCAAAATTTCAAAATTCTACTCTATTCCGTTAGTGACTAGTTAATTTTCAAAGCCTATTAACCGCATTTTGGGCTGTAGGATTCGAAAGTTCATGCAGGGATAAATCTCATTTGAAGATGTTGGCAGTCTCAGTTCACCACACATACCACGTAGGAATAGCCCGAAAGACCAACTAGACAGCCGATTGTGCGCTGGCCAGCTACACTCATGTGTGATCAAAGTCTTTTGTCTTCAGAGTTTGCATCAATTTTGCTACGGTTTTATGACCCAGTAAAACAAAAGATGCAAACGGCAAACAGGTGCTCCCCATTCATTTGACTGCATGTCCAAATCTAATCGCTTGCATATACGCAGGCATACAAATGGTAAGCCGGGCCGCTCATTAATTACAGTACTGGCTGCTCTGGGTCGAATACTTTAAAAATTCATATCTCGGCTCCCGGTTACTATATTTCTATACACTCTTCCCCACCAGATAGAGCAAACTTCAGTTGGTGGGATTGCAAGTTTTGAGAAACTGGCCTTTTTGAAAAAAGCCAAAATAGGGGTAACCATAAACGTGAGCAACCAGTCAACTAAAAGCAACCATAACTTCTCGGGAGAGATCGTTTAGGCAGCTGATAAAAATTGGTCGCTCTGCAATTCCCAGTCGATTTTTCTAAACAGAATTTACGAACGCCACATGGCTTTCGTAAATCCTGTTTCGAGTGTGGAGATGCATCTCCCGCCCTAGATCTTGCGGCGAAATCTCTAATCGATCTTTAAATTTTTTTAATAAAATACTCTTTGTTTTATTTACGTACGTATAAGGGCGATCTCACATTGCAATGTGAGACTGACGGCAGTATTACTGACGAAAATACAAGTTATACAATGCAGTGAATGCACGCAATCTAATTGGATTACGATCTTTGTCCATAATACTGCAATCGGACTTCAAATTGCTACAGATACATAGCTGCAGTATCTGTATTGTCAGGTTCACTCCTTACGGGAGTTATTATGTAGCACATTTATTCCCTGCATGTTTTCC